TTGCATGCGTATTGGAGTGTACATATCTAAGTACAAGTATGGTAGTATTCTTAGTAAGATCACATTCTTTAAATTCTGTCTTGTTTATTATCCCCACTTTTTAAATCTGTAAAGAGAAACGTGCTCTGGAGGCACGGCTCAGCTCGACCAATCATATCTTCGAAAGCAGACTATGCCTTACAAACCAGCTGTTATTTTTTATTTTTTTTTTAACATATTTCTTATAACTTGTTTATTTTCTTTTTATTAATTATTTTTCAGAGCGATAAATAAAGTAAATAAAAGTGGTGGTGATGATGATGATGATGATGCAATCCAGCAAAGTAATTTTGCTGACGAGCCTTTAGATCTTTTGTTTTTTTTTTTTTTTTTTTTTTTGGATAATACACTCGTAAACTGCAAGAAGTTTTATTTAAAAAAGTAATCATATCACCTCAATTCTTTGACAGCATAATCAAGTAAATCCGCTGTTAATTTTTATTTCTTTACAAATAATTTAAAGATAACGGTAGTAACAGTTATTATCGTTATTTTTTTTTTCAAATGACATTGAAGTTCTAGTTTTATGTCTATAATAACTCTTATTTATATTTATTTATAGGTCCTATGCAGCTGTTTCAATTGCACGGGCAAAAATTGTCTTCATCTGATCATGCTATCGCCAGTGATAATTTGAGATGTGACGTCAATAACTCAAAACCGACTGAGAATATTTATTAATTTACGTTTTTAAGGTAATTTTTAAGATAATTATCAGAGATTATAGTTAAATGAAATCTTTGTACCTTCAGGGTATTATGAAATAAAAGTTCTTTGTTAATTTTATAATCTATGGACTAAGTATTAAGACATATTATATACATTATCTTTTGGAGGCTCGTCTCTAGTGTTAACGATAACGTTTTAAGTGATACTTAATGGATAGTTAATGAACAATACTTCTAAAATAATCTTAAGTACTTGGTTTTTTTTTGTTTTTTTTTTTTTTTTCCACGTTACTCGTATAAGATTTTTAAATGACGTTAAAAAGTTTCCAGACTTCCAAAGTACATATGCTAAATTTACATTCTTTATGCATTTCTAAATAAAATGTTTACTTGGTATGTTTTACAACTTAGGTGGAAAATTTTTAAGTCTCATAGGAGGACTTTATTTATGTTTCAGATATGGAAATTTCCTGGAATGTTTCATCAGATACTTATAATTTCTCTTCGAAAGAAATACTAAAAAGTATAGATAGAATTAGCGAAAAAACTAAAATTAGAATTATTTAATTTTTTTTTTTTTTTTTTTTTTTTTTTCAATATAATTCAATTCATATATTTATTTTTATGAAAATGAAGTTAGCTGACATTTAAAAATTATTAGAAATTTTTTATTGAAGAAATTTCAATTAAACAATTAAAAAAAAAATTTCACATGTAAAATACTTGAAAAACTACAAGTGCAATTTTTTAGAAATATTTTTTTAGTTGTAATTTAATTTAAAAAAAAAAAATAAAAAATTTTAAGACGTCTGCTAACTTTGGTGTCATTTATTTTTAAGTTAAATTTTTCCTAACTTGATGGAAAAATAGTTTAAAATAAATACGAAATTTTTTTTATTGATCCGTAAAAATATATTAAATTTTTCCACTCAATACGCAGTGCAATATTATATAAATTTTCATTTCTGATTAATCTGAAGATTAAATTGTGTGTTTAATATAAATGATTTAATCTCTGTTTAATTTTACCCCAAAAGTTGTAAATGTCATAAAAAGACAACTTAAAAATTTTTTCATGATAATTTTGAGTTTGCTTATAGCAATATAGTATATGTGAGGATGATAATTTTTTTTAATTTAGGCTGAGAAAAAAATCTGATGCAATCTCGTACGATGATTGCTTAATATTTGATATCTGTCAAAAATCTATTAAGAACAATATATGTATACATATATAAATAAATTATCAGGAATGTGAAGGACGTTCCGGTCAAGCTAGAGGCTCGTCTTAACCAGCCAATAAGAACGAACCGCGCCTCCAATTCTTACTTTCGTGTAAGTGCTATCTATGTAAATAAAATTAAACGTGCATTACAGCACGTTAGTATAAATATCTAAATTTATTCCTGTCGGATGATGAAATTCTCGGGGTAATTAACGCTATCAATAAAAATTTTTTTATCACGACGTCAATGATTAAAACTGTCAGATTAACTTGTGTTATACATTTAATTTTATTTTCCTTATCGTTAATAACAATAAAAAATGATTAGGTATAAGATACAGTTAGAACAATTGAAATATTATTTTTTATTCAATTCGGCATAATGACTAATGAATTATTTAATAATTCAGTGGGTTATTTATTAATCTGCAGTGATATGACCAATTGTCCCATTTCCTGTTATGGTTTATAAAGATATTTTTAGCACTCGGTTATTGTATTTATGGCTATTTTTATTTTGGTAGAGATTGACAAACCGTTTGGACGTCATTAATCATTTTTACATGAATAACATGTAGTGATAAAAATAAGTACATATTATTTCAATTGCGATTGTTTTAATTGTGGAGATTGTTGACTCTATTTTTTTTAACAAATTCATGTCTGTATAATGTATCATTAACATATTTAAATTTAGATTTCGGTTTGTAGTTATGATAAGTTAAAAAATATACTAAGTAACATTTAACTTTGTATTATTAATAAATAATTAAATATATTTACGGGGTAGCTGTACAATAAATGATATAATTTGAATTTTTTCTGTGATAAAGTAGAAAAAATACTTGAATACAATTTTATGAACAACTATTAAAAATTTAATTGTCATTTTTATAACTTGTTCAACACTCAATACAAAATTTTTTTAAATAACAGTGTCTACTCACTGCTGTAGATACTTTAATCACAGTTTTAATAGTATTTTTCTTACCTGGGGCAGGAAAATAAGAAATGTCTCAGATTACATGTAAATGACAAACATGTGATCTGAGGCTTTCTTATTTCCTGCCCGTGGTGAGAATACTATTTTTCTCCTCGACGGAGGCGGAAAGCGGCATTTTCGTTTAGCGCAGCGAGCAGAAAATTGACGCTTTCCGCACGGAGGGGAGAAAAACTATTTTATTTTTCTCTCTTAAAAATTTTTTTCATTCAATGTCTTATAAATTTTTTTTAAATGACAAAATAATTTAGATAAATTAAAAAACTGGCCTTTAATGACAAATAATTTTTTTTAACATCAAAAAAAAAATTTAGCAAATTTCAATTTTTGTAGTTACATAAAGTTAAAAAATTACGAATTTTTTATCTTTTTTTTATATTATTAAAATTTTTTTCAAACTACATAAAAAATATTCTTCAAGTTTACATTATCTACGGTAAATTCATTATAAACAGTTGTATCAGTAATCGTCGTTATTCGAAGTTGGTACGATAATTCCCACCTATAATTAAACATTTTTTTTACCTCAATTGATAAAAATTTAAAAAAAAAAATAGAGTAATTTCAATAGTAATTAAATTCATCAGCTTGATTATAAATTGATAATATTTATTGTAATTGAATATATTAAATACTGAATCCAATTTTTTTTTTACATAGTAAAATATTTTCTTTTTACTGTTATTATTATTATGAGGATAAAAATAAATTTATAGTTTATCCATTATTAAAAATAACAAACATGCTATTAATTTAACGAAGACGTAATTAAAAATTATACAAAAATTTATTTATTAATTTAGGTGCAATAAATTTATTTAATACATAATAAATTGTTACTTAGTCATTATTTATTTACAAAATAATTATAATTACTAATCACTAAGTACGGAAGAAATGACACATATATTGTTAAAAGTTATACATAATAAGTAGGCAAGCCTCATTTACGAAACTATCAACGTGGAACATACTTCAACAATAATTCTTCGGTAAAGCTATCAAAGTATTTATAAATTAATATCAATATAATGTCTTCCATTCATAGTTTTGATTAAATACAGCATTTTTAACTGCAACGAGTTTAAAATTTATATAATCTAAATTAATAAATAATTAAAATTCAAATATTGATAAAAATTTTCATTATTTTACTTTTGATATTTTATTAAAAAAAATTTTTTTCTCCTCTAATTTAAGAAATCCATTTGAAACGTATACATTAATGTAGCCATTGTATAAAAAAACTATATATTATATTTATAAATTACTAAAAAATTTATTATTTAATTTTGATCGATGCGAAAAATTGTTCAGTCTTAATATTACAGAAGGCCAAAAATATTTTTCTTAGTTAATTCATAACTAATATAATTATCCTAAATGTAATATACTTCAGTGGCATAATGAGTGCAAAACTTCTTTTTCTGCCCTCCGGCCGGAAAGTGGCAACTTTCTGGCCGATGCGCTAAACAAAGTTGCCACATTCCGGCTACGTCGAGCAGAAAAATAGTATACACACCTTGGCCAGTAAAAAGTAAAGCCTCAGACCACATGTTTGTCAACCTCGGCTTCGCCTCGGCCAACAATTACATGTGGTCTGAGACTTTTCTTATTTTACTGGCCTAGGTATGTAATATACTATTTATTTAAAAATTCTTCTTTCATCTATATTTATATAAAAGAAATTCTAGAAATTTAGCTGCACTCGTAATAAAAATTATATGGTACGTTACTCTATATTGTTTGAAGGCACTCATGTGTAAATACTACGTTACTTTTTATCTCTTTATAATAAAAAAAAAATATATATATATATATATATACTATATATAACAAAGCATAGCTACCACATTCTTTACAAAATTAAATAGCCTTTTTTCATGATTTTTAAAAATTTTAGTCAAAAAAATGATATGAAAAATTGGAATGTAAAATTTCCAGTCACTTTACCTAAATAATTGTTTAATTACTCCTAATAATTATAAAAATCTCAATTTAACAATTTTCGATATGAAAAAATTATATAATCAAATAATTAGTTTTATTTGAATAAAAATTTTTCAGGTCAACAATTGGTATGTCTTGCGCTACGCATCAGTGGTATCAAGACACTAGGACTTCCTGCTTGCCTTAGGAACGGATGTTGCAATAATTCTTCAGCAGTGGCTCTCTGGGCTGGATCACGAACCAACATTCTTTCCAAGAAGCCCTGTAGCCGCGGGCTCACCTAATAAAAAATATAAATATTATAAGTTATGTAAAATAAATAATTCAATTATCTGTTATTACTGACGACATAATAAGATTAAAGAAACATAAAATAAATACGTAACAGTGCTTAAATATCAAGTGTTGCACAATTAAATTGAAAAAAAAAAAAAAAAAAAATCAAAAAAAATCAAAAATAAGAGAATTTGCTTTAATAAAATTAAAGATATAAATAATATCAACCTTGTGTGAGTTTTTCAGCTTAGGTGGTAACATATCCCGGATTCTTCTCATCGCCTGGAGTGGCGGTTCGTTAAAGAACGGAGGTTCACCGTCAACCATTTCAATAATCATAATTCCCAATGACCAAATATCAACTTCAGGTCCATACGGTAACCTTGAAATAACTTCAGGGCTCATCCAGTAAGGTGTGCCCACAAGTGACTTTCTCTTTGGCAATTCTTGTGATACCTGAGCGCAGAATCCAAAGTCAGAAAGTTTAACTCTGCCATCAGCAGTAAGAAGAATTGAATCTGATTTAATATCTCTATGAATTACACCTTGAGAGTGAAGATAGTATAGCGGTCTCAAACATTGAATACAAACAGTTGCGATTTGTTCTTCATTCATACGTGAATGCGTAACAATATCTGTCAACGCTCCGCCTTCAAGATACTCCATTACGACCCACAGTTCATCATCAACCAAAAAACTGTCATACATCTCAACAATATTTACATGATGATAATCTCGCATTATGACAACTTCATTGAAGAGTAATTCACGTCGCTGTTGTTTTCTTAAGTCCATTTTTTTAACAGCGACTTGACGTTTTCTCTCTTTATCCGTAGCTATGCAAACAGTACCAGTACTGCCTTCGCCAATCTTCACAAAATTGTCTAAATTATCACGTGGATCTGCACTACTGACTACCATTTGCAGTGCTTTTCTAAATTGTTCATGCGTTAATCTCTGATCAGCATTTTGTTTATTATTATTCATATTATTATTGTTATTGTTGTTGGTGTTGTTGTTATTATTATTGTTATTATTACTAACAGATAAATTTCCAGAGCCTGGATTAAGACTAGTCGATGACATTGCGCCCTTAATACTTTGACTTTGATCTGGTACTGAGCTAGTGGCACTTGAACTGGGCATAGCTGATACTGCCGGATGTCCCGCCAGTTTTGACAAATTATGCATCGACTGTGAGCTTTCTGGTGGCTTGTTAAAATGTCCATGTAGTGATGATGAGTTCTCAGGCATAAGATAATTATGTGGATGTTTTATGACATTATGAGTACTCAATTGACTGAGGGGTCGTTGAGATGCTATTGAACCAACTGGTGATATCTTCGGCTGTAATTTATGTATCATCATATTTGCCGGTATTGCGTGATCTCTAGCAGTCTCTGTCATCGTCTGAAAATAAATTTAATCATTAATTAAATATATTGATCAAATACTTTACTGATAATATACTGATTTTTCATAAATTATAAATTATAATATATTATAAGATATATAAATGTAATATTTTTGCATAAAAATTAAAAAATCAAATGATTTCTCCAGTTACAATAAAATATACAGTGAAATCAGATAGAAAAGACATGCTATGCTTGAATATAATTAATAAAATTATTATTATAAATAAAATGATCAAGTATAAATTATTTACCCGGATATTTTCTGGGTGCTGTCCTGACATTGTTGATGGTGCATTCATTCTTTGATAATCATGTTCATTTAATGGACTACTAATTGAATTATTAACATTAGATCCGTCTTGATGACTTGGTATAGGGCTTAAATTTTGGAAATTTATCGACAAATTCGGTGCATTGTTTATTGCATTGGTTAAATTCGGTGATGATTGTAAGTTCGGATTCATATTTTGTATATTTTGTAAACTTGAATTAACAGGTCCAGGAGGTCCAGAATTAGGACCAGAAATAGGTCCATTACCGACCATATTACCAACACTTGATGAATTTTGCTGCCGTATTTTGTCAGGATAACCATAAGGTTTTCCATACATCGTATACGTAGGCACCATTTGACTTGGACTTGATGATACTTCTTGTCCTTCCGGTACAGACGGCGGTAAATTAGCATTATTGCGAAAATCTCGTCTCAATCTTGGTGGACTTGAAGATCTCAATGAATTAGATCTTGCAACAGTACTCATTTTCGGTAATCCACCATTCTCAAATTTACTATTATTTTCATTGTTATTACCATTACTCTGACCATTATTTTTGCTAATACGCGGATCATTGTGTCCACGTACAATTGTCTTCAAATCTAATATTTCTGTGGGTGTTATTTCACTAGGATCAACCAACGGCAATGGTCGATTTGTCGATTTTAATATCTGATTATTACCAACAATTGACGCCCACTGTAGTGGTAAACCAACAAACTTTCCTTCACGTTTATCAAAACCAGTATGCACTCGATGCTCAAAATTTGTTGGTGTTGATATTTGTGGCTTCTTTTTCTTTCTCGTAAACATTTTTATAGCTCCTATAATAATAATAATAATAATAATAATAATAAATAATTAAAAAATTACAATATCAGTACTCCAATCGTTAAAATAAATTAATTTTATACTGTACCTTAATAAATTAAGTAAAAAAAATTTATAAATGTTTTTATTTAATTTAAAAATTCATAAATTTATGCTGCACCAATGAAAGCCAATAAACAGCGAGTTAGTTGTCGTATAAAATAAAATATCACAACTATTATACGAATATCCACGTTATGACGGTAGACTTAACGTGACCAATCGACCTGGTATCAATAGTAGATGACATCGTGGCCACGAATCGGTTAAAAATCCAGGTAAGACAACAGTCTTCACAGCAGAACAGATACTCAGTACAGCAGAGTAGATCGTAATTGTATGATAGAGTAGAGCGGGGAGAGGAAGCCAAGTTAAGTGACAGACCTACACATACCAACGCCTATTAATATCTGCACAAATACAATAACACTCATACACTCGTAGCCAGACTTGCGACCTCGTTATCTTCTCTATCGTTTTAATAACATAAATAAAACCATAGAGTAAAAGTTTAAAAAGTATACTACATATTATATTATTATTTCTCTGAATATTTGTGCATAGACATTGACACTTTGGCGATAGTCCGGGGCGTTGGCTTTTTAAATATTTCACAAGCACTTTTATATATAACCTCAAATATAAAATTATTTTACAATTCAACAACAATTATTTTACTGTAAAATTAATAAAAAAAATTATTTAAAAATATAATAAATACACGGTACGAATCGGCTCATTGCTGTGGACGTGAATGTTCGTCATGTTCGACAGGTTGTTAGAACAAGAACTCCACCGGTGGACACTATCATTATTAACTCTGGAATTCGCTTTAGCATCAGCTTATTCATACAGCGTACAACGAATGTGTACGCGCGCGCATCTGTGTCTGTGCTGTCTTATTGTAAGTATGTATGTAATGTACAGACAGGTAAGTACCTAATACACTTAAAAGGCACACCTGCAAATTTATAGGGACCTTCAGGACACATATATTTTTATGCGCTGAGAATCAAGTCATGCAGGTTGAGCGCATTTGTATTTATTTTTCTCACTAAATTTTATCTTATAGGGACTCTAGTTTATTCTTCTTGGATTCCTTTATTACCAACTAAGATAATTTCGAGGAATTTTTCAAGATGCGCGGTAGGAGAGCTCTCCATTTTCACGCTCTCCACATAACACTCCAACCTCCAAATTGATCTTGATGCTGAAAAAAATGTGCTCCGACTATGATGGCTGATGAAATTAGTTCGTTCAATAATTTTCATTTTATTTTTATTCTATTAGTGAGTTTAATGAATTAACAGTTAAATACAGTAAAAAATAATTATTATTTAAAATAATGACATTCTTTTAATTGCATATACGTTTACGACATCTAATTATCATCAAAGATATTTATATTGTAAGTTTGGACAATATTATAACCTTTATCTCTTCTTTTTTATAATAATATGATTTTTTTAAAAAACAGTTGATTGATAATTTACAATTGTTGATTACTACTTTACATTTTTAGATATCAAGTAATCATTTTCTATTCAGTGCAAGAGAAATAAATCAAAAATGTTGAGTTGCAGTAAAGTTTTAACGAAACACGGAACTTTTTGTAACAGGTTCGTTGTTTTATTTATTTTAAATAAACTTTAATTTATTACTTAATCAATTAAAAATAAAATTACTTTTTTCAGAGCTAAAAGTCTGGCAAAAGATGGACATTTACAGAAACATGTGTCATTTATTATCAACAAAAGATTATTTGACACTAATGCTCTGAGCGTTACACATAAAAATGTTGAGACTATTGAAAAATGTAGGCTGACAAGGACAAATCAGTTGGATAATAGGTTCATTAGGATGCAAAGTTTTTGTTATTTATGTAGTAGAAATTTTCACACAAATTTATTGTTAAGCCGATCAGTTATTGATGATAGAGTGAGATTACAGTCTTCGGATACGAAAAAACCTCATTCAAATATTAATATTAATGATTTATTGAAAAATCATGAATCTAAAAATTATTTCGAAGAAAATGTTGAAGAAATTGAAGGTGAAAATAATAATGTCCATGATATTCATCATTCCAGAAGAGAAAAAGTCAACATTAAAGGTAAATTTTCTTATTCATAATATTAGTTTACAATCTTTTATTTCAATATTAATAAATGATAATATATAATGACTAAATAACAAAAATTTGTAAATTAGTTTAATTTTTTTTTGATTTTATAATAAATTAATTTGTTTTACTTTCCGCAGAGGTTGAAAAAATGTATCCCCATGCAAAAGGAAAGATTCATGAAATATATCAGATAGTAAACAATGATATGAAGAAAAACACATTAAGTTTTGAGTTTAAAAAACCTACTGGTAAAAAACAACATAATTGGTCGTGTACTTTAAAAGTTTTGTGGCCCGAAGAAACATCATTTACAACAATTGCAAGTAATAAAAGCAAAGCAAGTGAATTAGCATCTTTGAAATGTTTACACTGGCTTGAGAATCAAAAAAGACTCAATAAAGGTATGCCAGTACTTTATGATTCACAAGGAATAAAAGATTTAATAAATAATCCAATTTCATTGTCTGTAAAAAGTGAAACATTAAATGACGCTCAAACTATCATCGAAAAATATAATGATTACATTAAGACACTGGTCGATGAAAATACAAATAAGGATAATATTAAACACCGTAATTTTGGTACAAGTGAAATTACAGATCCAGTTGGTAGACTTGATCCCATAAATTGTACGCCAGAAAAATTGCAAGAAAGAAATAGATTATTGCTAGCAAGATTTGAACATCGTATGAGCGAAAATAATTACTGTAGTTTGCCGATTCTTGATTTCCGTAAACAAATAATTGAAGAAGTTAAAAATAATCAGATATTATTGATAAAAGGTGACACAGGATGCGGTAAAACAACACAAGTGCCGCAGTATATAATGGATAGCTTTGCTGGATATGGAGAAGCTACAAATTGTAACATGATTGTTGCCCAACCTCGACGTATATCAGCTATTTCATTGGCTGAGCGTGTTGCCGATGAGCGAAAAGAACAACTTGGTGATGTCGTTGGTTTTCAAGTCAGACTTTCGCAACAGTTGCCAATTAGACCAGCGAGAATTGTATTTTGCACCACGGGAATTCTTTTACGTAAATTACAATTTAATCCGACATTTCAAGGATGCTCGCACGTGATTGTCGATGAAGCTCACGAGAGGACAATCAACACTGATATGCTTCTGGTGCTTCTGAAACGGGCTATGAAGGAAAATCCAAAATTAAAAGTTATCGTTATGTCTGCAACAATAAATTCTGAGTTATTTCAATCTTATTTCAACTGTAAAGTGATCGAAGTGCCTGGACGAACCTTTCCAGTACAGATGAATTTTATGGAAGAAATTGATAAACTGGGACTCCGTGCTCCGAGCAGATGGGATTTGACCTTTGAAGATCCGGAAAAAATGAAAGAAGGACCGTATGTTGATATTGTAAAAATGGGTGAACTCGTAGCATGGATAGCCAGAAATAAACCTCCTGGTGCTATATTATGTTTTTTACCCGGGTGGTCTGAAATAGTAGCGCTAAAGAAATACCTCGAGGAATATTCATTACTACAAAAGAATAAAATTGCGATATTACCAGCGCATTCAAAAGTTGCGCAATGGGATCAGAAAAAAATTTTTGATCACTATCCAAATAATATAAGAAAAATAGTATTAGCTACGGACATTGCTGAAACGGGAATTACTGTTACAGACGTTGTGTACGTGGTGGATTCTTGCACACACCGACAAATCAGGTGGCAGGAAAAACGTGGTATCTCATCAATTGATAGCCACTGGATATCAAAAGCTAATATTCAGCAAAGGAAAGGTCGCGCTGGGCGTGTTCAACCTGGAGTCAGTTATCACATGATTACACGTGAGCAGTTTCAAAATTTAGATGAGTATCCAACGCCCGAAGTAATGCGTACGTCGCTAGAAAAAACTGTATTGGATATTAAAACTTACACCAATGAAAAAGCAAAAATGTTTTTACGATCAATGCCACAGCCACCGGCTATGAGTATTATTGATGCGGCCGTTAGAGATCTTGTTAAACTCGGCGCGCTTGATCACGATGAAAATTTAACGGCTTTGGGTAAAAGAATAGCTCTATTTACTGTTCACCCCACATTAAGTAAATCTATGGTCTACTCGTCTATTTTCCAGTGTATTGCTCCAATTTTGACTGTCGCGTCAGTTATGTCATCAGACAGTGATATATTTGCTGGTGTGCTTCATAATAAAGGATTTATTAGAGATGTTAAAGCAAAATACCATCCAACAAGTGACCATATAAGTGTTGCTTGGCTTTTTGAACAATGGAATGCGTACAATAAGCAGGGTCGATTTGCGTCACGAGATTTCTGTGTTAAAAATAAACTTTATCCTGATCGAATGTACACGCTAAGTCGAGTAAGAGACTTAAATGCTGAACATTTAGCTCAGGCACACATGATATCCGATTCTATTGAATATGATAATATGAAAAAATCTGAAAATGAATTCGCTGAACTGGATGAACTTGTAAGAGGTATTTTATTAGCTGGCTTAGATCAAGTACTTTATCATCGTGATTTTGATATTCGTAAGGGCCAAGTTAAAAAAGGTGCTTGCACTTTTATAATGGAAGATAATAATCATGCGACAATATTACCTGACAGTGTTAATTTCAAGAGGAGATACTTTCCAAGTCCATTTTTAACTTATGTGAGACGTACGCACAGTGAGCAAAGAAGAACATCTTTAATTCGTGAAACCAGTATGATTTCTCCGTTAACTGTATTTCTGTTTTGTCAAGGAAAAATTATTGGAAATATTGAAACTGATAATGATATTGAAAATGTAATATTCACTGTTGAAGATAAAAAAAATGTTCGATTAGTTTGCAGTAAGGAAACAGCTAAAGTTCTACTTGCTTTCCGGGATGCAATGTGGAGTGTAGTACGTTATATGGTTAGTAATTATGGCGTTGTTCAAACTAGTAACTCGGAAACATTTGAAAAAGTGCAAGCTTTTAAAGTAGAAATGCTCCAAGTACTTGCTAAAATGTTGAGTGAAGCTTCGATACATATAGATAAACCCGAGCCGTTAAAAAAAGAAATCATTTATTCAGAAGATGAAAATGAAGATGACGACCAAGACCAAGACGAATTTGAAGATAATTTTGATCATAATAAACATAAATATAATAATAAAAATAATAATTATAAACGTAATAAGTAAACCTGTTGAAGGAAATTGTAAGATATTAAATACCAAATTTAGTTAATGAATTTTTATTGCCTCTTATCTGTAAAATACAAAGAAAGTTTTTAAATAAAATTGAGATACGTTGATTTGAGTATAAGAATTTTATTTTTATGTTTTTTAGTATATAAATTATATCTTAGATAAATATATATATATATATATATTAGTAAAATATTACAGGTGTAAATGGGAGTGACTAATCTGAAATACGATTGATTAAGCTAACAGATAAGTTGTTAAAATAAAATATTTAAAAATATAAAACAAGTAAGTATAAAAATTAACCAAATGCTTAAAATTAATTTTTTTTATAAACCTCTTGAAACACAATTTTTTGTTACTAATGTCTGGTATAAATATACATTATTGTTATAAAATAAACAATTGGTGAGATAATAGCTGAACTCGCCGAGCTAACGCAAACAAGATTTTCGTAGGAAATTGTATACTTCGTCATATCCGGGTATCTACATCGTTCGGGTTCTGTAAAAAAAAAAAAAAATTATTAAAAAATACGAATGTAAAAAATTATTTCTCTTAGAAACTTACCAGCATTGCACGGGCTGTATGAATGATCGTTAGCAGCAATTGATAAGTAAAAAGGTTTGCACTCATGAATATATGTGGGATCTGGACAATAAATTGTTTCTGAATGTGTGTCAGTCGTGACACAATTAGAAGATGTTACATTGATATTAATCGGATCCCGAGATGTACAGATAGTCAAGCGTGTTCCACTGTAACTCTGAATTTTAATAGTTGGTAAGTTTTCTTCTTCAATTTTATAAAAATAATTTGGATGTAATCTGTAAAAAGTTATTCCAGATGGTTCTAAGTAGTTGGTATAAGATTCTGAGTTTCCACTAGAAGTATAAGATGCTCCACATTGTGTATTAATTAGTCGCCGAGGTACTAAAAATATATTTTCAATTATTCATCAATAAACTGATAATTAATCAACAGTTAAAAGTACCTTGCTTCATTCGGTTGACCAAATTTATAATTTGTGCTGAGTTTTCTTTCGTATTTCCGTTGCTAAACGAAACAATGTCATTTATCGAGTCGACTGTCATCTCAGCCCACTTGTCCTTAGATCCAGGAGTCAAGAAAAGAAGAGTAGCATCAGGAACTGTTTCTTTTAACGTCTTAAGCCTGTCTAAACAAAAAGTCTTATCGCTGTCAGATATTGAAGCTGTCGCAGAAGGTAAAATCAACACGATTTCTGATCTCTGTCCACCAATTTTACTCTCCCATTCTCTGTTTAATTTTTGTTCCTCTCTTATTTTTAAAACTTCCAAACTCTTTGGTAAATCAAACCCATTTTTAAACATTGTAACTGTAATAAAATTATATGAATATTAATATTATCAAGTAAGCTTATATATTTTAACAGAATATATTTTTAAACTTACGTGAAGAATACTGAGTTTCATTAAAACTATAAAAGTCCAAAATATTGTTTGAACTATTAATAAGCACGTTACCATCAAATGCATTTATTAGGGTAAAATTACTGGCGTATTTATTTATGTCACAATTTTCCAACAGAAGTCTAAAAATAATTTTTATTTTTAATATAATTTAAAAATATTTTATTATAAAAAAAATAAAAAAATAAAATATTTACGTAAGAATTGGCTGAATTGCTGGAAACTTCCAATTGGTATCAATAAAAATAGTTAAATCAACAGCGAGACGATTAAATGACCGTAAATTAGCATCACATCCAAGATCGTTGTTCAAAGATGAAGCTAAAAATTTTTATTTCATTAAAAATGATATATTATTTTTAATAAACGTAAATAAAATATAACTTACGAATAAAATTAAAAAGTTCATTGGTAGCCTTTACGGAAAGACTATTAATAAGTTCTGGAGACATTGAAGCAGTAGATATATCTTTTTCTAACGCTAAAGAAGCTGTATAAACCTGAGCAGAAGTGGTATCATTTGGTGCAACACTAGTGAGCAAAGCTCTCCGATCACAAGCTCTTGTGGATACATTGAACAATCCACGGTCGCTGTAATACATGTCGAAAATCTGCGAGAGCTTAAGTGAAGGTATGCTCTGGTACCATGTCATGACAGTGTTTGCTAAAATAAGTCCGTCAAGATCACCACGCACTTCAGCGGCAGTGAATTCAACATTTTCATCTTCATTTAGAAAATAATATTTTTGAGACACTGTTGAATTCCAGTGACCTTCAATTCCGATTTGAAAACGTTCGTCTAGATTTTTAAAAGGACCCTGACTGATGACTACTTCAGCTAGATCACCAGCTAGGGTAGCAAGCCATTTATTGTCCAATCTAACATCTGATAAATTTTCATTTAATCGCCAGTTTCTGAAGACTAAATCACTGATTTTTATCTTTTCTGGCTGTAAAGCTGCTGCTATTCCTGCTAATAAAGGTCCACCGGCTACTGTACCCCATCTAAATTGTCGCAAATAGTCATATTGATAAAAATCAATTACAATTGTTTATAATTACTATTAACTTACTTCGTATGAATTACTCCACTCTCTAATGGGCATTTACTAGTCACCGGTTGTTTATATTGTGCATTTTCCGGATGATTTGGTGGCAAAACAGGATAAAATGAGTTAGGATCAAAATCACCTTCTTTAGATTCATTATTTTTGTTTTTAATAATCTCTCTAAAATTTATTTTTTAAGAATTGGGAAAAAAAATTAATCTATAAAAAAAATAAATAAAAAGTACATAATAAAACACTTACAGTTCTTCCGGAGATAATGTTTCAACGTCGCCAGTTCCTTTATCAATATTTCTTTTCCACCGATATGGACTATTTTGAGTTTGGCAAGTTGTTGGTTCGTCCCCCCGCTCTTTAAAGTCAATGGTACTTGATAAAATAAAATGTAATGCACACTAAAAAAAGGTAATACTTAATTTACAATATAATTTTTCTTTAATGTAAATAAATAATGAAAAAAATTATTACTCTTTCTAATAAAGAAATAGATGAGTTGGGGAAATGTAAACCGTTTCCTTGAATTAATTTTAGAATAGCGGCATTTTTGTAGAATTGAAATGAATTTGGTGCATAAGGAATGACACCAAGCGCTGGTTTTGATTCGGTATTTTCAATTATGCCATCTTGTCGGAACCTATATTCGGTGTGATTAAAAATAATAGTGTTAATTATTATTGAATTAAAAAAAAATTAATTTGAATCAAGACAAAAATTTCTTGAATCAAATGAAACTTACTTAAACGAAGAAAAATTGGGAAATATTTACAAGGGGGGTCAACCATTTTAATTTTCATTTTTTTTTAATGAAATTTCTATGTAATTTTATTGATGTATTTTTTTTTTTTTTTTGAAAAATATACAAAAAAATGAACAATAAAAAAAAGTTGATTATCACAATTTTAACAAATTTTCAAAAAAATTTATAAATTTTGTAGAATATTGATATATTGAATTTTTTTTTTAATTGTTCATTTTTATGAAAATGAAGTTAGCCGCCATTTCAAAATTTTTAGAAATTTTTTTATTGAAAAAATTTCAATTAAACAATTAAAAAAAAAATTTCACTTGTACAGACGTACTGCTAAACTTCAAATTTTCAAAAAAAAATAAATCAAAAAAAGATAAAATAGAAATTTTATCCAAAAACATGAGAGGCAAAATTTTTTCCAACTTTTGAAGACAAAAAAAGCTATCAAAATCTTTATTTTTTTCTTTCACGACTTTTTTTTATCATAAATGCGCCGTAAAAAACAAGCAGAATAAAAACAAATTAAAAAATGTTAACTTTTCACCTATATAGATATGGCCCAAAATGGAGTTGACCCCACTTGTAAATAATTGCCGAAAAATTTCTTATTTAAAGTGTTTTTCTTCTCAAATCAAGAAAATGAAATTCTTAAAAATTATTCACTTGATTCAAGTAATTTTTTTTTCTGTTTGTAATTATCAAATAACATATTATTCTAAAATTATAAAAAGAAAAGAAACTCACCGATTAAGTAAAGAAACAGTAAATTGACGTAAATCCATGTTAAAACTTGGCGAATCTTCAATTTTTCTTAAGATTGCAATAAAAGTGTCCATTGTATACGGTAAGTGATTATCTTTCAAAACGACAAATGAACTATTATAACACTCTAATAATCCACTCGATAATTTACGTTGAGCATTTTCTTGTGTTTGAACACAAGAAAAAATTCCAATCCCTATTAAAAATGCAATCACCCTCATCTTGATCAATAATACTTCACACAATTTTTTAAACTTAGTCTTACTTAAAATGATGTGAAAATAAGATGATTGTAACTATTTCACACAGACTGAAGAAGTAGTACCACACCTCACAACGTTGTACCAAATTCTCCAAATCATATTATCGTTGATAAGATACCTTATCCCATGAGTAAGTTTCCCCTTCTATTCTTCTCGTTGAGAGTATCAACAGGTTTTATTATTCGTCATTCTATGAATAATTTTCTGATAAGCTTTATTATAAGGTTTTATGAGTTTAAATGTTTATATTTATTGCTCTATTAAGGAGGTCATGTGAAATTACTTTAAATAGTAATGAGAGCAATAAATGATTGTTGATCAATACTTAAACTCATTAGCTGCACCTTATTTTGCTGTTATCTTATCGGCCGTATCAAAGGGAGAACTAGTATAAATACGGTCATAACTTGTGAAATATTTAATAAATCAGTGAATCACTAAGACATTATTACAAAATGTTTCTGAAAATCGAAATATCACCAAGTACAGACAGATATTTTTTAATGCTTAGCAAAATAAATTCGATGTTTCATACCACTGTTGTTTAATTTGTTGCTATGATTCATAATTACGAATCACATCATTGATATTATCATTATTATTATTATTAGTTCAGATAAGGAATATTTATCAATTATTTATATAAATAATATCACATTGAAGATTTCTAAAAGATAGTTTAAAGGAAATGATCTAATAATTATATACTAGCAGCCTTGCAGTCACTATATGACTGCCGTGACTTTGTGAACTATAAATAAATAAAATTTTGCTTTATTAAATAATGACTTTTGTTAAATTGCACTGTATTTTCTTAAATATTGACATTTTTAAAGATATAAGCTCATTCCGATGTTACACTCATCAAGAGCTTTCATTTAAATACCGATATGCATTTTCATATATTTTTCTTATATACATATATATAAAATATATAAATATATGAAAAATGCATGTGGGGACTTGATACACAGAAAAAAGTAAACTGTAATAAATAACAATCGATTTGTAATAGTAAAATCGTGATTTTACTATTTACTTTATAATATTTACCATTTAAACGTTACAATTTACTCTTTATATGGAACAAAATACTATTTCAAACAGTAATATTCGTTATGTAAATGTCTAAAATGTTAAAATATAATAATTAAGAATTCAGACTTTGATATTTATCATTTTGTACCTAAAAAATGATCTTATGATATATAAAAAATATAAAATTTCTAATACAAGCAACGTCAATATTTACAAAGTAAAATGGTAAATTTTAAACGCAACGCTTAAAATCAAACTGTGATTATTGACTTGCTTGGACTGGTAAAATGAATATTTTAGTATAATTTTTACTGTTTTAAATGTTAAATTCTCCCAGAGTGAGACTCCTTCTCTTTCATCTGAGTTCCCCTTCTCCTCATAACATGGACTATATATTGAAATGACAATTTTTAATAATACTAAAGTTAGCCGACGTTTTTAATTTTTTGATTTTTTTCTAATAATTAAATTAGAACAAAAAAAATATTTTTTAAAAATTGCACTTACACTTTTTCAAGTTTTTAACAAATAACAATTTTTATTTCTTTTTTTTTGTAGGCATTTTTTCAATAAAAAAATTTTTTTTTAATTTTTACATGTCGGCTAACTTAATTTTCATCAATTTTTACTGTTTGAAACTGTAATTTTTTAAGATGAAAGAGTCGTTATTTGCTATAGTGACAGCTACTAATCATACTTATTTTGGATATTAAATTATAAATTGTGGCTTTTATACTTTCTACATTAAGTTCTGTAATATTTATATTTTTGCCACCCCGATGTCCGCTTTACTGTTTATAAAAATTAACCGGAATCCGAGTGAATATTACAGTTTTTCTTATTGTCTTAATAACATAGATTTTTAAAAGTCTAGACTTTTTCTGATACTGTACATCAATAAATGAATACATTAGACAAAGCATGTTTTGAATATTGTTGAAAAAAAATTTTATTCAAAAGAAATCAGATAGGTAAAAGTAAATTACAATAAAAAATAATTAATTATTGAAATTTTGTTATTGATTTATCGAAAATTGAGAAAAAATAATTAATTTTAGATTCCGATTTAATGATAATCATTCAAAGTTGACTCTTGATACTTGTAGGACCTATTGCCAGAAGAATGAACAAGATGAAGTGTAGTCTCCTTGTGATTGTGAACAATTCACATTTACCAATTACCAGCTGTTGTAGTACCCATGGCCCAATCCGTGGTAACCAAGACGAAGAGGGGAAGTGTACAAAGGTGAATGGTAACCACCGTAAGCATGTGCGGGAGCTACATGAGCCGAGTAAGCTGAGTGACTCAATATCGGTGATACTACTCCGTGATTTAAAGCTGAGTAGTAAGGTGCGCTCGCGTAACCATGTCCAAGTCCTGAAAAAAATTATTTTTATACTGTCGGATTAATGTACATGTCTTCTCACACGATCTTAGATAATATATTTTATTACTAAAACGTGTTATAAATAAACCTCAATATTACGTAAATGTAAATACTTGTTAATTAATTAGCCTGTTTAAAATTTCTGATTTATCTTATCAAAATATTTGATTTTTTATAAATTTTTGATCAGACTATGATAGTAGATCCGGATTTTTATTTTTATAAGGTTCAATCGAAGCTTTTAAACTTGCAGCTTCTAAATTAAAATTTTTGAAATTGTTATATGAAAATCGATTAAATTATAAGACGAATATATAAATGTATAATTTTTTTTTTTTTCGTTAATTCTTTATCATAATTTTAATAAAAATTTAGTTATGAATAATAATAGAAAATATTATTTTATATTTTTGGAAAAATTAAACTTTTTTAAAGATTATGTTCCAAATGACGAACAATATAATTAACAATTTAATAAAAATGTAATTTGAATTGATTAAAAACAATTTGAAATAATTCGAAATTATTTGAGTTGACTAACATATAGATATCGAGGGTCTAATTAGCAATTGGTCTAACTCTTTTTTTCAAGGGTGATTTTTGGATGTAACAATAATCCAATTATAAATTATTTCAATGATCCAAACCAAAATATTATACCTCTATTAGATATTAAATGGTTTTTTAAAATGACAATAAATTTTTAACTAATTGTTTTTTCGTACAAATGGAAGATTCTCTAAAATGGAGTTAGACAATTTGCTAATATACACTTTGCAGGGATTGAATAACTTTAAATGAGATTCCTCTATCAGGGCAAGCTTCAAATTCATTTTTCTCCAAGTTTTTTAAGCAATTTACTGAAAATTATAATTTTAAATCTAAATAATTACCATGGTAACCATAAGCATGAGCTCCACCATAATGACCACCGTATCCTGGGTATCCAAGACCAATAACTCCACGTTTTTCCTGTTTCTTCGGCTCAACAGCGTCTTCACCAAAGATAGGTGAAGCAAGAGCGAAGAGCATGATGATTATCTAAATGAATTATTAAATTAATTTTATTACAGATTCCACAGAAATTTATAAATGCAAATCTGCTTACCAGAGTGTTCATGATGGGATTGAAATAACGATTGATTTCAAACGATGCTTACACAGATGATAGTTACTTGTAACTGATGCAGATAGTGTCTAGACACACCCCTTTTATACTAAAGTTGTCTAGTCTTTTCATGCGGGGGATAGATTATGTGACGAAATCGAGTTTGTAGTAAATACAACGATCTGAATCGTGAGAGTAACAAAATGCACATACAGACGCGGGGATTGTCAATAACACCGCTAAAGATTATTGCAATGTTACAAATATACAGCACAACAATGTAATATTGATATATAAACAGTTCTAGATCATGAGCCTTTCTAAAAGAGTATTATTTTAAAAACTCATTTGTTATAAAAAAAAAAAAAAAAAAAACCTTGATTTGGAATCAATCAATTGATGTCCGATTGTCTATTATCAATAGATATAATGGGAAAGCAATTATATTGGGTAAGATAAACTTATTTCTCATGATCTATAATTTAAATTTTCAATATTGTATTGTTATTATTTATGTATAAAGTACTTTAATTGTAAACTAGCAATCTGCAGTCATTATGTCACTATGCGACTGCCAAAATTTACGAATTATGAATAAAAAAACTTTGGCTTAATGATTTTTTTATATTTACAATCACACTGTATATAGTTTGAGTACTTTTTAAATAAATTTAAAAAATAGTAGTGCTATTACAGGATCAATTACAAATAATTTTATGGACAGATTTATAGAACCGAAAAACTATTAAAAACTCCTCCAAAAACTTATAAAAAATTGACTATCACTAAAAAATATATAAAATCGTGAAAAGACACTAATTCTTGTTTCGACCTTTTTGATGATACCAAATTAAACTATAAAAATATCTTTAAAAATAATAATATGCACGTCACAAAATTTATTTCCTTTCTCTCTCAATTATTTAAATCATAAATAACTATCGCTAAAAAATATCAAACCCAATTTCTGATAAATATATACCCGTTACTAAATTTTTCTTAGTCTTCTCAATTATATAAATTAATTTTTAACTTATAACATCACGGCTGCCCAATTTCAAAACACAGTAACTAACATTTCAAAATTTTTTCCAATTTTTCTTATTAAAAAAAATTTTACCCGCCAAATTGATGAAAAATTTGATTTATGAATAGAAAATATTTGAATATAAATATTTCTAAGAAAAAATACTTGAAATTAAGGTCTAAAAGTTATAAAAAATGCAGCAATACTAAAAAAAAATCAGGTATAAAAATTTTGCAGTTACTGTGATTTAAAATTGGGCAGCCGAATCATTTACGTATACAAAATAAAAAAAATTTTGTTTATCGCTAAATTCGAATCTATTATAACTACTTCAAAAACTTATCATAATGCATAATCTATTTTAGAAAAGCATATCGACGGTCTAATTAGCAATTTGTCTAACTCCTTATTTTTTCGAGGGTGATTTTTTAACATTTTGATGTAGCAATAATCCAATTATAAATTATTTGAATGATTCAAACCTAAATATTATATCTCTATTAGATCTAATTAATTTTGAACTAATTGTTTTTTTCGTACAAATAGAACATTCTCTAAAATGGAGTTAGACAATTTGCTAATAAGAACGTCGATATGAAACATTGAAAAGGCACAACTTCAGGTCAAGACCTTTCCAACGATACCCAATTTAATCATAAAAACCCATTTTATCATATAAATACACTGGCCACAAAATTTCGCTTATTCTCTTAATAATATAGATTAGCTGAAATAAAAAAAAATCATAATAATGATAAATGGTTAAATATTTAATCTGCCTTATGCAAAAATGTAATCCATACTAAACCTAGACCGGTGTAATAATTTCCTTGTACGCATCTTGAATTTCACATGTTCCCAAAAGTATACATGAACTTTCACTGTTACAAATATCATTGAACATTTACGTAATTTCATAATAATAAAATAAATATATATGTGGACGTGTGCTTGATAAAATTTGTGTTTTTTTTTTTTTTTCTATTGAGTGTAATGTGTATCCAGTAAATCCTTTTAGTTTTTTATAATCTTGCGCCAGAATTATTTCCTTTTAAACACGACATATCTTTCATTCTTTGTGATTAAATTCACGACCTGTTTCAGGTAAGGGGTGAGGGACCTATACGGCGAGCCAAAGTATTTGTGACCAAACAAAACTATTATTGCAGTCTTGCAGTGTCTTGTCAATTACGACGACAGAAGTGTCATTCGATGCAAGATCCCTGAGGGCATAATTTTGCATCAAGGTAAATTTAATAATAAAAATTGTGGATGGAAAAAAAATTCACATGAAGATTTTTAATCTAAATTTTATGATTTTTTAATCTAAAAAAATAATAAAGATAAAAACTTTTTCTTTATTTGAATCAGATCAAAAAACGTCATAGTTACGTTACGCTGGAGATTTCCGAGGCCTCAGGCTACGTGATAAACGTAACAATCGCTACTCATGACTGCTATCCATCTCAAACTGAATTATGATCTTGTTTATGTCCGAGTCACCAACTAAGATCTATGATTGTATTTATATATGTAGTAACCCGTAAATGCCCCGAGCAAATTGTGAATAAATTGTTGCCGGCACTCTGATGGATAATGCTGAAAAAATAAAAAATATAAGTATTTATATTTCTATTATTTCTTGGGAAATATAAATAAAATAAATAGTTCACAATAGTTACTTTGATTAATGGATCCAATAAATGATTGTCATTGATTGCGATAAAGTTTCTTGTGGATATAATTTAATTGACGTTATTAAGAAAGACACTTACTTAATGATTTGCGGATTAATTATTGAAAGCCATTAGTTAGCGTTTACAAAGATTCTTTCAATTTAATCAAGTAATTTCAATCACTTCAAGAACCAGTTTTAAATTAATCGATTAACTTATATTTAAATTGGGCATCACGAGAAAAAATGAGAATTTGAAAAATTTGAGAATTTTAAGATAGTAGTTGAAATTGAAAAAAATTCTTGAACTAAGAAAATAATTTTGAAGAGTTTTATTGTTTTTAATCAAAACGAAAAATTCTTGAATCAAGTTAAATTTATTTAAACCAAGAAAAATTTTTTAGTTTAAGAATTTTTCTACTCAATAATCAAGAAGATGAACCTCTTCAAAATTATTTACTTGATTCAAGTAAATTTTTTTTTGTGTGGGAAAAAATTAAAATTGTTACATGGTAATCCAGGAGCAGATTTTCAGTACAGTCACTTAAATAGCTTTACATTTTAAAATTTACGACGTTACATTGTGAAAATTTGGAGATTTACTACTTCTATAGGCATTTTTACGATGTAACATTGAAAATTATAAAAGTTGACCGTATTGAAAATCTGGTCCTGGATTACAACGTAACCATTTTAATTTTTCCTTCAATTTTTTCCCATACATACCATAGATTAATCGCAATCAATAGTATATTACACACCGAGGGAAGTAAAGTAAGAAATGTCTCAGATCACATGTAATGTGTCGGCCAACAATTACATGTAATCTGAGGCTTTCTTATTTACTTCCCGAGGAGTGTATGCTATTTTTTTGCTCGACGAAGGCAGAAAATGGCAATTTCGTTTAGCGCAGCGGGCCGAAATTTGACGCTTTCTGCCCGTCGAGCAAAAAAAATATTTGTTTCAAAATGTAATTAAGAAGTGTAATTTTTTTAATTTAAAAGCTGTAACTTTTTATGATTATCGAATAATAATTTAGATTTTAATCTCTTTTGGCCGTTGGACTTGATCTAGTCTTTCTGAAGTATACATTTGTTTTTCCCCATTTCCCAAATGTTAGCTCAGAACAATTTTTCTTCACCCGCTTTTGGCACGAGGTCCAAAAATGTTGATTTGAAACAGAAAATACTATTTTGAGATAATACACAGACAGATAGTATAATATACAATTCTCGAGTTCTGGAGCGCTCATCTATATATCCTATAGCTTCATAAATATTCGATATTTTTATTTTCTTCTTCCTCGGATCCAGTGTACTCGCAACATTTTAGATTTTCAAACTATGAAAAAATAATTGATTTTTGGACACTTCCACATAGACTTCCTCTTTTAAACCTTACAGTTGTATCCTTTTATTCTGGTGGTATACTTTTCTTCATATTTAAATAGAAAAGTTAATACTCAAAGATAATCTACTTTCAGACAAAATTGTACTTCTCTATGCATTAATTTAGTGTGTAGACGTTTTATAACTTTTTCTTTAAATTTTTTTTAGCTAACAGAAGAAGTTTTTTTCTTTTTTTAATTCCTTTTATTTAGTTTGCAGATCCCGAAAATCAAGATATTTCGTTATAGACAATTAATTGTATACCATGGAATAAAACAAATAAGTAAGCCCGAGATTGCGACGCTCTGTGACATCGGTGATAGGTTTTGGGTTAAATTATCAATTTTTTATCCTAAACAGTATAAATTACTTAAAATTAATAGTATTTAATGAAAAAATTTATTCTTCATTAATATTGTTTTCTTGTCAATTAAATACAATGGTTTTTATAAAATGCATTTTTCATTATTTACTATTTTAATTTAAACAATATTTATCTGCAAGTAAGATATTTTTGGTTTTATACAACTATACTTCTGGTTAAAATAAAACTTCTTGAACTTAGTCTTGCTTTATACATTTCATTTCTATTAAAATTTTATTAATATAATTTTGTACAAATTTAAATAATGGTTATTTTAAAATTTAACCACAATTTTTTGTCTTATTTGTTCAATTCAATAGAATAATAATAATAACAAAAACTAATAGGTAGTATTAACGAAAATAATTCAAGCATGTCAACATTACATTTTTCCAATAGCCTTCATTTTTTAACAATCTTATTCTAAAAATTATAATATAAAAGTCTTTGTTACAATATAATATTCATATTTCTTAAACAAATTACAATTTTGTTTTTGTTTATTTTTATTTTTTATTTTCATTAGTATATACAATCAGATTATTTGAAATATTTTTCTAGTATAGAGTACTCATGAAATTTGAAACCCTATTTAGAAAAAAATTCAATTCATGACTTAATTATCAGAAGTATAAAAGTTAATTCTTTATCTTAGAAAATTACTTGCTGCTAAGTATATTGAATTAATAAAAAAAAATATATAAAATATAATTTAAAAAAAAATATCACTACGGCCGTAAAAAATTTATTGCGAATATTTATATCTAAATGTTTTCAAAAATCTGTTATTTACTTATTTTTGTGATGAAATAAATTAGTTAAAAGTCTATACTGTGACAGTTTTTTATCTTTGATATTACGTAATTTTCAGGAGTAAAATTACAACGATTATCAAAAATAATAAAAAAAACAAGCCTTAGTTTTTAAGTTTGTTTTTTTATACAAAAAAATATATTGTTGTATATAAATACAACAAAAATTAAGCATTAAAATAAACCAGCGTTAATCCTTTTTTTTTAAATATCAAGAAATAAAAAAAACGATAGTGTTTAAGTGATGACAAATATATTTTTTTAACAAAGGTATATTACTCAATTATATATTGTGTCTTGAAGAAATATGTTTTATTTTAATAAAATTTTTTTTTGCATGTCGTCTGAATCCTATAAAGTTTAAAACATTTTCCACTACAATTTTTTCGTAAAGGCCATTTTTTTTTCTATCCATGTGTTTATACCTAGCTCTTAATTTTTAATTTCAAAATCTCAATTTACCAACTTTTTGATAAACTATTTATTATTTAAAAAAGCTTTTTTCTCTACTAAACACTATCGCTTTATTTTGATTATTAATAAAAATAGTGCTAATAAATCAATTATTAAAAAAATAAAAATAGCAAAAATCTCGACCATTAGTGATTGGTTATTAAACTGAAATACTGGATTTAAAATGAATATTTATCAAATAAAAAATACAATAAAATTACATGTACCTACAATTGACTTGTATATACAAAAAATCCACTAGATAAATTCAATTATAAAACTATATAACCATCCTCTTCAACAATCTACCTGTTTTACATTTTTTACAAACCCCGCAATCATAATTAATTGTAAAACAAAATGACTTTATCAAGGTAAATCAATAAAAAAAAAATTTATTAATTTGCACTTCAGTAGTGCCTTTATTGACGTTGTCACACGTCAATTTGTATATCACTATCGTCAGCTTCACTTTCTGTACTAACTATCGCATCTTCACCAACGAGTAAAGCTGCAGGAAGGTTTTGTGGTACATTATCAATGTCTAATCTTGGTGTTGAATAAACATTTAGTACTTGAATGGTGGTTGGTGATGTTGATAAACACTGTTGTACTGAACTAAGTGTATCAGAACTTAAACTATCACAATCAAGTGGACTCGAGAGCTGTAACTGTAAATTGTGTAGCTCTGGTATATGTGGCCTGATCTAAAATATCAAATAATATTAATTGTTAACAATTCATTCAATTAAATAAATAAAGATTAAAAGAAAATAACAAAATTACTTTCAAACCATCAGCAGTATGAGGGTTTCTACATCCTCGACATCTACATTCAATACACGGCTTACTTTCAACATAACAAGGACATCTTTGACCACAACACGTTAATTTTCCTGGTATTGCCGTAGCATTTCCACACCTACATCCTTTTCTTTTGCTTCTTGTTGAGCTAGATCTTGGTTTTTTGAAGCTTGTTGATGACTGCAATAAATTATTCCATAATTTATCAAATGAACAATTATTATCTATTAATCTACTTTTAATTTATGAAAATCTATACTAATAAATGAAGAGCCGGTTTTTTTGTCCGGTTATACAACGAAAACTACTGAACCGATCAAAATAATACTAATACCATAAGATGCAGCGTGTTTCCGGAACCTATATTTTTTTAACTTATAAATAATGAATTTTTATTGCAACTAAATTTATTCTATTCGATTGTCATTTGTTAAAAATAAATTTTTTAATTCTATTGGTTATGTTTATATACTAGGCAGATTTCTTCACTTATGAGACCGGCAATTTCTTCAACTGAAACTTTCAATGCTCATTAAAAATTTTTTTTTTCATATCAATTATTATTCATTTTTGTAAGAAAGACACGGGAATGTTATAATGATTTCACATTGAAAGTTACAATGAATATTAGCTAGAATAATTACATGGATAAAAGGTGCGTGCCAATTCAATAAAATTGGGAATCTGTGCAAGTCAAAATAATACTCTAATTAAATTTCAAGTATAGATACAAAAAATGCAATTCTATAAAGCGCCCAGCGGAGCGCGCGAGTAATAGCTAGTGATTAATATAAAAAATGAAGATGATGATAGCAAGAGTATGATTAGATGTTAATGTTCGGGCAGTTTTTTTTTATGACAATCATTAATTGAAGAAAAAAAAAAAAAGATATTGCATGGCATGATATGACAAGTTTGTAAGAAAAATTACTTTGCTGCCCTTTGACGATTTTTTTGGAGAACAAGTTCCATATGAAAGTTGTGAAGATGGAATGCATTTTACCCCTCCTGCAGTTCCTCTCGACGGATTATCAATATCCTGTTGGCTGAGATCAGTGTCTTCTACAGAAGTGGCAGCTTTGCGTTTTATTGTTATTTTATTACCCGAGCCTGCATACATCACAGAGTATATTGATGATCCATTTGAGACAGTTCTTATTGTTGGAGATTCTATAAAAAATAAATAAATAATTAGGAATGAATTAATAATTAATAAATAAATTAAAAAAAAAAAAAAAAAAAAAAACACCAAAGCCAATAAAATTCAATCAATTACCAGGTACAGTTGTTGCCAACGGGTCAACGGTTGGCTGTAACGTGTTAGCTTGTGTTTGTGTTGACGTTGTACTAGTGTAAACACAAGGCAATATACTGTAAGCAGATTTTGATAATCCAGCATTGCTTTTAAATTCATCTTTAAAACCTGTGCCTTCTTGAATGAGCTCAATAAGACTGGTGGCACCAACCACAGCAGCACTATTGCTCGAAGCATTTGAAGACACAGTAATAATAAGACTACGGTAAATATTAGTACTTGTGAGATATTCACACAACTTTTTGTAACACTGTAATAATATTCGTAGTTGTACATTTTCAATATATTTGTCGTAATCCTTGCACCAGCCACACGATGGTTTTAATTTTTTACGGCCACCACGACAACCTCTACACACATGATGTTGACAATTTGTCTCCGTTGGTGTATGAGGTTCAATCAAAAGATTGGAGCATACCGTACAGCTGAGACTTTGCCTTAAATATGGTACTAGTCTGTATAAATCTGTCCATGAATTTGAATCTTCAGCGTCGGCTTGCAATACAAGCCGACATGTTGATACATATAAACTCGTTGCATTCATTATTTTGTTTTATTTTATTTTATTCTATACATTCACTTACACACAATTTAATAATGAACTATCAACAATCCATCTATTATAAATAAATAAATATTATTTTTTGGACTACCCTAAATAATTAGGTATATTAATTTTATTAATTATTCTATGCATTACCGAATGGTATAACCATTTTTTTGCACAAACAAAACAGTCGCCATTGTTAAAATTATTTTTAACACTAGGCACTAGATCAACATTTTTTTTAATACTTCTAGTACTTTTCGTTTGTTATCAATTTTTTGGAGAGTAGATGGACAATCAAAGTTAATTAAAAATTCGCATTTACTTTTTTTTTTTTAATAAATATTATTGTGTAATTGTTGTTGTATAAAAATGGAACTTTGTAAATAATTACGGGTTTTCATTGTTTTCTATTTTTAATCTAATTTATTGAGAAAAAATTATTGAATAGAAGCAGTGTTGGCAACTGCATTTAAGTTGGCAGTGTTATTTTTCGTTTGGTTGTCTAAATTGAATCAAAATCTGAAATTTAAAAATTAATTTTTTTAGTTTTTTTAAAAAGTGGTTAAATTAAAAAAAAAAATAAATAAACAAATTTGTTTCTTCAATATTTAATTGTTTAATTTATAATTAACAATAATCAAATGCTAAATACTAATAAAAAATTTTTATTTTTAAAAAGTTATGTCTGCCAACTTCAGAGTGCTGGTTGAATTTTTATGTGTTTTGATATCACTGACTAGATAAAAGTGGTTAACTTCACGGATAATTGAAAAACAATAAAGAGCAGTAGAAAAAAAAAAATCTTGAAAGTGTGTCTTCAAGTGGCTCAGTGAAAATATAAAGATTTTTTGGTAACATAAAATTTTTTAATCATCAGATGTGTTCTCCAACGGTTGCTTAAACTTAACTACGCAAAAGTTTTTTAAGTACTGATTTTTTTAGTCCTAATGTATACATATATCCGTATTAATTTTTACAAATAGTTTTGAAATTATTATTTTATTATGATACTCGTATTGTAGGTTAGCTTTTTAGATATATCAAGAATGGCGGAAAAAGCAATAATGAAGGTAAATATTTTACTCCATTTAATTACAAAAATTAAGAACATAATGCCCTAGAGATTAAATTTCTAATGAAATGGAATTAGTTGGCACAACAATTTTTAAGTTTTTTTTTTTTTTTATTTCAAAAAATATATTACTATAACAATATATTAAAGAAATTTGCATACTTTTTTTTATTCTTTATATATACAAATTCTTTAGTATTTTTTATAATAATTTATGTTTCTGTTAATTTGTAAACAGCAAATTAACGAGCAAAAGCTGAAAGCTTTCTCCATTGGCACCATGGGAAAACGACCGCAGAGTAAAAAAGAATTAGAGGAGCAGAAAAAAAAAGAACAAGAGCAAGCAGCAGCTCAAGTAAATATTTTTTCAATATTAATAAGAATATAAACTACACTGTTTTTTCATTACATTTATTGTTAACAGTTAATAGTTATTCATGTATTTATATTTATGATTAAAAGGGTTTAATATTTAATTTATTTCCAATTTTAAAGGCTTTCGAAGAGTTCGTAGCAACATTTCAAGAAACTCCAAATAAAACCACTAGTAAAGTATGGATAAAAGCCGGTACTTATGATGCTGGAAAAAGGCAAGAAGATACTAAAGACAAAGGAAAATTGTACAAACCACAATCAAAAATATCTGAATTAGTTGATAGTCGCTCATCAGCTGAGCAAGCGCAGGAGTATGCTAAATTACTTGGTTCCAACGAGCGTAAATTAGATAGGCTTGGGAAAAAAAAGAGAGAAGGTGAAAAGAAGAAAAGTAATCTAGAGACATTTAAGGAAGAATTAAAAATGATTCAAGAAGAAAGAGAAGAGAGGCATAAGTATAAAGGCGTTGTTAAAAATGTTGTTATGTCTCAGTCTGCTGACGATCCAATGCTGGCTGCTTTAAAGTCAGTTGAGGGTATGATATTGTTTACATAAATATTAATATTATCATTTTTACTTTATTTTTCTATTACTTTATTATTTTTCACTATAAAAAAAACATAATTTTTTTTTTACATTAGGCTCTAGTCCTAATTTTCACGATTCACGAAAAGCTCTACGCAATTATGTCGATGATCCTCACTTTTTATCCATGATTTACGAGGGTAATCCATTTTATCCTTTATCCTTTTTCATTACCCTTTTCTGAAAGCTCTAAAATAAGTAATTTTTATTTTTAATTATCTTAAAATACTATTTTTAGATGGTTCTTTTGACAACGGTGATCCTAATACGACTAATTTATATTTGGGTAATTTAAATCCTAAAGTAAGTATCATTAATTAAATTTTTTGAGTATGGAATTAAATTTTTTTAATTAAGCTTTATTGTTATTCATTTTATTAGATCACAGAACAACAATTAATGGAAATATTTGGTAAATTTGGTCCATTAGCAAGTATAAAAATAATGTGGCCAAGAAGTGATGAGGAAAAGGCTAGACAACGAAATTGTGGATTTGTTGCATTTATGAGTCGTAAGGATGGTGAAAGAGCGTTGAAAAACTTGAATGGTAAATTATCACATATATTATTACTTTAGTTAATGGACTAATTTATTTAAAAAATAATTAATTGAATAGGTCGTGATATAATGCAGTACGAAATGAAGTTAGGTTGGGGAAAAAGTGTACCAATACCACCATATCCAATTTACATTCCGCCAGCATTGATGGAGATAACGCAGCCACCACCACCCTCTGGCTTACCGTTCAACGCACAACCTCACCGTCGTGATAGACACAAGGTACCCCAGTCAAAGCACTCCCAGCGCGTAATTAATAAAACGCTCAATCACTTCTTCAATCGAATTTCGTTTTATTACTACTTGATATTTTACCCCTTATATATTACTTAGATTTATAAAACATTTTTTTTTTTAATTTAACATCAAATACCTTAAGTGTCTATGAAAGTTGATTATCATTATTTAATCAACATCAAGACGTTAAAATGTTTTTATTTGTTTAGCCATTGATGAATTGTTAGGATTTTGAAAAAAAAAAAAAAAAAAAAACGCGACAATTATTTGTAAATTTATTAATTTAGCATAGTTACCAGCGATCTTTTTATGGAACTTTTTTCTTAAATTTGTGTTTTTTTTAGTGCATTATATTGCACTAAAAATAATTTATTACATTTAAATTACTATAAGCCATCATTAACGATTTTTTTTGTTACTCTCGTTCTTAATTACTATTTTTTTTTTCATTTTTTTTTTTTTTTCATTTTTCATGTAAAATTTTTGAACCGTATAACCATGTTTTTGAAACGTAATCTCAGATACCACGTATCCGCAACCTCCAGAGCGCGGACCCCCAGGAGAAGGAAAACTTCGAAAAGGTAAAATTAATTTACTTCTGTTAGAAAAAAATATAAGCAAAAAAAATTGATTAGTCAATCAAATAAACCAAAGAAACAGAGCAAAAGCGCATAATAATTTTCATTATTAACTACACCGTGAGCTCATCAAAGGTCAATAAATAGAATTAAATTGCTTATTTTAATTATTTGGATGAAGTGCAGATGTTAATTAAAAATCAATAAAAGTAGTAATTGATACAAATTACGTACAATTTTCATCAATTTAAGACTATTAGAGTCTGAATAATAAATCGGTAAGTGTGAGACTGATGTGCTGAAAAAAAAAAAAATGAATAAATGAATGAATAAAAAAATAACTAGTAGTAAAAGATACATTAAAGTGGCAAGGAAGATGTTAAAACCTTGACTATTGTTTAAATGTCAAATGACAAATCTAATCTACGTTTACAAATTGTGTTATTGTAATGACTTCTTGTTGGCGTACGTTCTTCGGGGCACGAAATTTGGCATACGAATTGGGCTGGCACATCACCAACCCCATACTGAATACTGTGTCTATCAACTATTCCAAATCTGTCTGTCACACTCTGTTGCATACTGTGATCTTGGACCTTGACAGACTTTGCAGAATGCCGTTGTCAAAGTGGTTATTCCAACGGAAAGGTATTTGTTGATTTTTTTAGTTATGTACTGTCAAACTATTGTAAGTATTAAACGCAGTATTATACTTTCCATCAACACGTGTCCACTGGATGGAGATTGACGTGTGAAGGAATTTTATATTTTTTAAAAATTAATAATTAATACTTAGAAAAAAAAAACACACACACCGTTTTTTCTGCAAGTTTTATGAGCCCATCTTTCAATTTTCATTGTGCGTTATAGGAACTTAGTCATGTTGATACATAGGATGGTGGAATTTGTTATTCGCGAAGGTCCTATGTTCGAGGCTATGATTATGAATCGTGAATTGAATAACCCCATGTTTAGGTAAATATATTTATTTTTTTATTGATAACATAATTTTAAGCATTAAAGTAATGAATTTTTATTAATAAAATTATCAATTATTATTTGCAGATTTTTATTTGAAAATTACTCACCAGCACACACGTATTATCGATGGAAATTATATTCAATATTACAAGGAGACGGACAAAAAGAATGGCGTACGGATGATTTTCGAATGTTTAAAGGGGGTAGTGTGTGGAGACCACCGCCTATGAATCCTTGGACTCAAGGGATGCCTGAAGAGTTAGTTGAAATTGAAGAAAGACAAGAACCAAAAAGAGGCAGTTTATCTAATAGGTAAAATAATAACTCAATAATACACGCTCATAATTAATAAACAAAACTAATTAATTAATATATTTTTTGAATTAGTCAACGTGATAGATTGGAAGATTTGCTCAGAAATATTTCTCCAGAACGTTTAAAAGTTGCAGAAGTAATGGTATTTTGTATCGAACATGCTGAAGCAGCTGAAGAAATATGTGACTGTATTTATGAGTCATTATCTATATTACAAACACCAGCTAATAAAAAAATTGCGAGATTATACCTCATCTCTGACATTTTGCACAATTGTGGTGTTAAAATAACAAACGCTACCATTTATAGAAAAGCGTAAGTCTTAATTTGTATTATTTTAAAAATATTATTAGTAAAATTATAATTCATATTAATAAGTGATTATACTTACTTTATTTATAGATTCGAAGCACGTCTATTAGACATATTTACCGAAGTTCATCAAGCCTACACACATTTTGAAAGTAGATTAAAAGCAGAAGGCTTTAAAATTCGTGTAATGCGGGTATTTAAAGCTTGGGAAGATTGGGCAGTTTATCCACGAGAGTTTTTGCTCAAGCTACAAAATACTTTTCTCGGCCTTGCAATTAATACTGAACCAGAACCCATCAATGATGAGGATATCGACGGTGCTCCATTATCAGATGTTGACGGAGATACTGGTGAAGATTTGGATGGCATACCTCTTGACGGTGCAGCACTTTTGAAAGGAGCTATGAAACTTGGGCTTACTCCTCAACCTAGTAGTAATTATGATGACATTGACGGTGTTCCAAGTCAGTAATTATAAAGATTTATTTTTTATTTCAAATTCATGTTATAAAATTTTATTTAATTTATCATTTATTTATCTCATTGTAGTGGATGATGATATTGACGGTATTCCGATGGAGGATAATCGTACACAGACTAAGAAAACAAATGATAAAAAACCTATAATGCTCGCGGGTTTTGTACCTTCACGATGGGAAACTGTCGACCCTGATCAAGTAGAAGCACAAGCTATGACTACGAGTAAATGGGAAGAATTGGAACAAAATGATGACTCTAATTCACAAGATGCCAGTATGGATTCTAGGTAAGCTATATTATTAAGAGAATAAGCGAAGTTTTGTGGTCAGTGTATAGTATTTAGATGATAAAATGAGTTTTTATGGTTAAATTTGGTATCGTTGGAAAAGTCTTGAGTTGTGCCTTTTCATGGTTTCATATCGTTCTCACCAATAGTCAATTTATGATGATAAGTTTTTAGGCTGCATTTGAAAATGCTCTATCTCTAGATACATAATTAAGAAATTACCTGTTATCTCGTGAACTATTGTCATTTTTGAAGATATAAACTCATCCCGATGTTACACACTCATCAAGAGCTTTCATTTGATTACCCACATCAATTTTTCATATATTTATATATATCATATATATGTATATATGAAAAATATATCAAAATGCATGTGGGTACTCAAATGAAAGCTCTTGATGAGTGTAACATTGGGATGAGCTTATATCTTTAAAATATATCAATAATTAAGAAATGACCTCGTATCTTGTCAACAACTGACATTTTTAAAGATATAAGCTCATCCCGATGTTACACTCATCAAGAGCTTTCATTTGAGTACCCACATCAATTTTTCGTATATTTATATATATTATATATATATATATATATGTATATACTTATGAAAAATATATCAAAATGCATGTGGGTACTCAAATGAAAGCTCTTGATGAGTGTAACATCCGAATGAGTTTATATTTTTAAAAACGTTAATAGTTAAGAAAGTACAGAGCATTTTAACAAAAGTCATTATTTAACGAAGCAAAATTTTATTTATAGTTCACAAGTCACGGCAGTCACGTAGTGACTCCAAGGTTGCTAGTAGTTATTCATTTATGATTATTTAAAAAAATTCTTAAATAATTAATTAATTATTGTATTTACTCTTAGCAGTCGAGATTACAACGAAGAAAGACGTACTAGACTACGTGAAATAGAAGTTAAAATAATGCAATACCAAGATGAATTGGAAAGCGGTAGGAGAACACTAAAGTCAGGAATGACCATTCAATCTCAAGTAGAACATTATCGTAAAAAACTTATCAGAAAGGTAATCAATCACATTTTTTTTTTATTCTTATTTTAAATTATAACTTCAATGAATCTGTTGTAGAGTGAGAAAGAATCGAAAGAAATAAAAAACGAAGAAAGAGATGATGATAGGCGAAGAGAAAGACGACGTAGTACGTCAACTGATTCACCAGTTCATTATAGAGACAGACGAAGAACTTCACCTAGTCCTCCTCCAAAAAGTAGCAGTCGCTATAGGTAATAAAATATCTCAATCTAATATAACATATTATTATTTAACTTCTCTTCATCAAATTAATCTTTAATTTAAAAATGAAATAGATCACGTAGTAGATCACCGAGAAGTAAACGAAGATCACGATCGCCTTATAAAAAGCGTGCCCTATTAACTCCATCACCTCCGCGAATACGTACAACCCCATCTCCAGTATTTTCAAGCTCACGATCATCACGGAGATCATCACCTGTAAGTGAAAGAAGTGAACGTAAAAAGCGTGTACGTTCTCCTTCAATATCACCACCACCTCCGCCAAGAAGTTCTATTAAGCATAGACTTAGCAGTCCACCTTCGCCGTTGCCCAGAAAACACAGACATAAGCATAAATATTAAATGGTATCTTAAGCCGACGTTTTTTTTTGTTATTGTTTTCTACATCTATCTTATTAATTCTACGACACTTTTAATTATTTTATTTCATAATATCAAAATTATGAAAGCTATTTAATTTGTATTTTATATTGTTTTTATACAATATGTAAAAAGAAATTTAAGATTTTACTAAAAAAAAAAAAATTTATGATAATGATCATAATAGTAATAGAAATAATAATAATTGTATAGAATCATCAGTTAAAAGTCACTGAAGTCATTTATGTTTCATTTATATTTAATAATGTATAAGCTTGCATAGAAAAGAAATTATTGATCAATAAAACGATAGGTCCCGACGAATTATTCTGTAAATATTGAAATGAATTGATAATTATGGTAAACCTTATCTAAATCAAATAATTTAATTATTATATAAAAATTAATGCTATAAATAATCTTTTTTTATATGAATCATTAATCATTGTATAATAACGTAATTAAAATAAATGACCTCATTAATTACACTTTTATGTTGACAGATATTTATTTATTAAAATATATTTATTTATAATACAAATAATTTTCATCAACAACAAAAGAAAAACTTTCCTCTTATGAAAATAATCATTATACAAGATAAAAACTATTTAAATTTAATTATTTTATTTATATACTGAGCAGTATATGAGCATTTAATTCAAAATATTTGGTTATTATTTTAAAAAAATAAAATCAAGCCATTTTCGTTAGAAATATCTATTAAATATTTACTATAAGCAATTTATCTAAAAAAAAAAATTGTTTTATTTAAGAAAAATGTATTTTTATAAATCTAGAAGTTCTTTAAATACTTGACAATTAATTATAAAATATTATGATAACATCAATTATCCAAATCCTGTAAAAGAAAAAGTAACAAATAAGTAATTATTTGATATTCAATACAATCAGTTTTGTAGCAAAGAAATGCTCATTTTTTTCAAATACTTACCTTCGCTAACCAATGCTCAATTTCATCTTGAACATTAACATTTTCATAGTCTTCAGAATCAACAGCTTGTCGACCACCTCGGAGTGGTGGATTAACTTGACGTCCTCTCGCTGATTCTTTTTCTTTTGAATTTTTATCTTCATTAGCGGAATTTTGTGTCTTTGGAACATTAATACCTGCTAATAAAAATAATAAATTTTTTTTTTTCAAATAAAAATAATAAGAATAAAAACTATTAAAAATAATCCTCCGTGCTCGTAAATATATAATGTATAAAAAACTTAGAACTAACATCAACCATATCACCTCAAATTTCTCAAAAAATTTATTATTTACGTTTCCAATCTGCTTCATCTTCATATTCTTCCTCTTCATCTTCAATTTCTTCATCCTCCTCTTCATCTTCTTCTTCTTCATCCTCCTCTTCTTCTTCTTCTTCTTCTTCTTCGCTCTGACTCGGTGTTGGAAGCTTACCATACTTAGCCTCTAATTTAGCAACCAAATCTCCGTCATCGACCTCTTCAACTTCTTCCTCATCCTCTAAATCTTCTTCATCCTCCAAGTCTTCTTCGGGCTCTAAGTCATCATCCATATAATCTGACTCGAGTTCAGTACCCGAATGTCGTTCACTTTCAGATGTGTGAATTTCCTGTTCTTTTGTTGGTCTTAATAAATTCGTCTCTTCGTCTATTACAATTAAGATAATTATAAAAATTAATCAAATAAATAATTTATTGAGCTATATTAATATATTACCTTTTGAACTTAATGGTTTGTTAACCCTTTTAATATCTTCTTGCAAATTTTTGTATTTAGATTTTACATCTTGAAAAGTTTTTGTTTGTCTGGAATCTTGTGTAAACTTTTTTGAACTAGTAGGCGGTACAGTAGTATTTCTTCTCTTTATATCAGTTATTTCTTCTGAATTTGGAGCGTCAACTATTAAAATAAATTAATTAAATTTATCCCTTAATTTTAAATTACAAAAAATATTTACAAGATTTTATGGATGGAAAAAATTACACTGAATTACGGAATATTTTGTTGAGTACTTACGTTTTTTGTTAGTTGATGATCAATGATCACATAAAACATGCTAACATGTATATATTATTCACTCAAGCATTTTAAATAATGAAACTTATGAAAGAACAAAATGATTGTATGATAGTTCTATTAAAAAAAAAAAAAAATTTGCCAACTTAGATTTTAAAAATTGTGAATATATGTATTAATTAATTTGATGATATTTGTTAATACGTTTCTCAAAAAATAAAGAAAAAAAAAAACTAGTAAAATAGTCTTAAAACTAATAAGAATTAAATTACCATTTTTCCACCTTCTAATCAGTACAATATGAGCGGCAATGACAAGAGCAACACCAACTCCAAATTTCACTGGCACTGCAATCACGACATTATATTTTCCGCAATTTATATTATTCATAGCATTCATTTTGAAAATACTTTTATTTATTCAGTTTTTAAATTAATCATCATTAATGTTTAAATTTTCTTCTACTTTATTTATAACAATGCGTTGATTCGTAACAAAATAATTTTCAAATTAAATATCGACTAGAGCATGGAGGATTTTCTTTAATAATTTTCAAAGATAAATTCTATCCAAGTTAAAAAAATTGAAAATATTTATACAAATCATCATAAATTTTTTTAAATAAATAAATTCGTCAAAGAATAAAATTTTAATTTACTTAAATTCATATCTCGGCTAAAAACTATTCTAGTCTCATTTAAGAATTATATTTTTGTTAAAATTACGATATCTAAGTAGATTCAAATTACTGCCATGTATATCATCGAATGTTTCTTTGCAAATATTGAAGTTGGTTCTATGTATATTTTTATCAATAATTTTAGAGTAGTTACAAAACTATTTCTTCATAATGAAATTCAAACATGTGAATAAAAATCAAAAAATATATCAGAACAATTTTTTTTTATAACTTGGATAAAAAACTTTTTTATATAAGTTATGTGGTTACCTACCATTAGTTTCATCTACTACCTCATCTTTATCCGTGGGAACCTCAATACCTTCTACTTTTTCCATCTATTAACAATATGAAACACAAAGTGTTAAAAAATTATTGAATTTATGGTTTATAATAATAATTAAAATACAATAAAAATCAATTACTTTTTTGAAATCATCCCTATCATCAATTCCAGGCATTCCTGTGAATTCATAACTGTCTTCATCCTTCTTCGAAGACTGTCGTGTATTTTTTTTACTATATTTTACTTCAGGTTTTGATGTCTTTTTATCATCATCATCATCATCATCATCATCATCATTTCCCTCTGCAGATTCATTGTCATCAGCTTCATCAAGATTCTCATAAACACCATTGTCATCATCTTCAAAACCTTCATCTTCATCACTTTCAGCTTTTGATTCATCATCTTCATTATCATCATTGTCGTCTTCTGCTTCTTCTTCTTCTTCTTCTTCTTCTTCTTCTTCTTCTTCTTCTTCTTCTTGATCCTCGTCTTCATCATCTTCAATATCTTCGGAATTTTCTTCTTCATCATCCTGAATATTTATTGCTTCCAATTCATCAATTTCACTATCATCCTCTTCTTCTTCTTCATCATCTTCTTCTTCTTCTTCGTCTTCTTCTTCCTCCTCTTCCTCCTCCTCTTCTTCTTCATCTTCTACGTCTTCAGACCCAACCCCTTCATCTTCATCATCATCAGGATCTTCTTCATGACTTTCTTTATCATGTTCTTCATCATCTTCACCATGTTCATCTTCATAATGATCATCGTCTTCTTTACTACTTTCTTCTTGATGTTTTTCATCATCATGGCTCGGAAGAATATCATCTACCCAACCTTCAAAAATCATAGCCCATTTCGAACTGGATAGTGTTGTATCCACTGCACAAAAATATTCCATCAATTACAGCGTGTTAATTACAATTAAAAAAAACATTAATCAAGATAAATAAAATAAAAAATAAAAGTGAGAATTTACCATCAGTTGTACCTCGATGCTCTAAAATAATTACACCAACAAGACCAATTAGTGCTGTAAATAAAGTAAAAAATATAATTTTTGCACACCAATGACCTCCTGTTGTTCCTTCCTTATAGACATGTATCGTAACGTTATCCATCGCATGTTCAGCTGGATTAACTAATTGCGGTGGCGGAGTTCCAGATTCTGAGTCTGAGTTCAAAACAAAAAAAAATATTTATAAATTATATTATTGAAAATAAACTTAAAAATAATATCACATAATAAAATATTGAAAAAAAAAAAAAAAAAAAAAAAAAAAAAATTCATACCAACGAGAATTTGTATCCTTTGTATATGGTACTCGCTGTCAACTAAAAAATTCACGAATTTATTGAAATTTTCGTTATCTTTTATTTATTAATAAATCTCTTTAGTACTTTCTTACAATTTATAAAGATAAATGCTTTTGAAGAGGTTCATACAAATTATTCTATTTTTACAGCTCTAAGGTTTAAGTCTGACAAAGTATATAAATGCACTATTTTTTCTATTCTTAACTCCGCTTTCATTATCAAAAGTAAATCTAATTAACCCTGTTAATAAAAAAAATTTCGAATTAAAATATTCTCATTTAAATAATGATATAATTTACATAAATTTTGTACAAGTTTTACAATAAAAAAAGGAAACTTAATTTTTAAAATAGCTTAGAAAAAATATTATAAATGAAAAATATAGTTGACTGAATAATAACAAGTGTCGAAACATTAATTACTAAGAAAAAAAATTAATTAATACCAAAAACTATTTTTTCTATTTTCTGTAAAAGATAAAAATAAAAAAAATACAGTTATTGCTAAAAATATCTTACCACAGCAAGAACGTGTTACGAAAGATTATCATTTACTTGCCTCTTTTACGTCTTTTCTCTTTACGTTTTCTTGGTTGAACATCACCAGACATTATTAAATAATTGATTTGTAATGTAAAAAGTAAATTATTAATTAACTAAACGTAATAATAAAATCTCTATGCTTACAATAAAAAATACAACTTTAATAATTTATTTAATTATAAAAACACACAGAAAATTTCAAGAAGAAATTTGATTTTGCGACTGCTCAACATGCTGAAGAACTATGTGTAAAGCAGTGCAACCTATTCCAAATTTGAAATCCCTACTGATTTCTAGTGTCACTAGTAAATTTAAATATTATTAAACTACATACATTGGTATTTATATATATATATATATATATGAAGATTGTAGACGCTGTGCTTGTGCCATGCTTATTTGTAGGGTAATACTTAATAAAGTTGATTGTATGCGACTAATGGAGTTAATAAATTTTTAAGTGCCTGTTATTAAAAGTGGTCCACCTTTTCACCTTCCAATGATACTTATACACTGTTTAATGAAATCATTTAATTTTTTCTATAACTTAAATAATAATCTAGAGCCATATTCTATTGGTAATATTTACCTCTCTTTACAAACTGCTAAGTCAAGTACATGAGTGACTCTTACATTTATGTTATTAATAATTTTATATTTTTTTTTTATTTTTCTATTGTATACTACATACTATGTACATTTTTACTTGTTAGAACCCTGTTATTAACCATGCTGTTGGGTTCATTATTTGATAAATAAATAAATAAATATACATCTACGTGCTAGACATTTATTTTGCATATTAATACAATGATGGTAAAATAAATAAACTTAAATTATTAAACAATATTTTATAAGAAATAAATAAACAATTTAAGTAGAGAAAACATTTGTTTTTTTTTTTATTGCGTTTATAGTATGTACAATAGTATTAATTAAAAAAAGTTTAATGATATTCGAGTATTATTATTTTACAATATTTTTAAAAATAAATAATTCGAGATTATCTACGTACAAAACAAAATTAATTCTTTTTGTTTTACATATTTGTTTAATTTTTTTTTTTTCCTAATAAATCAGTAATTTGATTGATTCCTCAATGTGGTTTTTCATTTTTTAAGGCACAATCTATCCTAAGAATTTACAAAGAGATATAACAATAGTAATTTTATGAACACAAGAAAAAATATCATGTACAAATATTGTAAATGTATAACTATTTTATTTAAAAATAAAAAAATGTTTAATAAATATTTTTATTAAAGTGAATATTCGGGGGTCCGAGTTTTTGAGTTAAATACAGTTGACGCTAATTATGCTGTTCTCGCAGGTACTTGTTAAATGATAAACCGACTAAAATGTATAAAACAAATTTACTCGGTGTCTAAGTTCACTCAACGCGTTAGTCATTAACAACAAATGGTTTTAACCCGTTGGAATTATACATACCAACTGTTTTTATAATATTGCTGTGTTGGTTAATAACAAGCCCAGTGAGGGTCTCTTTTGATATTCGCAAGGCATGGAAGAATACCACCTCTGATACCGGATCATGAGATGAGATGTACAAAGTCATTACTTAATATTATTTTTAAATACCGTTTATAAGTAGAACAATTTTCGCATAAATATAATAGTACTATCGGTGTATTATATTTTTAGTCTTATTCAATTAAATCAATTAAAATAGTTCTTTTTAGTTCGTTTTACATTGTTAAATACCAAATGGATGAATCAATAATTTTTGTATTTTAATATATAAGATAAAAGATCTAGTTATTGACACTTACAATTTTATTCTAATTAAAAAAATTAAATGTTCTCAAAAAACCAATTTTCTTGAAATTTATATTTATTAATTTATTAGAGTTAATTTTTTTTTTTTATAAAATAAAATTGCAAAAGTCAATAACTGGGTGTTTTACCTTAATTGAATTTGGTAAATTTAAATTTTAAATACAATAAACATGTAAAAAGTATAGTCAAGTATATAAATAGATACATTTCAAAAATCTATACATTGGACCTTACATTATTAATAAACAATTTATTTATTTAGTATGATTAATTTTTACGCAATAACAGATATGTGCAATAAAAATTTTTTATCACAACTAAATTTTTGCTATGCTTGTTTTTTTTTTTCAAATTTTTGTTATCAATCATTAATTTAATAATTACATAAATCTGTACACTAAATTATTTCTAAACACTAACGGACAAATTTTTCTTTTCAATTTAATTCTACAATAATATCTATAATTGTATAAAGTAATTATGAAGAGAGATAACGAAATAAATCGTTTAGATCTATGTGACAAATCTATGCATTAATACATTTTATTTACGAAATGTAATTTTTTATAAAAAATTATTAAATATATAATAACGATGATAGCAAATCTGATGCTTCAAAAAATTATTTATGATTTTTGTGAATTTAAATATAAGTGGAACTTATGATTTTTATGGTATTTTGACATGTACGTGTTGATTAGAAAGCGGTAATTTTATACAATGAGTGAACTATTAAAATATATGGATACCGCAATGGATAAATCACAATATGTATACATATTTTTTTATTTGGTGTTTTATAATTTATAATTAATCCTTTTAATAAGTTAATTAATTTTGAATAATGCTTATTACTACGGAGGGATTTTTCAAAACTTTTTTCTACATAAATTTTTTGTTTTTAATTAAAAATTGGAATTACGTCGATTACTATCCCAATGCATTATAAATTGATATTATTATAATAACAGATCAAAATCAATATGTGACAATAGTCTTATAGATCGTTAATCTTTAAGTTCAATAGAAAAAAAAAATAATTAGATAAAATGCACGACAAATTGTAAAAAAATTATTAAATTCTAATACCTACAATCAGTTCGAGATTAGATCTTTTTAGTTAGTTTTAATGTGATTAAAATTAATGAAAATAAAAAAAAACGAATGAATTCAAGAGATCACGCTTTACCATGCAACGACAAATCAATCCGGTGAATGGTGTTTGAGTTTCTATGAAAACAAAATTTTTATCATTAATTATTATTTAATAAATTTTCTTTTATTATACCTAATAATTTTATAAATCTGTACACTAAATTGTGTTTCAACACTAACTATCAATAAAAATTACTACTTATATTTTTTTTTTTTTTTTTTTTTTTTTTTCAATTTAGTTCTACATTAACGTTAACAGTAATTCAAGGTAATAATGAAAAGAACCAACGAAATGATTTGTTTAGATTTGTATGATAAATCTATATATAAATGAATTCTGTACAAAATTGATTGATTGATGGCTCTATCTAAAAATGGACTTTTTAAATAAAATTAACACTAAACAGATTGCAATTATAGCGAAATTATAAACGTCAAAGAGCCTGAAAAACACTTGTTATTCATTTACAATTTTAAATAAATATTAATTGGCTTGAATGTTGATAGAGCTACCAAATACGCGTATACTTTTTAAGAAAGTAAATTGAGTATACAAAGCATATTAAAGACTGGACTTAATGTATAATTTTATACAACGGGTTAGCCATTAAAACAAATGGTTACAACGCGATGAATTTATACATACCAACTATGAAATATATTATTGTTGGTTAATAACTACGACCAGCGCGAGGATTTCTTTAGATAACCGTAGAGCACGAAAGAGAGTAGTAAGTTCTACCATGCCGAATCCATGGAATAATAGTGCTCGATTTATTTTTTAACTGATAACTGATAACCAATCTAAGTCACGTTAACTTTGATAAAAAATTAAATACAATAAAATTAAATCGTGACAACTTTTAAAATAAATAAAAATAAATAAATAGCAAAAAATTTTTTTATAATTAACATTCGTTATGTTTTGTTTGTTTTCTTATCATTTAAGTTAATTAATTAATATCAATTATACAATTATTCGAATTAATAATTATTATATTATATTAATAATAAAATAAGAAACGTTATAGTAACAATAATCATAAGGGATGAAAATGAACAGATGAAATAATTAAATGATGCATTAATTATAGATGACTTATCTTATAAATTTAAACAATTTGTAGTACTCAATTGCTACATAAATTAATGATGATAAATTAACTTTATGATCGAGAATATTGTTTTCACTGGTTTCTTTCTTTTTTATATTGAACAAAAATAATTAATTAATATTAATAATGGAAAAAAAAAAAAAAAAAAACTATTTTTTCAATTATTTCCACGACCACTCATGGAACTAGACGATATATCAGACGCATCATCTCGAATTCTCCACGATAATGAACTATCAATATTAATTTTTTTAATATGATCATAATTACTCAATTTTCGAGACAATGAGCCTGATAAACTGACACCCTCGCTGCTTAATAAATTATTCATTTCCATTCGCCTATGATTTTCTAAATTTTCATTACCATTTCTTTCAACAACTCTATCTGATTTTAATGTATTATTCAAACTACGGTCAAATTTATTGAGATCATTCTGTATACTACGAATGCTTTCTGCATTACTCTCATAGAGTTTTAATGTATTATTTTCATTTTCGTACCTACGATTTATTGAATCTGAATCCAAACACTTTCGTAATGACTCATCGTATTTACGATCAGTCTCAATGCGACGTGTAAAACCATCATAACATAGTCCCGCTTCTATGCATTGTTGATTGCGGCCATCTGAATCTGTATATGCAGCACGTTTCGTAAGCTGATTATCAAATCCGGCTCTTGCAGCTAAGTGGAGGTAGTTATCATCACCAATTGGTGCTTGTCTACATAATAAATAAAATAATTTTAATTATTAGTCAATAACTAAAATAATATAAGATAGATATTTATTTTTAAAAATGAATGTACTCACTTGCTTCCATATTTGGTGTCACGAGCTAATTTCCTAAAGTAAGCACGGTGTTCTTGTTGCAATCCAAACGCCGCATCACTCAAAGCAGTAAGTGTTTTAAAACACGAAGGTACGTCTTCGATAGGTGAACCACCACCCGGTAAAACACACATTTCACTGGCACCGTAAACAGCTTGACACTCACAAGCACTCATCAGTGTCTCTAATCGCGCCATATTCGTGAAGATTAGTGAATGAATCCTTTGTAGATCACGATCTGGATCCAAAACCATTCTTAAACCTGCTTCAATTCCCGGAGACACTTCACTGCAACCAGGAGCTACCTCAGAAACTGCTCGACAACTAAGAAAATAAAAATTCTTTATTATTAATTATTTAAGCATAGATAATTTTTGGTAAGAGATAAAGCGCTTCTTACCACAGCCAGTGGCCGTTGATGTAAGCACTCGGATGATACCTCTCTAGTCTGTTACTGTTCGTATGACAGATTTTAGTAAGTATGTCAATCCATTCTTTTTCCTCAACGCAATTACCAGCTTGTACATATAATGCACGTTGTGGTTGTACTATTTGAAACATATTTTTCATTTTAAATGAGTCTTCGTGTAGTCTCTCCACAGCCAATATTTCTTCCAATAATATTCTACACAATGGCTCCTTCCCTGTATATAATTTAGATTAATAACTTATTGACTTACATTAATTATTAATAACTGAATGAATGAATAAATAAATAAATAAATAAATAATTAATTAAACAAATATAACCTTACCTTTTGTTTTTGAGTAGGTCAAATCTTGCGTAGTCAGTCTAAAATATCTTTGTTTAAAATTTTTACGTCCAAAACGTTTACGACCTTGTGCTCTTTTGATCATTACTCTGAAAATAAAATATATTGTTTAAAAAATAATTAAATTGTATGAATTTTATTTTTCGTTAATTAATTAATTTGATAAAATAATTTATTAAGTGACAGATGACAGTAGGGTACCAACCTCTTGCCACAGTTCGTAGAATGCGTAAAGAGAAAATTTATACTATTAAGAATATAGAATTTAAAGTAAATAGTTTTATATTGAATATTTTACACTATAAATGACGTAAAAATTTACATATTACATGTAAAAGATTACACCTGTGATTATGAAAACTTACCCTTCTTTTAAAACTACTGGTTGTTCTTGAAGAATTGTCGGCCGTTGCCGAGTCATTCCACTACTACTACTACTACTGCTACTACTACTAGTTGAAATTAATTCTAAAAATTGTTTTACAGCTTGTATATGTTTTTCTGTATAAAACTCTCTGTAACAAAAATCACATCTGTAGTAAGTAACATCATAATTATTACATTAATAATTTTAAAAATATAAAAAAATAATTACCTGTACACGCCTTCCATATACTCTTCTTTACATACACTACCAGCCCCACCGCGGCAGCTAACCAAATTTCCTAAGCTTTGAATTGTTTTTGAAATAAGCGTTAATGTTCTATTTGTTTGAGAATCCTAAATAAAAATATTTCACAATATAATTATCTGTTTTAGATTAAAGAAAAATACTTATAATATTAATAAATAAATTTACTATTTGTTCAGTTGTTATATCAAATAATCTTGGGCCGAGTATCGCAGGAGCGAAAAACCTGAGAAATATAAAGCCACTAATAACCGAGTATCGCACTTCTTTATTCTTTGGGAAATAAGTAGCAGCAAGTTCTCTCAAACACCAAAACATTTCACACATTAATGGTGGACACCGTACACCTGATGTCGTTATTGCCGTAAATACACGTTCTACGTACTCCTAAATAACAAAAAAAAAATTTTCCAAAATTATTTCTATCAAAAATTAAAAATTAACAATCATTATAATTATAACAATAATCGTACCTTTAAATTAGCCAAATTTGTTTGAATTGTGTTGGCATCTTTAACTCGGGTAGGATCAATCTCACATGGTTTTTTTTCTAGAAAAACCTGCTCCATAGCCGGCCTCAAGGTACTGTGAAGATAATGAAGTCCAGCTAATCGCATACCTTCATCCATCATCTTACTGACCAGTGTATTACCACGGAATATTGTTGTGGGATCCCTAAATGTTCAATTTGAAAAAAAAATAAGAATGAAATACTTTAGTATTAAAAAATACTATTAAAAATAATCATATGTTAATAAAATCTTACGTTAATTTTGAAATTTCATGACTAGCTAATGCTCTCATTACAGATACTAGTTGACCATGATGTACGAGGACTCTCACCAAGGGTTGAGCAGCTTCCATTTTACTTGCTACAATTTCACCGAGTATATAAACCGCTGACGATGTTATTGGTTGCACATTGACACTTTGTAACAGTAAACTGCGTAATCTATCGTACATTTCCGATGGGAATACATGATCCGCTGTGTAATGTAACTTTAAGCGTAAAGATCCAAGACCTGGTAGTGTACCTGGTGGTGATGAATTGTGTGTTATTTTACTTGGACGGTTTTTGGCTGCTCGTGGTTGTAAAAAATACCTAAAAGATTCACCATTAGTTACAAGTAAGACTAAATAATTTATTTAATCATTAAATCATTTTGTAACTAACCAAGCAGTTGTGGTGCTCGTGGGTTGTTTTTTCCAGCCTCTCAAAGTGACACGAACTTCACCAAGAAATGCAGATTGTTCACCCATTCCTGGTGAAGCATGCCAAAGGCCTACAACAACTTCACCAACTTCTCCGCCGTCAATTAAGTAGTGCGAAACATCTTTGTCTTTTGGTTCAATCAATTCAGGCTCAAAAGTGAATGTTTCATTAAAATACGGAGACACAGTCTTTTTTTTAACTTTTGTACGCTTACTTATTTGTTTACCATTACTATAAATAACCGTAACAATGGCAAAGGGATCACAACCACCATTTTTTAAAGTCAATTCACTACACTCAATAACTCGTACTGTTAATTTAGGTTGTGTGTGATTAACTTGAGGCTGTAGTGCAAGCTCTAGGTGTGCTTTACCCTGTACTTCCGAGTCAGCATCAACTGGCCTCAATGGAAACCAATGCTCTTTATTATGGTACGTTGCTAGATCTTCACGTTTAATCGCTACTTTTCCCAGGATCTTATCTTGTTTCAAGTGTCTGTCACGGTCATAAACGTAAATACCGAGGTAGCGGAACTTTCGCGGCACCTCAAACTGAAACTCTTCACCAAAGAATGGGCTGTAATTTTAAGAAAAAGTTTAAGGTTAAAGTTCATTAATTTATTTTTACAATTATTTATTAATTAATTAGGACTCTTACTTGAGAGTTCGTTCAATCGTACTAGTGCGGAAGATTTCTTCTTGATCAAGTGATAATGCACAGTAGACATCTCGTGTTCCTGGGGATCCATGGCCTCGACTTAAAAGATTTTTTACCTCACCTAAAAATAAAATACTGAATATTAAAATTTATGCTTCGATGATTAAACAATTAAACAAATTTTTTTTAAACTTTAAATTCACAATAGCCAATAATACATGTAACTTTAAATATCAAAAAAATATTTAATCACGAGACTAATTACAAGCGATTAAAATTAAATTATTTCAGACGATTATCAATTGAATAAAAAAATCTTAAACTTAACAATCTATAGATTATAAATTTTGATTGTTATTTGACAATGTTATATATTTATTAATTTTCTTCCAATAAACAAAATTAATTCATTCTCTTTATCACCGCTCATTTCTGCTATTATTTATTTATTATTATTATTATTATTATTTTTATTATTGTTGTTGTTTCTGTTTATTTTTATTGCGACACAAACAATCTGTTGCATTCTTAAACGTTCCAATTTAAAATTCGAATAGCATTCATTGATTGAGTTATTGACGTCTCGACACTGAGTCACAGTTCACAGATGCTCCAACCATGCGTTCATGAATGAAATTATAATTATATATAATGTGCATTAATACCCAGTGTCACAAAAGTAATATCAATAATATATACCTGCATTATTTCTTTCGTCTGTCAACATTATATTCTTTCAACACTCAATCGTCAATCATTCTCATTCATCCTCTTTATTCTACTGATAAAAAAAGTAATTGTTTTACTGATAATAAATTAGTTATTGATAATCATAGCAACGATTATCCACAAAGAATTTTAATTTGCAAAAATGTAACATAAAGTTCTATTTAGCATAAATGTTTAATTTTGCAAAAAAAAACCCAGACCACAAAAATGTTTCCCTAAACTTTACCCGTCTTTCCACATAACATTATTCATTCATATTGTATGTAGTGTGTGTACATACATATTTCTTCCATAATATATATTTTTTCACACTATCAATCATTGTATTTTAATTCTTTTAATATGATATATAGATATATATATATTATTATACAAGTTGAGAAGAAAAAAAGAGCACATGCTCGATTAAATATCCTGTGGGCATGCACTACTCTGGAGAATATATAGATATAATTATATGTGAAGGTGGAGTATAGTTTGGTTGTATCGAGACGATGACGAGGGCAAGGAGAAGACGTAAGAGGGAAGTAAGTGCGATCCACGACGACGCGTGGGAGTGTAGAATCAAGAGAATGTACGTTTACGCATTTTATTCTGCATGTCTTGCAAAATTTTTAAATTTATATAAATATATATATTTTTTTTTTTTCAATACTATTGCCATAATAAAATACGTTGATTACACTAGTAATAATTATTACTTTTAATCACAAGCCATAAATAATATTTCAAACAAATTAATCACAAGACTTTTAACTGTAAATACAAAATATTATTTTATTATTAGTCATTTATTTATTAGTTAATATAAAATATAATTAAAGAAAAATTATTATAGTTATACATCTATAAATATAGATAGATACTCATATTAGATGTACATAAGTACATCTATCTATATCTAAACACATATAAATTAATAATATATATATATATATATATGTAATACAAGTCAAAATATTTTTTAGTCTTCCGCCCAAGCAGCACAATCGAGAGAGGAAGAATGAGAGGATGAGAGCGTGTAAGTGAAAGAGAGAATGATAAAAAGAGTGAGAGAAGCTAAGAGACTCCATTGAACTCGCGTCAACACTTTTTTTTTTTTTTTTAATTTTTAAATATACATAGTTATATTTACACACATACGAAGATATACCTGTGTACATACTTATGTACATGTCTATCTGCAGATATAATATACGCACACGTATATGTATGTATGTAAATATATATGTATATATATTTTAGGAAACATTGAATATGTAGATAGATCATTGATAGATAACACTTAGTAACACATTGGTATAAATGCACAAATACACTTAAAATAATATCCAATATTGGATTGTATTGATAATTAAAACACAATTATTAATAAAATTCGTACCGATTTTAATTTTTAGCCTCTCCTCAACGCGAACTAGGCGCGTCTCCTCGGCCATGTTACCTCCATGACACTACTGAGTGACTACACGAACAGAACGCAAGCAAGCAGCGGTTCGTTCATTCTGTGAATGGGTTTCGTACAGGAACGTAGTATTAAATTGTCGGTACCCAACAATAAATTGAAAATTTAATATGGGGACTGGATAGTTCCCACCAACTCTTTATAAATATATATAGGTATATGTATATGTGAACCTATACCTACACAATAATACACCTTTAATAAATATATATGTATGAAATAAAAGACCGCTTATTCTATACTACTCTTACTCTATTTCCTCTTTACCTCTCACTCTGTTTTCCTTTCAAATTATCAACTTCCGTATCAACTGGCAAAAAATGGAACAATCCCACTCACCTACTGAAAAGTACATTTTTAAAATTATAATAACCATATTCAATTATTATTTAAACTAACATTCTATTTATTTTAATTCTTTGTTCTTTTAATTTTACGTAATATCATTGCTTAGATAACTTCTTCGTACTTTTTAAATAATTAGCTATTAATAATTAAATCAAGAGAGAAAGCGGTGATTTTTCATCCATATAATATATCACGGCAACAATACTTAAAATATTTTTAAAAACTAAAATAAAAAATATATTAATTATATATTTATTACCTCAAACGTTAGGCTAAAAATCCACGGGTTACACTCCTGACTACCGGGGAGTGTGTCCGGCATAAAATTGTATGATCTCGCGCGAATTCTCGCGTGGTCTACCGATGCCAATAACTGCTGCTAAATTAACAAATATACCTTATGTATTGTCAATCTACACAAGTATGTGTACTTATACATATATAAATTTATATACATACCGTTTGTATAGTAGTGTTTGATTTTATTTATTTTGTTGTCTTTCAAGTATAGGTAAATTCATTTGTCAGCGGACACAACCTGTAAGCGTGTCGTGTAACCACTATATATATATATTTCATGTAAGTATATAGGTGTATATATACATATATACATAGCACAAGCCATTTCCTGATGGCGCAATGGTCCGCTTCCTCTCTTAACTCACTCGCACGTTCGCTATCTCTTCTCTTAAATCCCTCGTGCTCACGCTACTAGTTCATATTGTATACATATATATATATTTATTTTTTTTTTAACTATTTAATTTCATAATAAATTTAATTAATATATATATATATATACGTATTTATATCATAAAATATGACACAGCTGAATTAATAAAGCAAAGTAAATAACAAATAAGTTTTTTCTCTCAAATTGGAAGATTACAGCTATGTTAAATCAATAATTATTAAATAAATATTGTTGTAGTGTTAACAATAAAAATATTAATTTGATTTTTCAGGTAAAACAACAGTTACTGCATTACTTAATATCAAGATATTATGTATGTGTTTAATAATGTAAGTTGCGTGAATGGAGCAGTCAACAGTCAACAGTATAGATCCTCCTGTAACAGAGTGATGAAAATGACGGCTACGACGGCAAGTACAGTGTAGTGTGGCCAAAAGGGGAAAAAAATATGAATGAAATTGCGGCGTGCTTGTGCGACAGTTGGGCGCCAACGAGAGAGTGTGTTACGTTATATAGATTGAGTATATAAAAGAGAAAAAGTTATATGTATACGTACACATATGTAAAAAAAAAAGATGGTACACATAGGAGTGTGTCTTTTAATATGTGCGCATGCGTCACATATATAGGAGCACGTGTGCAACTTGCGTGCCATTCAACGTAAAATATAACAGCCGATGTGTATAGATGATGAACGGAGGACAGTCAATAAAATGTGGCGTGTCTAGACCCCACGGAATAAAATTTATAGCTAACTCATACATATCTTAGTACAAACATTAGTATATATGATATTTACATACTGACTTACTGTAAGTATAGGATTTATGATTAAAAAAAAAATAAATGTTTTTTTTAAACATGTTTATCAATAATGATTTTTTTTTCTCTATATAGAGAGAGTAGTGTATTGTCATTACTGGTAATTAAAGTACCCGAATAAATATTATTGAATTTACAAAAGGGAAACTATGTGGATTATATTTTATCGTTCAAGTAGCGGCATTTACATTTGAAACTTCCTCACATCTCTTTCTCTAATGTGCACTACTTTTCCGGTTTGGTTCTAAATATAAGAGCTATAAACATTAGCAGAACATATCCGTGATGCAAACTTGTATGGTTCAAGCTGAGATAGTTAAAATTAATTTCAGGTGGATTTTTCTAAAAAATTTCATTATTGTAATTGATTTCGTATTATATAATTACGAAAATTACATCATGAAAATTTCGGACCAATCATTTCAAAGGACAGTAACTGCTAAGTTTCAGTTCTGTATTTTTTTTTTTGGAATTAATTCTTGTTTTTTTTTTTAGTATTTTAAGTTAACAATCTTTCTTTTCTTTGACTCAAATATACCGTCTGGTAATCGAAAAAAATAGACCTGGAAAAAATTTTTAAATTTTGAAAATAAAAATTATAATAATAATTATATCACACCCACAATTTTCCTGAAAAACAAGCACCCCCAGAATGATCACTCCATTTTTTGTTACAAAAAAAAAATATTATAATTTTTATTTTATAATAATTTTATGAAATAATATTAATTTTTCATAATTTTAAAATTTTGTCGGGTCCATTTTTTCCGGTCTATTTTTTCCGGGATTCATACCTTCTATGTCTAAATTTTTATTATTAAAATTTTAATCAGTGAAATAACATCGGTTCAGAAATTTATTATATATATTAATAAGTACAGTCATTTTTAATTTATTTAAAAATTATTTTACTTTTAATTATTAGAAATAATTAAAAAATTAAAAAGAATAGTACTACCCATAAAACTTTGGGTGAGGCCAAAAGACACTTTTTACATTTTTTAATTAAAATTAATTAGTCTTTTAGCTGACCTAAACACATTAATTAAATTAATTATTTATTATAATTTTTTCAAAAATTCATTGTACAAATATGGGGTCTAAACGGAAGCCCAAAGTTGATATGTGTGTTACTGTTACTGTAAACTACAGCATAGCCAGTATACCTGCACGGTATGTACACATGTAATATTGACTGGTTACGTTTCATGTTATGACTTATGATTAAGAGGGGAGCAAAGAGAGTATACTTCACTTATCTACATATATATATATATAGTATTAGGTATAAAATATGCGTGGGCTAACATTACTACCTCAGGGGAGACGTGGGTGTGACTGAAACGCATGACTGTCCGATTGGTTTACGGTTTTACGTTTGCGTTTTGTTGTATTCCAAGGGATACGAGAAGGACGCGTCCTCGTAGGCGGTTCACGGCGACCAACACCACAAGCAAGAGTTATCTTCAATGCCTAGTTTGACTTCTTTAGATTATCATTTTTTATTTTACGTTACTTACATCTTGTTTTTTTTTTTCTTCATATTATGCTTATGCTTACAGCTTCTGCTTGGTTTAACGCATTGACAAAGTTCTTATTTGGATGTTTAAAACAAGTAAAGGGACCGGACGTTGTGTAGGTGCTGCTTCTTATGGTTGATGATGGGCGTTGAAAAGAAATCTGGAATGTATAATAAATGAAATTAATGAGAAAAAAAATTGTGTGCGAAGAGAAGTATATACTAAAACTGAATTTATTAAATTATATATACATACATATTTCTCATTATGTTATATTAAATTTGTTAACAACAATGTTGAAGATTCTCTTTGAAGATAATTGGCATGACCAATTTTGATTTAGAAAAAAAGGGCAATGAGAAAAAATATTATTATCTACAGCATAGACGGAGAATTAATTAGTCGCCTGAGTTTGAATTTTCCTACAACGTGGAAAACAATGGAAGATGATTGTCCTACTTACGCAATTCTCAGATGACGTCCTTTACTAACTGTTTTCTTTTTTTACGCTAAAATAATGTCTATGTATTTATGTATACACCATACACCACGTAGGTTTTCATTATACTCCCTACGTTGTACAGAGTTATAGTGTAAAAGAGAGTCAAGAAGGAAGAGAATCAACGCACAATTACTGCTTTGTCTTTACTACTGTTTCCTCCGACCTCTCTACATTACTATTATCATTGTTATTATTATTATATGCTCTCTTTTTCGTTCTCCGCCTCAAAAACTCTCACAGTTTCTTCATGTTTTGTAATTTTTGCCTATTATAATAAAATTATTATTTATGTATAAGATCAACTGTAATTGTGGAAAAAGTTTACTTCAAGAAACATAATTACATCTAACGTGTATATTTCTTAACTGTGATGAATATGTCTCAATTATATTTTTATTTTTTAGTCACAATTTTTCGAAAGATTTACTGTATTTAATATGAATAACAACCTTTACAATAAATAATAATTATTAAAAATTACATACCATTTATTAATAGCTTGTGATTCACATCTTAATCTTAATTGAGTTTAATTTAATGGATTCTGTGGAAAATGTTACGTAGTTATTTTATTGGTATTAATATTTATTTTTTGTTATTTAAAAAAATTATTTTTTCTTCTATCAAAACTATGGTGAAATTTTTAATTAAATTATTAAAATAGTAGTCTTCAGTTATGGAAAATCGGAGATTTGATACCTTGATAATTAGATGAGAGATTTTTATCAAAAAGTTTATTAATTTTACGTGAGCTTAAAGTTTTGAGTAATATAAGTCCAAAACTTCGAAGGGTTTATTATCAATCACTAGAAACTCATTGCTTTTGAGTTTATGAAGAAATGAACAAAAAATCATAATATTCTTTAAAATAATGAATGAAAAAATGAAAATGAAGTTAGCTGACATTTCAAAATTTTTATAAATTTTTTATCGAAAAAAATTCAATTAAACAATTAAAAAAAATATATCATATGTTAAAAACTTGAAAAACTATAAGTGCAATTGTTTATAAATTTTTTTTGGCTGTAATTTAATTAAAAAAAAAAAAATCAAAAATTTTTAGACGTCTGCTAACTTCAGTGTCATATGAAAAAAATATAAAAATTATATTTATATATTAGTAAAGAAAAATAATAAATCATACTTATTATCTTATTAATTATGAGAGTTAGAATTATAGACTTTAGTGGATTCTATTTTAATGAACGATTTATTATTAAAGAAATTTGTATGTGTAAAATAATTGACTATCTTAATGGATATGTCCGACCTTTTATGTATATAACAAAACCACCTGTACAAAATCTTGAAGGAGAAAATATTGTATTTTATCAAAGCTTCAAAGAAATTAATGGAATTGAATGGAACACTGGTTCTTACAGTATCGAAGCGTTGCGCCGAAGAATATTGTATACATTTCGGCGCGGAATAAACATTTTCGTGAAAAACGATATTAAAACTGAACAGTTGATGAATTTCATCGGCAGAGAAGATTATAAACCAGATACTCTAAGTGATTTAGGTTTTAATGAAAATTCTGTAATGAGGAGCTCTCACTGTCGTTATCATAATACTAATCAACAATTTAGTTACTGTGCACGCGATAATGCTATGAAAATGGTTCGATGGTTTTTAAGAATGAATAATATTATGTATTTTATTATACACTTTAATGGATATTACACTGATGAAAATGAATTTACTTTTAAAGAAGTTAGTATCTACGGCTTAGATGCTAATGGATTAGTTTTGTATGATAATTTATTTGTTGCGAAACCACCGAATAATTTAAACAATTATTCATCAGATATTATTGAAAATTACAATAGAAACATTTATGAAAAATGTGGGATTGACTGGACTAAAGGTTGTTACGAACCATCACACCTGAAAACTAAAGTGATAAATATTGTAAAAACTCCCATAAATGTGAAATATATATTTGTAAAAAATAAAATTTATAAAAATCAACTGATACGAATAATTGGTGATTCATATAATATTTTATGTTTAGATGAATTCAATTATATTCAATCATTACCTTTAAACACAAGTTGTTTTTATCACACACATGAAGATATTAGTAACAATAAATGCGTCGGTGACCAAGCTAATGATATGATGAATTGGATAGTAAGAACGGAATATTATAAAATTGATAATATAGAGACAAGAATAAGATTCAATAAAATTTTACAAAGATTAAGACAATTTGATTAGAGAAGATAAAATATTTAAACAATTTACGGATGCTGTAATTTTGTGTAATTTTAATTTTTTTTTAGAAATTAACTTATCGACAATAGGTTAAAAATGTTTACAGTTGTCAAGTACACGTGTTTCCTTACCGATATTATTACTTTTTTTTTTTTGATTAGATAAAATTTTGTCTGTTTATAACCTAATTTTTTAAATATTGGAACATTCCGCACGTGTTTTTTAAACTAATTTTTATAAAAATAAAAATTTTATTGAAATGGACTTGAAAATATTATACTCTCCTCAATTTATTTTATCTAATGGTAAGTCATTGTGAAAATTAATTTAGCATGAAAATTAAGAAAAAAAAAATTTTCACTTGTAAAAAACTTTAAAAACTGTAAGTGCAATTTTTAAAAAATATTTTTTTTGTTCTAATTTAATTATTAAAAAAAAAATTAAAAACGTCGGCTAACTTTACTTTTATTAATTTAGCAGGTATTTGATAATTCTAAAAATTTCTATAACAAATAAATGATGTGCATAAAAATTGGCATGTAGAAATTTTTAAAAATTTTAAATGCAATTTTTGAAACATAATTTTTCAGAACAAATTTTTGAGTAATGTTCAAGTGACTGCTAACTTTAATGTTATCCAACTCGGACCTATTACTTTGAATTTATATTATATATTTTTGCAGATGCAACAGATGAAACTACTGACATAGATTATGGAAAAATTTTAATTGTTTTGTATGATCAACTTGATTTGAAAAACAAATTAAAAGATAAGAATCTACGAGCTACAATAGATGACGAATTAAACAATAATGCAAGTAATTATACTGAATGGCTACGTTTAGGTATTGTTGCTTTGCATTTATTTATTCAGCATAATTGGACTGGACCGCCGTTAAAATTCCCAGAAAGTATTGTCTGGTTAATTGACAATAAAAATGAGGAAGCATCTCGAGAACTGACTCTTGGTGATCAGTGTAACGATAATGCCGAGTATTTACAGCTTTTGTATTTAACAAAAATAATATTTACAAATAAAAATCTGCAAAAGGCGTTTCCAGCATCACTTTGGTGGTTGATACGCTCGAACTATATCCATCAAATGATTTTAGATGAAGAGTCAGATGTTTTACTCAATGAAACAGAATTACTTATTGACAGAATGAGTAAGCTTAATGATTGGAATAATGATGAATATAAAAGTTTTGAAACTTTATTTTATATTGAAGCTCTACAATTTACATTATTATACAAAAGAATTAATGACTCGGAAAAGTATTTGAACCAAGTACAAACTATTGCCAAGTTAACTTTAGAACTCGGTGGAGCACAGGGAAAACGTACAAAGTATCAGCAAGAAGAAAAACCACAACTTTTTCTTAACATTAAAGCGGCGCAAGAATTATTTTCTTTTATAGAATCTCCTGATTTACCTCATTCAGTTCATATAATGGATGATTTGAGGCTGGATTCCATTGAATTTTCGGAAAAAATTGAAATTTGTAAATTGGGATCAATTGAAGAAGCTGTTATTTTGGCTAAATGGTAAGAAAAAATTTTACAAACATTGATAGTGATAAAATCAATTAAATACAGCGATGATAGAGCGGAATAATTTATTTATTTATTTCTTTGAGATAGACCTAACAGCCAAGGGCCAGTAACAAGGTCACTAAATATTACATCGGATAAATAATTTATAAATTTTTACATTATAATACATAAATTAAAAGGTACAAAATAGTTTTAACACTTAAATACAATGATTTTTTATTTAATTAATAAATATTTTGTAGCTACTATTAGTTGGGAAACAGCGTCAAAAGGCCATTTATTAATAATAAATTCAATTTGCTTTGCAATTAGTAACTTATATTATATAATCTTAACAATTAAGTTAATGTATTGAAGAAGAATTAGGAGAATGAAAAAGTCAAAATAATAATAAAAATAATTCAAGTTCTCATCAAAAACCATTAGCTAATTGATAAAATTTTTTTTTAGTGCCCATCTGCAAATAAGCCAACCAAAGGATGACTTTTCAATGGAAGAATTGATGCCGTATTTAAATGTAAGACTACTTAAATAAAATGTTAAGTTTTTATTTTGCTTTTTTAATAATAATAAGTTAATATTAATGATGAATTTTAAGTAATGAAAAAAATGATTGTAGGTAATAATCGAAGGAACTAAAAATTGGGCATTGAAAATGGAAGCATTGCGACAACGCAGTATATTTGAGATGAAAGATAAGCGTGGTATAGAGCGAGCTTTATCCCAGACTGAAAGCCTTGTAGGACAATACAGCCAATCAAAACCAAGTGTCTTTCATAGAACAAATCTTCTTTTTGCAAGTGGTATGAAAACCATTTGGATATTCAAACAAAACTTGGCAGACTCTATGTTGAATTTGGGATTGGTAAAAGGCGCTCTGGATCTTTATCTTCAGCTAAAGTTGTGGGAGGAAGTTATTGTTTGTTATACAATTCTTGACTTACGTCACAAGGTAAAGTAAAAAAGTCTATATATTTTAATTTAATTCAGCTATTATGTTAATTACAATGGTATTATTTTATTTTATTTTTATATACAGGCTGCAGAAATCATTCGTCAAGAATTATCAAAAAAACCAACAGTAAAATTGTGGTGTCTTCTTGGAGATGCTGAACAGGATGTTAATCACTATGAAACTGCTTGGGAATTGTCTGATAAAAAAAGTAGCCGTGTTCAAAAACATTGGGGCTTTTTTTATTTCGAGAAAAAACAGTACGCAGAAGCAATATCGCATTTAGAATTATCTGTTAAATTAAATAACATTCAAGAGAGCGTATGGATTCGCTTGGGTTTTGCAGCGTTACAAATTGAAAATTGGGAACTATCTGCTCATGCATACAGGCGTTACTGCGAACTCGAACAAACAAATTTTGAAGCTTGGAATAATTTAGCTAAAGTTTACATCAAACTAAACAATAAACCGCGCGCTTGGCATTCGCTTAAAAATGCCGTTAAATGTGATTTCAATGTTTGGCAAGTCTGGGATAATTTGATGGTTGTTAGTATTGATTTGGGACATTTTATAGATGTTATTGAGTGTTATCATAGAATTTTAGATTTAAAAAAATCTCCACACATTGATCATCAAGTTTTGAGAATATTAACCGAGGCTATTACCAAGAACATAAATGACAGTGAGGGACAACCAGTAAAAAATATTTTCGACAAAGCTTTAGCTCTTTTTGGGCGTATAAATGCATCAGTGCCAAACGATCCTGAAATACTCCAACTTTACGCTGAATTAACTGTTCTTCAAGCCACAGACACATCGATCAAAAAGGCCACTGAATATTTACAGAGAGCTTATCGGTCTTTTGTTGCTGATTCACGGTGGCATCAAAGCATTCCAACCGCCAAAAATGTTTTACAACTCTGTTTAAATCTCGCCGATACTTATTTACGTTGCTCTGAGACCACTGATGACATCAGAAAAAAACCAATGCTAGCTAGCGCTAAGCTATCACTGCAGTCGGTTCTAACTACAATGAAACAAAAGCATTTAATAGATCACGAAGATATTACGGAAACTGTCGGGAAACTGGAAAATAAATTGGAAATTATAAAAAATGAATTGATTAAAATTGATAGTAATGCATAAAAAAAATTCTCATAAGCCGGGTTTCATTGCCTTGGTTTTTTTTTTTACATGTGATACTATCTTAATTTTTGACAATATTCACACAAGAACATTTATTCAAATAATTTTATTAAATTATTCTGGAGTACCACCACATTGAGTTGGTTTGCCCTCGTGACAACAAACTGGATCAGGAATTTTAAGCCCCGAGAATTTCCATCCATTTGCGTCGCAAATTCGTGTAAAAAGTCCAACCTGCAATTTCATTTAATATTGATTTTATTCGTAACATTTAAATAAAAAAGTCATAAACGATCGATATACGAATAATAAATGTTTTTTTTTTTTTTTTTTTTATATACATAAATATCAATCAAAAGAAAATTAAAAATTTTTTTTACTTACATGCAAGTTTGAAACGTGTCCTTTTAATTTATCACAAATCAATTCTGGGCCCTTATCTTTAGCAGCACTCACCTATATAGGTAAACAAAAACGCATTATAAGCATTAATTTGTAACAGCAAGTACATATACAATATATACCTAAGTCTATAAAGTTTAAACACTTACGAGAGCAATGCAAAGTCGTTCACACTTGTCAATGCCTTCCTCATTACATGCAACATTAAACTGAAGAGATTGTTCTAAAATTGGTTCAAGACCTGATACTTGAATAGCTGCACAACTGCAATTACCTGTTAATTCCAATTTACGCCTGAAATTTTTTACATTAATTTATTAATAAACATTTTTAGATAAATGATAAATGAAATTCTTACCCCAGTACAGCTGATGATATAATCATCGTAAAAATAACAATTCGTATAAATTTATTCATTTTCAATCTCAAAAGCAGACTTTTGATTGCAAAATAACTTTTTTTTTTTTTTTTTTTTTTTTTCTTTATGATAACTTTTTCAAAGGTTCTATGTATTAAATCTCGAAGACAATTGTCATGAAAAAGTAATGAGCAGTGACGGAGCATCAAATCGTATCATCTTTATATAGAGTTATTCCCTACCACCCATAGTGTCTTATTACTTTATACATATACAGTTTCAATTTTACCGTCGCAAATACAGCTCTTGGATGTCAAATATTTAAAGAAGAAACATCCGGTAGCTTTTATTGCTTGAAGCATACTTTTGAAAATAAAAAATTGTTAATTTTTAAACAGGCTTCTATATTTGAAACTTGAAAGTGAATAATATAATAAGAACATATTAAATATTCAAATATACGATCGATAGTTATATAGAACAATATATGTAAGCTTAAATTTCTTAACATTTTCAGTTGAAAATGTTTTTATTATTTATTAATGTTTATTTTCAAACATTGTCATTCAAGAAGTATAAAAATTCTTTCATTAATGTTTTTTTGTGGATTATTATGTAACAATCGTCTATTATTTATTTTTAATCATTGTTATTTTATCTATGAATTAATTTTGTGAAAAACCTAATAATTGAAAATTTTAATAATATACAAAAAAATATGATGAATATTTTTTTAATCAGCCGTCTTTGCATAGTAATTTTTCATAATTAAACATCAAAATTGATTGGGTATTGACCCCAATTTTTTATTAGCTTAAGGGGTTAGAGAATGAGAATTTTCAGTAATTTTTTTTTGCTATTAAATCATGTTATTTTACAAAAGTAATAATATGGCATTATAACACAATGTTTTGACTTGAAGTCATGAAAATTTGGAAAAAAAAATTTATAATTTCCAAAGTTATAGCTGTTTGTGTTGACCCAGTTCCAAAAAAAGGTCCTTGCGGTGACTATCATAAGTCCTTGGAGATTCATCAAAAATTAATCGGATGGAAAAAATTAGTTTTATAAATAGATTATCTTGGGCCTGATCGAAGATTTTTTTTTTTTCAAAAATTAACAATATATTGGCCTCAGGAAATTTTTTTCTAGATTTTTGAGAAAAAATTAACAGTTAATTGAATGAAAATTAAGTTAGCCGACATTTAAAAATTAAAAAGAATTTTGTTATTGAAAAAATTACTACAAAAAAAAATTGTCATTTGTTAAAAACTTGAAAAATTGTAAGTGCAATTTTTTAAAAATATTTTTTTATTCTAATTTAATTATTAAAAAAAAAAATCAAAAAATTAAAAACGTCGGCTAACTTTAATATCATATTAATTGGTCATAAAAAATCAAAATTTTTGAAAAAAAAAAAAATCCTTCAATCAGCCCCGAGTTTATTATGTATTCTAAAAGCTGTATAAATTTCATTAACTAAATGAGTTTTATGTAAACTCGAAAAATTATTTTCTCCATATAGTTTTTAAATAAAAATAATAAATTTATAATTTTTAATCAATGTAAGATGATTTGTTTGTTGATATTCGATATGAGTTAATATTGCTTGGTGTATCAGGTGTATAGGTGCTAGTACTAACGCCGCGGATCGATAAATATCTCGGTGAAATATTTGAAATAACAACATAGAAATAATAAATAAAAATAAAATGATTGACAGAAAGATTGGGTATTAAAAAAATTTTAATATCCTTCTTTGAAATCTTTCTATTGAATATTTTCTCGATTTTTCTTTTTATCTGCAGTCTTTCTTTGCATTTATCAACTATTCATTCATTCTTATCGGTTATTGATTAATTACCGGAATAAATACTGTCAAATAATCGAGTGAGCTAGATATCTTAATTAAAATATAAGATTATCTGGCAGGCAAATAAAATTATAGCCAGTTTATTAATTAAACCAGTCATTGTTATCCCTTTGCATGCGACACTTGTTGTAGTAATTATATCATTCAAGTAATTGCCTTATAGTTTTAAATAATGGTGTCAGAAGGATGGCAAGGAGACTATTATGGAGCTATATTAACAACAATGAACATAATAAACCAATTAATGATTCTATCTGTGACCGGATATCTATTCTACTTGACTGGTTTAATTGTATCGACATTGAATATTCACATTGGACTTTGTACAGTTGGGGTAAATTAAAAATTTATTTTATTTCATTTTCTACGGTTCCGTCTTTGAATTGAATAATGAAGTATGCATTAATAAAATCATTATACAGATAAAAGCTTTGGGAAAAAAAAAAAAAAAAAAAAAAAAAAAGTAACTTATAATGTGAATTTCAGTACTTTTTTCTCATAGGAATTAAAATAAAGTTGATGAAAAAATTTTAAATTTAACTGCACACAGAAAGATTTCAATTCAAAGACTTAAATGCATGAAATATTATATTTTACGTATAATATAGTAATTTTAATAAAATAAAAATATAGTAAAGTTTTAATATAAATATATTAATATTTTTTTATCAGTACGTTCTATTAATGTCCGAAGCACTGATGGTTATGACCGAGGAAAATGTTTGGTCACGTCGATTTTCACGACGTGGAATTCACAATATCCATTGGAATTTACAACTACTCGGTGGCGCTTTTAGTACGGCTGGCGTAATTGTTATGTTTAAAAGCACTGAAAATCATTTTAAATCTACTCATGCAATCTTAGGAATAACGTCGATTATACTCATGTGTATTCTATCTTTTTTGGGAATCACCGTAGTCTATGCCGTAAAATTAAGGAGTTTTATACCGCCAGTTATCTCAAAATTTATTCACAATTTCCTTGGAATTGCTTCTTTTCTCACTGGAATGCTTGCACAATGTTATAGTTATAATAAAAATTGGTTTATTAAAAATGCCGGGAATGAAATAAGAACTTTATGTATCGTATTTACTGCGGTTATAGCGTTTATAAATATCATACGACCATTAAAATCGCTTTATGCGCAAATAAAATCAATTTTATGTTAAAAGATTACAGAAACTAAAAGAAAATTGATTTTACTTTTAATAAAAAGCATTATTAATATTATTTGATTAATTATTTATTATTAATATTATTATTTTAATTATTATAGTACACATGTGCTAGACAATTATTTAAAATGATTGTTGTTTAGTTATTGAATATTTACATAATTAATATACGTTTAATAAGTTTTGGCATACTTATAGTTATTATTCTAATGTGAGATCCCAGCTTATATTATAATTTATAATAATAATAACAATAATTTTAATTATAATTTTAATTAAATAACAAAAAAAAATTAATAAAAGCTAACGAGCTATAAATATAAAATAATGACAAGAGTTTATATAAGTATATAGTGGTTAAAAAATTCTTAGTTGTGAGTCGATAGAAGTTTGGACGGCGGAAATGATGAGCCAGGCTAGTGTTGCGAGAAAAGTTGATCGTGTTGATGCTAGACTGTGCTGCATTGCTGCAGGATTGTCTCCGTTAAATATATGAACATAAACACGTGCTGGCTGAGCGTTACTTGCCTTACACGTGTAATTTCCGGAGTGTCTGTCTAATGCTCTAGGTACGTAGAGCCAGCTTTCACGGTTCGTCAAATCCGTGCTGACATTTACTCCTAGATCCACGTCGTAGTTTATCATTCGGAAGTTGTGGAACCAAAACAAATATGACGGTACTTCCGTTGACTTTTTTACTTGACAGTGCAGTTGAAGTGTACTACCTGGTCGTACAAATTTTTCTGCTGGTCCATCTATTTCAGCGCTTGCCTCTGAAAAATCATTTATTCCCTCGTTTGAGTAACTGTAACTAGTAACTAGTCGCGTAACAAAATATCCGAACATTTATATCTCGGCAATTTAATTGTCGCGTAATAAATTGAAAGATGGTTTCGAAAATTACAACAAAGTATATACACTGATAGAAGGATTTAATTCTATTCTATTTAATAAAATTTAATAATAGTTTATAAATCATTTATTAACGCTTATTTATTTCCACCAAATAAATATTTTGTAGTATTTAACTAATTAATTATTGGTAATCAATAAATCGTTTATTGGTATTAAAGAAATTTATTTTTCAACTTATTTTAGCGTAAAATCTAACTTTTTTATTCAAAATAAATCAAAATAATTTTAAGTAAAAGTATTAGGTATTATAAAGAAAAAAATCTGGAATTCGGTTGATCGCGCAGGCCAACCCTAGAGCTTCCTGCTAAGTTTCAATTTAAAGCACCTAAAAATGAGTTTTTTGGTTAATATTTGAGCTTTTCAAAGAAATTCAAAATTTAGGTTTTTACTGCTTTAACTTGGTATAATTACTGAACTAGACAACATATTAAAATTCGGTAAAATGCATCGTAAAGCTCTTTTAATAAGCTTCAATTTTCACTACTCAGAAGTGGTAATAGCCTCAATATTACTCCTTTTAGAGTTCGTTTATGAAACAGTTTTACTGTTGCAGCCGTTTTAGAATTGTTGTCTGCATCATAGCTTAATCATGATGTAAATTCAATGAATTTTTTTTAAGCACAAAAAACGTATACATAGTTTTATTATGATTTTTCTGCGCGCTTCAAAGTTATTTTAACCCTTAACTTAACGGCCACACCTGACCCAGGCTACATAACGGCCATATGGGGTAACTCATTACCCAACGCTAAAAAACCCGATTGGACAAGATGTGTAAATGTTTTGAGACTTTTAACTAATTTTGTCATGTTCTTTGACGAGTTCTTGAATATTTATAATGGTTTAAAACTTGGTTAATTCAAAAAACATAAAAATTCAAATTTTTTTTTAATTTCTCCGAAATGGCTCGGTGGATTAACTCCCAAATCTAATCAGATCTAAGTTTCGATAAGCCCTTTTGAATGACGTGTCGTAGAATTCTATCAGTTGATTCGTTTTTGAGAAACCGTACGACAAGAATTTATTTACACACGTACACACACACACGACCGGACACCTTGGCGGGAATAGTTAGAATGACCGAAATCAATAACTTCCCTTTAGAGGAAAATTTTCAATTTTCTTAGCGGGAAGTTAAAAATCTCATTAAATTATAATTTTTTATTTGAGACAGTTATAAAATTAAAAATTAAACAATTTTTTTTTTAACATATCAATAATAGACAAATTGAAAAATTTAAACTAAAATTTAAACTTCACTTAGAAATGACATATTAGCCATTGGGGAGTATGTGTGTTTTCAAAGGTTTGATAAATCTCCCAAAATCGAGCTGAATAAAATGTGATTCAAGGCGCGCAGTAGTCTATCGGATCTGGCCCTTGCTACCAAAGCATTGGACCGGGTTCGAATCCGGCGTACACTAATGAATATTTTCAATATTTAAGTGTATATTATTCTGCTCAGCCCAAGAAATACAAACGAGTTCCAATCTCAAAAAGTTTACCCCCTATAGTAGTCGCTCATGACCTTAGTAGTTTATGCGACTTTAAACAAATTAAAAAAAAAAAAAAAAAAAACCAAAAAAAATGTGATTCAGTGAATCAGTTATGTATCACATTGGAATTAAAGCATAGCCATTTACCGACAATATTTACCAAAGAAATAATTAGTACCTACTGTTAAATATTATTTGGTGGAAACAAATATTCATTTAGATTTAAGGAAAAGGTAAATGTAGCTCTGCATATGTAGTCGTAATTCATCATTATATTATATTTTTTCTCTTTTTTTTTTTTTTCTTATTACTATAGCTACTAAGTCATCTGATGATTATAAAAATCACTCTAATTTTAAAAATTAAAATTTTTTAGTTTATATAGAGTCAAATATTAATTTAGGTATTAAACACTGTCAAAATCTTCAACTTGTAAAATTAAGTAGCCCTGTTATTGGCCCCTTAGGCTGTTGGGCTTATGTAATGGAAAATAAATAAATAAATAAATAAATTTCCATATATAATAGGGCTTTGTTTATTTTAATGTAATTTATTGAGAGAAAAAAAATCATTTATTAAACTGTAACAAATAAAATTAATTCGTAAAAAATATTTTTTTCTCCCAAATAAATGATTAAAAATTTTGTTATTAAATCAATTTAGTACTCCGTACTAAATACTTCTATCAGTGTAGAAGAATCTGTCATAGTTTATTTGAAAAAAAAAAATTTTTCTCTCTTCTTTACAGTATCGCCCAATAATTAGAGAATATTTATTTCATTAAATTAAACTACCGTTCACTGAAAAAAATTTTTAAAGTATAAAAAGACTTTCTAAAAATTTTAGCCAATTAACTAGATATAAATTGACAGTGTAAAGTTTTCATAGTATCAAATTTAAAATTTCAGTAAATGTATGGTAAATCTTAAAGCTAGTGACGCTTCAATAACTTTGATAAATAGCTTACGAAATACGAGAAAAATATCACAGATGTTCCTGAATTTTGTGATACTTTTATTACATTTATAAAAGCATCATTTTTACTAGATTTCTTTATATATATGTCAAAATGAAGTGGAAAATATTCGTAAATAGTATTATATCTAAAATCAGTGCTTTCACCTAAATTTTGAATTTCTATTTTTAAATTAAATTCTGTCTGATAAATCGAAGATAATATGAAATTGATAAGAATTTCTTTTGCGAAAAATTAAATTTTATAAAAAAAAAGATCTTTACTAATTTATTGGCATTTTTAGTATTTGATTTAGAATTTAAATTTCAAATTTTTTATATCTTTTTATTATATTAATATCGAGAAGATGGAAAAATACGATAAAATTTATAAGAACCTTTTATAGAGTATAACATTTCTTATAAAAAAAAAAAATAAAAATAAAAAACTAGACACTTCATTTTTGTGTTTTATGAGTTAAGACGCACGTTACGAATTTTAAAGCCTTAAAAGTATACGATACTTTTTTTAAAGACAAGTTAATTAAATATGACATACTACCTTGAGGACATATATAAGAATAATAATAATATTATCAAGTCATTACAAACAGGACATAACAAATATTTTTTTAGATTAAAAAAATACTTTAATAATAATAATAATAATAATAATAAAGAATATAGTCTATTTCGCAATAAAATAAGAAAATCTGGATTAACATTTATATATTCTCATATTATTCCCATTGAAACTTGGAGCTTAGCGAATCGAAATAAGACAATTTTGCCGATACGAATCTTGGCGGGTAGAAACTGATTAGTTTCTCCTCTAGAGTATAGACTGGGTGGTTTTTGTTTGCTGTATTAGTTTCTGACTCGATTTAAATTCTGCTTGAATCATATTTATTTATTGTAAGACTCAAAATAACTAAATCCACAAAATTAACAGTCAAAAGGTGAATTATCAGTCTCGAAATTTCTCGTTCCAATTGACTACAGGGATTAAAACTTTAAATTCCAATACACGAGACGCAAAAAATTTTAATAATATGTTGTGTGCAGTACAACATGAATCACGATGTTTTTTAACTGTAGATGATGCTAGCCTTATCTTTGCGTAGACAGTCAACCCTCGTCAAAAACCTTCTTGTTTCATCCCTTCCCGTACAATATTCTAGTATGTATTTAATTGTATTGTAACTAGGTCTCTACACGCAAATGAATATCACAGTTTCTGTTATATACTCTTATTCATTATATACCTACACTGATAAAAAAATTAATTTGACTTAAGAAAAAAATTCTTGAACCAAGAACATAATTTTTAAGAGTCTGATCATCTTGAATCAAGAAGAAAAAACTTTAAATCAAGTAGAATTTACTTGAATCAAGAACAACTTTTTAATTCAAAAATTTTTTCACTTGATTTAAGGGTGTAGTTCGTCGGCAAAAAAAAAATAGGCTATGATTGAGAATTTTTTGTGAGCTTGCTATGATAGATATGTTTATAAGTCATTAGGGATGATAAATTAAGTCTTAAATTTCAAAAATACAAATTTTTTTCAGTTGTATTACACAAAACCATAATTTGGAAGCAGGTCGACTCCTTCATGATATGTGAAAAAAAAAAAAAAAAGTGTTTTTCTCTCCTCCGGGCGGAAAGTGGAAACTTGCGTCTCGTTGCGCTAAACAAAGTTGCCGTTTTCCGCCTCCGTCGAGAAGAAAAATAGTATACTCACCTTTGGCAGGAAATAAGAAAGCCTCAGATCACATGTTTGTCGACCTCGGCTTCACCTCGACCAACAATTACATGTGATTTAAGACATTTCTTACTTTCTTGCCCTAAGTAATATACTAAGATTCGTTATGATAATGGCTACAAAATAGACTATTGATATTAATTTTGAACAATTGTTGTTAATTTCAAGTCACAAAAACCAAAAAAGTTTTTTTAATTATCTTTTTTTTCCGCTGTTATTTGAAAAAAAGAAAATAATGAAAATCAATATTTTAATACGGTGGTAGTCTATTTTGTGGGTATTTATGAGTAGAATATGCGGTTAAATTTCAGAAGGGTCGGCCCAGAGGTTCTGGAGAAATCGTGTTGGCCGTCCGTGAAAACTTAGTTTTGAAAAAAACGCACTTTAAGTTCTTTTAAATAAAAATATGTAAAAAATTTAAAAATAAAAAATCGAATTTTTGAAAGTGACCAACTAAATCAAATGACACTCTTAAGAGAAAAATTCTTGAAACAATAATATAACTCAAAAAAATTCAAGAATTTTTTCACTCGATTTAATAAGATGTTCAAATTCTTCAAAATTATATTATTGGTTTAAGAATTTTTCTCTTGAATCAAGTTAATTTTTTTATCAGTGTATTATTATTTTTCATAATTATTGACTCAATTCCAACCAAGTATGTTTACTGATTAAAAAATGGAACTGAAAAATGAACAAAGAAAATTTTAATCATCTAGTGAGTGTATATTTGCAAGAAACTGGAATAGAATTTTAATAACTTTATATTAGAAGAGATGTTTGATAAGTAAGACAAGGGTAGAAGACACCCGTTAGCGGTAGATTCCATTAATAACTTACCAACGACCTCGAGAAACAGAAATATACTCGTGGGTGGATGAGTGGACACTTGGCACTCATATATTCCAGCATCCCTAGACTGAACGTATTTTATTTGAAGAGTCCAATCTTCGTTGTGGTGAAAGTGGATCGCTTGGAATCGTCCGTCGCTTGCATATGTCGACAGCCCAACTGTTAACAACTGCTGTACTGCTTTTCGTCTTATCCAGCTCACCTAAAATTCCATATTAAAAAAAATAATAATAAAAAAATAATGATAATAAATAGTAAAGTTTGAGAGCAATATTAAAAATTATCATATCACATTAAATGTACAATTGTTGAATTAGTTTGAATGTTTTTAAACTTTGCTACTCAGGAAGTTAAAAGTTCTTTAGTTTCAACATAATTTTTTTTCATATTTTAATCAGTTTACAACAATGTTCACGATATAAATTTTCTGTTATTTTTTAACTCCGTTGAATCAGTTAATGTTAGAAAAATAAAAAAAAATTCAGTTTTAATTTCTTTTTGGATATATAATACTGCTTGATTCAATTAACTACGAGAGCAAATCGCTCTGCGGTTAGATTTCAAATGAATCGTTTAATTGAAACCCTCGAAACCGAGAGCTCTATCCGTTACGTCCAAGTATTTTTAAATAAATAATATTTGTTCTCTATAGAATTATCATTTTAATTCAAAATCTATAATTTTAGTTAAATAGTAGTTTTAATTGAAATTCAGCAAACGATTATTCGGTTTTGTTGTAAAAGACAATAATTTTAAATCCTAATTATCATCCAGTAATTAATAATTCAACAAATCACAATGTAATTTATTGAGTGTTAATATAATTATACTTTTAAATTAATTCATTCGTAACATTATTAATCTTCTTTTTAATTGTAAAAGTTTATCTATAAATATAAAGTAACTTTATTTAATTCCGTTCTTACGATTTATGTTAACAATAAAATTTTAACTTCATGTCAAAGTTATAACAAATTTACATAAATAATTTTATAACTATTAAGAGGTATTTATAAAAAAATAATAGAACCTGCAGTAAAGCTAAATTAATTATTTTTTTATTTTCTGTTATAAATAATAATCTCTTTAATTTTTTTTACTTTAAAAAAATTTTTAACAATATCATTGTTATTTTTTTTTTTTATGCAAAAGTGACTGGCAACTCTTAATAACATAATTTTTAGTCATGGCGGATTGGCCTGGGGGTAAAACTAGTTAAAACACAGTTAAGTTTATTACCTCGCGAAACACTCAAGCCATAAGGTACAATAGTAACTCAATTTTCATGGCTGGGCAGATGAGGTGGTATTCCCCTCTTTACTTGTTACCTTGTAATATACGTCTAAACTTTATCTAACCTCCGCTGCTCTATTTGCGAGTTGCTGATATTATAATTTTAGTAATTCATTCTTATTTCAATGTAAAAACAATATAAAATATTCAAAAAAATAAATAATTACGTTTTAACATAAATTTGAATTATGATAAAATATTCATAACTTGAGCGTGCACGCAAACTTACTAAAATTTCAAAGTACCGTGTATCATACACATGTTTAATACTAGGATAATATGCTTGAGTATTTAATTTAACTATCCTTGATGTTTTCGAGATGAAATTGCTTAAATCATTGCTGCATATAATTAGTATTAATATATATATATATAAGTGGTTAAAATTTTACATCACTAAGTAGAATCAAGCTATCGCTTTTAAATTTATTCTCTCGCTTATACTCAATAACACAATTAAATTTCCCCAATGTGCTGTTCATACTCAGCGAAAGAATTTATTAATTAAAACAATGAAACACTTGAAAATTTAACAGTTAAATATGCTACATTTACTATTTCACCGTTTGGTAAATTATTTAAAATCATAATACTTCTCCTTTTTATGCCGTATAAAAAACAATTTTAATGCTAATATTTAATCTTTAGTAGTCTATAATTATATTTTTTTCAGTGCAATATTTCATAATTAAAAATATACATATAGCTTTTATTAATATTAAAGTACGTTACTGTCCTTCTACCGTTTTTTTTAAGTAATCAAAATCACTGTAACTATGAATATTAATTTCGATTATTCGACGCGGTATTTAATGAGATAAATATATCAAATTACTGTCATTGTTATTATTACAATGTAAATTTTGACCTAGATGTTCTCAGCTAGAAATATTTTTATTAAAATGATCCATACAAGCTTTCAGTTTTTTTTACCACATGTATGGATATAGGTATGGTTTATTTTAAATAACTAATTGTAAAATTACTGATATAAATTTTGATATCAATCAAAATAATTTAGAATCGATTTTTACAAACGTAATTAAAGTATTAACCTTTGATAAAATATCTTTTTTCGAATAATATATTTAAAAAAAAAAAATAATAAAATTAATTATATTTTTCGATTGGATAAATTTTAAAAATTAATCATCGATTTGATGTGCCATGTGAATTTTAAACTTTAACAAACAAAGCGCTTTTGTTTGCATTCTGACAAAATGTTTACTGTAATAATTAAAAAAAAAAAAAAAAAAGCAGAAGTGTAATAAAAAAAAAAAATACTCATTTTTGAACTGCTAATGATTAAAAACAGAATTACATTTAAATGAAGTATTTTTTAAAGAATCTTTGAAGTTTTTTTTATGTCACTATGAATATATTATGCATCTTAGTGTAGGCGGTAATAAGGATGGTTTTCTACTGAGAATATAAGAGTTAATTTAATAGAACCGCTCTTTCGTGAGAGCATTATATTTAGACGGCTTTAGACTATTTGAAGATAATTTACGTTAAGGATGGGGTAAATATTCAACTCGTTGTGATGCTAACTAAAAAAACAATTTCATTATAAGTATCTATTTATCATACATATTTACAAACACACCAAAATGTGCTTTTAGTAACAGGTATTATTACTTTAGCCAATTCGTTGATAAAAAATAGCATATCAGTTGCAAGCTTTTGATTACATTTGATGCTCTAGCTCTGTGTTATAAATAACTGATGGGTAATAAATGGGGATTGCTGTTAAATCTGGAATGGGTTTATAATCTGATTTAAAATTTTGATTTTTTTACCAATTTAATTTTTCTATTTTTAAATTGCGTTGAATATTAATGAATTATTTCATTTTATAAATAAATAAATAAAACTAAACTTTATACTACTGGATGAACAATTTTTAGAATTTAATCAGCTTAATTAAAAACTGTGAGGTATTTTTCAATAATAAATACATATGAAAATTAAGTTAGCCGATATCTAAAAATTTATAGAATTTTTTTTATTGAAAAAATGATTACAAAAAACTAAAAAAAAAAAATTTCACTTGTCAAAAACTTTAAAAACTGTAAGTGCAATTTTTTAAAAATATTTTATTGTTCTAATTTAATTTGAAAAAATAAATCAAAAAATTAAAAATGACGGTTAACTTTATTATTATTAAATACATAAACCCGTAATATATTTAAAAAATTTTATCAAAAAAGTTATCAAAAATGGAATACCATTTAAAAGTTTGAAACATTTGATCAGAACTATTCAACTGTAGAAAAAGTTAATAAAGAACTTTAGGCCATACAAATCGGTTAATTAGTTTTCTGAGTTATTACGATCGATTTATCGTGAAAAGTGACTTTTAAAGAATTGCAATATATCTTGTCATAATTATTTTTTTAAAAATAAATACATCAGTTTAATTGAAAAAATATTTTTAAAAAAAGTATGCTTGTTAAAAAAAATAATTATTTGCTAAAAATAATCCTTCGCAAAAAAATTATAAATGAAAAAAAAATTCTTTACTCGGAATTAACCCGTTTTACTTGAGATTAAAAGAAATAAAGAAACTAGTATTTTTGCTCAGGTATTGAACAAACACAAACAACTGTAACTTTTCTATCTGGTAAAAAATATTCGACATTAATCCCAAAGCTGCTCATATTTTTTAATTCTTTTATTTATTAAAACAAGATATAGTATAGCTGCCTGTTAGTTCAGTAATAATTGATTCGTTAAAATAAAAAATAAGTTCAGATATGTATTTTTATAAAGTTATAGTTGTAGAATAAAACTATAAAAAGATAAACTCACTGTTCCGTCGCCAAGGTTGTGTATAATACACGGTAACAATGCGATTGAGCCAGATTGTGCAAAAATAACAGAAGAATTTTCAGTGCCAAAGATCATTGGTAAAGTTGGTGGTAAGTCAATGTCTGATATGGGTTTCGAAGTTGAACTTTTATCGATGGAATTGACACCTAGTCGTTGCTGAAGCATTTCAGCGGTAACCGTAACCGACGGAAAGTCTGAAAAGTAATAACGACAAAAATAAGTTACAAAAAAAGTTTTATTAACTTGTAGTAATTTATAATAGAATAAAAAACTGATGAAAGGATAAGAGAAATTCACGATAAACTGAAATTAACTTAAAGTAAACTAAAGTTATATCTAATAATAATAATAATAATAATAATTATGTTTAACTTTGATATTGACATACTGGATAAACTTTGAATGACATCTACGAATGTAATTACAAAATTGTAATATAAATTTTATAATTATTAAATTAAAATGAAAATGAAGGTGGCTGACATTTCAAAATTTTTAGAAATTTTTTATTAAATAAATTTCAATTAAACAATTAAAAAAAAAAATTTCACATGTAAAAAACTTGAAAAACTATAAGTGCAATTTTTTAGAAATATTTTTTAGTTTGTAATTTAATTAAAAAAAAAATACAAAAATTTTTAAGTACATCTGCTAACATTAATGAAAATGAAGGTGGCCGACATTTCAAAATTTTTAGAAATTTTTTATTAAATAAATTTCAATTAAACAATTAAAAAAAAAAAATTCACATTTAAAAAACTTGAAAAACTATAAGTGCAATTTTTTAGAAATATTTTTTTAGTTGTAATTTAATTAAAAAAAAAAATCAAAAATTTTTAGACATCTGCTAACATTAATGAAAATGAAGGTGGCCGACATTTCAAAATTTTTAGAAATTTTTTATTAAATAAATTTCAATTAAACAATTAAAAAAAAAAAATTCACATTTAAAAAACTTGAAAAACTACAAGTGCAATTTTTTAGAAATATTTTTTTAGTTGTAATTTAATTAATAAAAAAAATCAAAAATTTTTAGACATCTGCTAACTTCAGTGTCATAAATTAAATAATTTTAATGCATATTCATATGTACAAAACGAACTTACTGGTTTGTATTGAGATGTTGAGTAGTAATGAAAACACTAGGATCTTCATCTTACAATAGTACTATGATAGCAATAATAATAATAGTGATTGTAATGATTCATTTTTCGACCTGATATGTTTTGAGTGTTGATAAATTAAAAGTAAGTTTGAAACTCTTGAGAGCGCTATTAACTTCTTCCTTCATCATAATCATCACTATGATCTTCTTTGAAATAAAATAGTACTCGGGAGATTGAGATTAATACTCTGACATGAGCATGATGGTTATCTACTTCTCTTTCACTTGACGACTAATTAAAAAGCTAATTAAATCTGCAACAGAATCGTAAATAACTCCAAGTTGATACTTTATTATATACAACAACGTTAATGGTTCTGTACGTTTATATTAATATTTATCATTATTAGTTTTAGGGAAATTATTAATTCAAATATAATAACATATATTATAAATTATAATTTAATAATAATAAATGGAAATACCAACCAATCAATCAATTAATAATTCATCCAAGTACTGCTTAATTACGATTCAATAGAAATTCAATCCATTGATTAATTATATTCAAAAAACTAAAGCTATAATAAATAAATAATAATAAATCTGGGATATCTTTTTGATACTACTCAATATTCACCGAAGTTTTGTGTACTCTAATGAATATAAATTATAACTCAATATCAATCAGTCGCAATTGCATCGGTAAATTTGCATCGATATCTGTATCAGCAAATAATTGATCACACTTAAATCAAAAAAGGTCACAGTACATAGATAGATACATTTAAAAATGATAAAAAAATAAGAAATAAAGAATGAAAATTAAGTTAGCCGACATTTAAAAATTTTTAGAATTTTTTTTTATTGTAAAAATCATTACAAAAAAATTTTTAAAAAATGTCACATGTAAAAAACTTGAAAAACTGTAAGTGAAATTTTTTAAAAATATTTTTTTATTTTAATTTAATTATTAATAAAAAAATCAAATAATTAAAAACGTCGGCTAAATTTAGTATCATAATAAAGAAGAAAAAATAATGAAAATTAAGCTAGCCGACACTGAAAAATTTTTGATTTTTTTTATTAATTAAAAATTAGAAAAAACTATTTTTTAAAAATACCACAGATGATTTTTAAAATTTTCTACATGTGAAAATTTTTGTTTAAATTTTTAAAAAATTATTTTTCAAAAAGATAAATTATAAAAATTTTCAAATTTCGGCTAATTTAATTTTCGTAAAAAAATAAACATAATAATTGTAGATAATTGTTATTAAATAAAACTAATAAAATGTTCTTTTCATTCTCTCTATCATTCGTCTAAAGTGCTTTCATCGCTTTTAACGCCCATTGCCTTTACGTTCTCTGTACTCAACACATCTATAATTCTATCTCTCGTTGACTCTACAACTCTTGATCATTCTCTCATGACTTTACATTAGCTTTTACCTTTTTTTTTTTTTCTCTATAACATGTTATTTTTTTTTTTATTTATCTCTATCCGATAATACAAATTAAAACAACAAGTTCTCGATTCTCGACTATTGTACAATTTGGTTGTAAATCAGCCACGGAAATTCCAATTAATGGTAGACAAAAAGAAATCAACCGTAGAAATTGCCCAAATTAGTGTATTCGTTTTCCGAGTGATTGACCAACATGAAAATACACGTCTACATATATATAAACACAAGTACAAGTACACATGTAGAGGAGTATACAGAGTAGAGGCGGTTTTTAGGCAACACACGACCTCAATTTCGTATCAAGATAAGCGATCAATTTTATTACCGGCAATTACTGCACAGATGAGACTATACATTACCCTGATAAACATCCTGAGATTAGGCAGGTCGCTTGATTCCAGTTTGTAAACAAATAATCTATTTTGTACAAAGTTACACTTGAAATTTTCTTTTAACCGATGATTTATAAGTAATTAAATCAATTTATAATTTAAATTAATTTTTTAAATATTCAAATGAATTAAATTTAACTTGAGTTGATTTTTTTTTCCAAGCTAATGATCCTGTCAGTTGTTTAAATAAGATTGCGTATGCATGTAAAGTGATGAATGATTGTCAGTTTATGTACGAGGGTGTGTTATCATAGTGAGAATTTAACGGAGCGGTTGACATCAATCTGGGTAGACGATGTACCGCGAACTAACGCCTCACAGTCTCTCTCTCGATATTGGATGCTGTTCGCTCCCCACACTGATACGGGGGATGAAAACTAGACGACTCGTACAGGGAGAAAATGAGAACGTTATAGTGGGAGAGATTCTCCCACATATATAGATGCGCAAAAGAGATAGATAGACAAAGGCGAAAGAAGAAGATATACAATAAAGCGCCTGCGTTCTCTTTAAAAATATTTTCTTATTTTCATTTTGTATTTACTAAACACTCACGAGCCACAAGTTAAGACTAAATCCACCTCTTAATTACTGTTCTTAAAACTTTAACTATTTATCATACTTGTTCATGTTTATCACGTACTTATTTATCATACTTTATTTTATTCATATTCTTCATCTTCATCTTCATCTTCTTCTTCTTCTTTTACGTCATACTTATTTTTTATTTATTTATATACTTCCCACTTTAAAGTTATACTTATTACGAGCTGAAGATTCCGAAACATGATACTCAATAATAATTTCAACGGTAAAATGATCATAGGTTGATTTGAATTTCATGAGTTATATGGTAGTTATTTCGTGACAGAAATATATTTTAAAAAGATATACATCCCTCGAGAAAACTCATATTTTTTTTCTATTAACTGTATCTATATGTATATAAACATGTAACTATATACTATATATCCTCGAATTACGCAAGCGCGAGAAATTCGAATAAATAAAAGGGCTATACAACCCCGCCCAATGAAATCCTTAGGATCAACATCTGCGTAAGATCTCACCTGTAAAAAGTCTTGTGTTATTTTTTCGCTCAAGTTGTTTCTTACTTTTTTTTTTCACTAAGTATTTGTATTTGTTTATTTTTATTGTTTTTGGTTTTATTTTTATTCAGGATTAATGTAACAGAAAAGCTTTCACCCTACGTGAATATTTTTTCTTTATTTGATTTTATACTTTTTCCCCCTCATTCGTCACTGCGATATTTATCTTGAAGAAATTGTCGTTGGTATAAAACCCTCCTTAGAGAAATAAATCCGCGACATTTATGACCCTTAGAGACTTTATTGTTCGCATTGGTGTTTTATGTCAAAGGACACAAAAAAAAAAAAAAAAAAAAAAAAAACAAACTTTTTTGGCGTATTTTTTTTTTTTATCTATATAACTTTCGGTTAAGATTTTATTATCTTGTTTTTTAAACTTTATTATCTCGTTACTGATGATTGAACTTGGTCTTGTTCTTCACACAAATCTTTTTTATATGATACTAGAAGGTAATGTATCATTCATATAATAATAATAAAAAAAAATTGTAAATTTTAGCTGCGATGTGGTCAGTGGGTAATCAGAAAAAATAAACCCGAAAAAAATTTTTAAGTTATGAAAAATTTATATTATTTTATTAAAATTATTATAAAATAAAAATTATAATAATAATAATTGTATTACACCCACAATTTTCCTGAAAAATATATAACATTAAAGTTAGCTGTCACTTGACTAATTTTTAATTTTATTTAACAAACAAATTAATTCTAAAAAATTATTTTTAAAAAATTGCATTTTTAATTTTATAAAATTTCTAAGTGTCTATTTTTTATTTTTTGTTTTTTTTTTTGCAGTAATTTATTTCCATAAAAAATTATAAAAATTATCAAATATCTGCTACTTTAATTTTCATGAAAAATATGCACCCCTAGAATGATCGTTCCAATTTTTGTTAAACAAAAAAAAATATTATTATTATTATTTTTATTATAATAATTATTATAATTTTAGACAACTATTGATTCATAAATTGCTACTATGTAAAACCATTAATATTGCTTAGTTTTTATAACTTTTTTCTTTTCTTTTCTATTTTTTTATATTTATATCATCTTTTTACTATTATATAACGATATAAACTCTTCATACTGTTACTTACGTGTACTATTACCATTATGTAAATTTTACCATTTGCCATTTGGCTCTAGGCCGTGGCATTTAAATAAATAAATAATAGTAATTTTTATTTTATAATAATTTTAATGAACTAATATAAATTTTTCATAACTTTAAAATTTTTTCCGGGATTCGGTCAGTAATATTAAATTATGAATAATATAATAAAAATCTATCGTTATTAATCAATTTTGGATGACTGTGATAAGAGGAATAAAATAATAATGATAATACATCAATAATTGTATACATTGATATTGATAAATTCTTCTTTATAGATACCTATAAGTGTAATAGCTGTTTAAAAATTATAAAGCAGACGACTATTACTTTTAATAATTTTATAATTTAATCAATAATTTATAAATCACTTCGTACAAAATCACCGGGTCCAGGTGGTGGTGCTGTTAGAGATGTAAGCCCACCAGCTGGATCTGCTGCAAATCGTTGAGATTTTTGTGGTCCGGGTGGTGGTCTTTCACCAACTTTCAATTTGTTTATTATTTCTTTTGTTGTTTCTGGAGTTAAATCTTCCTAAAAATTTAATATATCCCATTTAAATCATCAATTGAAAAAAAAATATTTGATTAAAAATAAAATATTTAACATACGTAGTAGTCATCATTAACTTGTAACATCGGAGCATTGGCGCAAGCTCCAAGACACTCAACTTCAGAAAGAGTAAACAAATTATCAGCAGATGTACCCCCAAGTTTACAATTAGTAGCTGCTTCAACAGCTTGAACTATGGAATCAGAATCGCGCAACCAGCATGGGGTGCATGTGCATATTTGTACGTGATATTTTCCCATCGGTCGACGATTGAACATCGTGTAGAATGTAGCAACTTCGTACACACGCATGTTTGACACACCTAAAATTTCTGCAACTTTGTGCATCGCGGAAATCGGCAGCCAACCTTGTTGACGTTGAGCTAAGTCCAGCAATGGAATCATAGCACCACGTTTATGACCCTCAGGGTAAATACCAAGTATTGCTTCCACTCGTTTTTTGTTAGCATCATTAAATTCAAATGGAATATTTGGATTATCTTGCTCCGAATCACGGTGCTGTAAAATTTTTTAATCATCACTAAATGTCACTTGGACTGACATAAATAATTAGTATGAAAATTAATTTAGCATATATTTAATAATTTTATAGCAAATAAATTATGGCAAAAAAAAAAATTGACATGTAGAAATTTAAAAAAATAAAAAATGCAATTTTTTAGAAATAATTTTTTTGATAAATAAAATTAAAAAATTGTCAAGTGACTGCTAACTTTAATGTCATAATTAATTAGTGTTCTAAATCTATTGATTTGACAGTTATTTTTAATGGTTACTCACAACAAAAAGATGATCAGATGCACGAATGGCTGAAGTTTGTATCTGTCTTATATTCCTCAATACCTGTCAAGTACCAAATTATAAACAATTAATTATTAACATTTTTTTATTACATAAGATTTTAGGTTAAACTGATTGATATTTTTGTAAAACAGTAGTACTATGAAATTATAATACTTACTGTTGCATTGCAAATTTTTCCTAATGAGACAAACATTTTATTTAACAATAGCAATCTATTAATTAAACTAATAAAAATATTTTTATTAAACAATACTGTGCAACTTCTGAGATTATCAACATAACAAGACTGATTTTTTTATAATAGATAGAGGGCGACTTACTTGGCGCGCATGCGTTCTTTTTTTAAATTGCGGGATTTTTTTTAATTTTCTTATTATTGCTCATTTTTTTTAACAAGTATGGAAATATTAATTCCTAAAAAAATTCTTCATCCATCATTAATTATTTATTACAATATATTTAAATATTATACTATTTTAATGATTGATTTAAATATATGAATTTATAATGAAGTCTTTAATTATAATTATCAGGTGGCGATTTATTTTTAAACAATATTAATAACATACTCTTAAAATATACAAATTAAATACTATAAGACTTAATACTTCAGTTTAAAATAGAACGATGAAAGTTGTGATTTTTGTTTATAGTAGAAAATGTTTATTGAGCATTGTTACATATAATTATGTTACATACTGATTACAGTGATAAATAATTAACAATTTGATAATAACTTAACAGATAATAATTAATGTAGTTATAAAAATTTTTTTATTAAAAAAAACTTCTTTCGTGTCCGATTGACTAGCATATTAAAAGCAAATTAATGAATAACATCAAGTCAATTAGTATTGTCATTATACGTAAATAAAACTATTATTTCGTTTGATATAAAATAATTAACGACATTTTACAAATAAATTATTTTTTTTTTTTTAAATTACTGGTGTGATTTTATAACACAAAAAATCACAATTACTATAATTATTATTATTATCAAAAATTTAATGTAACAAATGTAATAGTATAATTTCGTATTGGATAATATATAGAGAAATACATGTTTTTTTTTTTTTTTCGTAATTTTCAATAAATATCGTTAACTTTATCCGAAAAATGGATTGCTTATACACTTTACATCTAATTTCTTCTGTTAATATAATTTAATTTAAAATAGAAACGATAGTAAAAATTTAAAAGAAGAATTAAAATAATTATTTTTACGTTCAATGCAAATTTATATCACTTGCTTTTAATGTAATTTTGACACGTTAAATAAATAGTAGAATTAAAAATAAAATTAATAGAGGATGATAAAATCAAAATTTAATAAAATTACCCGTTAATTTTACAAATAATGGATTTTGAGATTTGAAAACTTAAAAATATCGCAGTCATTTGATCTAAATGGGATGAATAAACAGCCATAAAATAATTTCTCTCTTAAGGATTGATTATACTGCATGCTCTCCATTATGATAATTATTTATAATAATTATCTATTGTTTTGAATACAATTTGTAAATATTTATATATCTATATTTATCTAAATCGATTACATCGTTATCAAATATATCGTGTGAAATATTAAAAAAATTTGGTCTCCAAAGTCTTAATGAAATTATGATGAATAATTTCATGGGATAAATTGCTTATTTTATTTTTGACTTTTAAAAATATGCATTTGAGCACTCGGTATCAAATACTATGTATGTTTGATTGATCAATTATTCAAGATGTCGTTTTTGGCCAAGCAATCTTGGCATCGATTCTTTTAAAAGCAAAAAGGCAGTGTGATAGCTCTTGAGGACATTCATGATCTCCCAATAATGTTTCTAAAGAAAAATAAAATTTATATAAATAAATACTATCTTAAATTTAATCAACTCAATATATTTAGACTATAAATTAGTAGTATTAGTATTTACCTTCGCCTTGTACTAATTTGAATAAACCATAGTCTTGTGGATTTGTGCATCGTGTTTTATGCGCAAGTATACGGCAAATCTCTCGGGTGTTCATGTTTGGTCTGACGGGTAGTGTTCTAGTATTTAACGATCCATGAATTTCATCTGGTACAAGTACTCGAAGAACTGAAGAGCAACATTCAGGAGTTCCACAACCCTTTAAATTAATTATATTACATTATTAATAATAAGCACGTGATAACTTAAGTATTAATTAATTAATTAAATAATTAAAATTATACTTACATTTATAGTTGACATAGTTCCCTGACTTGTCTTGAATGTTTTCAATACGTGAACAGCGCTTGATAGTGTAGTTAAATAATATCCACCCTCACCAGTAAGAAGAGACGGATGAAGTAGACCCCACATAAACTCGGCTTCTATTTCAGCATCGACCACTTTGCCACGTACCAGAACCCATACAAGTAGCGGTAATAAATCATCAGCACCTAGAGTTACGTGTTTATCGCAATTAGAATGTTTAACTGAATTAAAAATAGTCGATATGGCAGACAATAAGTTTTCCAATTTATCCAGTGGTGAATCTGATTTTTGTAAACGCTCGATGTATTTTAATATCAAATTTAAATTATTATCTGATGGTGGTATTATAGTTGGACGTACGCCTAATTCTTGTATATGTTTGTTATGAGCGTATTGAATACTGTCAGCAAGGGTATTAAGTGACCCAGTTGCACCATAATGTTCAACAAATAGTTTGTATACATGTTCACGCAGAGGACGTACTACAAGCCTCATCATTACGCCTTCAAGTATTGCATCTAAATTTAGAAATTCATTTGGTTTCAATTTAAGGCGCTCTTTTTCAACTTCTTTTTCAAATTCACGTTCTCCGTGTTTAACGAGATAATTTTTCATCCCCGACATAAATTGCCGAATGTTTCTCATTACAACGTGAGGGCTTGCTTCTTTTCCTTCCATAGTACATTGGATGAAATTATCAATATTTTGTGAAAATACCGTTGTTTTATCAGCTGCTAACAACAATGCATAAGCCCTTATACTTGATCCAGTTCCACAGCCTTCACGATTTTTCAAGGCTTGAAGTCGTGGGGGAGCTATTAAAAAAATAAAGAAGATAATTATAATTATTAAAAAAAAATCTATATATTCTTATCAATTTTATCTTATTTCTATTTATCTGACATAATCTATTTATATTTTATCATTATTGGTAAATTTCAATGATTCGTTATAAATTCATTGAAATTTTTTAAAATTTTTATCACGTACAATTATTACTAAATAAAATAGCAAAAAAAAAAATAGCACATTTTTGCATGCAAAATGAATAATCACTAAAATTTTTTTTTTTTTTCATAAATAAAATAGTATATTTTTTATATTAAAATAATAATCTTTCGAAAGTAATTCAACTCTATCAATCTTACATTTAAATACAACCGTAGTACGCTGTATTTTTCGACAAAAACAACGAAACCACAAACTTAATTTTTTGAACATTTTCTTGGTGTAAAAGGAAAATTTTTTACACTCGCTGTCGACATCCAAGAAATCATCAATCATTGTAAAATGAATAGTTCTAAAAATCACAATTACTCACAAAAAATACACGACAAATGTTGAATTGTATTGTTACGTTTAAATAATTTAATCATTGTAAATTGTTGATATAAAATATTGTACGGTGATTAATTTACTATGAACGTATATACACTGAATGTGTTACAGTAATCTAGTACAGAGTAGTAATCGATAAGAAAGAAGTAGCAAAAGAGTGAGGGATGGAGATAAAAGATAAGCGCCTCGTGTCAAGAGGACGAGTTAAGTAATGCGAGACAAACTTGGACAATACTGAATGACAATTAACGATAATCCCACAAGTAAACCATTGTCTCGGATATATATAATCTTCATAGATACAGCTTTAGTCATTGCGCACTTCATATTTATTGTTTTTCTTTTTTTTCATTTATCTTAATTTTTTAATTATCTTTACTAATCACCATTATCATAAGATTGAACTACATTATAATCTATTAATCATCATAAATCTGTCATATAGTTTATAACTCTTTCTTTCCGCGTCTATAATAAAGATTAATTAATTATTTATAATTTATAATGCTCTCACAGTACCCTCACCCGTTTTGTTGGACATCGATTCATTTTTTTTTTTAAATCTATTTTCAGTATAGTGAAATAGAAAATAAGAAATAATAAACCATTGAAATTATAAAAAGAAACATATTTAAATCAAGATTTTTTTTATGTAATTTCACATTCAGTTATATGGACTCATTTTGTTTTATAAATATGACTGGAATAAAATTTAATCGCTCTATTAATATTAAATTTAAATTTTCGAGCCGAAAAATAATAAAAATGGAGATAATTTTATGGAATAAGAAAATAAATAAATACAACGAAATTATCAACTTAAAAGCATGCATTGAACATGCTTAATTCAATGACCTAATTTTCTTCTCTAATAATTTTTACGCAATTGCATTAAAAAAAAAAAAAAAAAAAAGCAATGGAAATATAATAATGATAAAGTTAAAACTTACATAGAAGGGGATCTAATCGTTCTTTAAAACTGGCTTTTCTTTTTATTCTCTCATGATCACTATCATCTGTATCAACGTTAGTTTCCCATTCTGATACTTCATACGTTTGATCACCTTCCCAATCTGACGGTGTTACTTCTCGATTTTTCCTTTTATCAATATTACTAAGGGTCGAATTGCTGTAATCATTTTGTAGTGTATCTGTTGTTTTTATTAATTCTGGGTACCTGGAAAAAAAATTATTTTGTTAACATTTTAGCAGTGTAATTTTATAGTTATATTATATAAAATATATAAGATGCATTTAAATTACCGCTGGTAAATGATACTCTGAACGGTAAGTGAGTTAGATCCATCATCTTTAATACAACTATCCCGTGGAAATTGTCGTAATAAAATATCAGTCATAAATTCAGGACTTTCCTCAGAGTCAGTTTCATTTTCCGTCTTAACAACATCACTTGTATTATCACTTCTGACGCTGTTTCCATTAACATTTAGCTTTGGGCTTTTCTGTTTACTTTGACTACGGTCACTTTCACTACTATATTTATCCTTCTTTTCGTCTTCATTATCATTCTCTTTCTCTCCCGATCCTCCTTTACGTTCTGTAATTTCACTGCCGCCTGTATCATCTCCTTCATTTCCTGTTATTAATAAAATCAATATCATCAAAACTAATTTAATAAAAATCTATCAAAATAAATTAAATTAATAAATTATATTACTAAAGTGAATATAGACGACGGGTATATTTTAGTAAGTACTATAGATAAAATAAAATGAAATAAAATTACCAATAAATTCCCAGCTTGAGTCAACTGTCCAGGAAGTGTCATTTGAGATTTTAGGTCTAACTTTAGGTGGTTGAACTGGTTTAGCACGAGGATAAATTTTTTTATTTTCTTTACCACCAAGACGATTTGAGGTAAGGTTATCTACGGAAGACGATATAAGAGGTATTTTATCTTCAATTTCCTCAGATTCAGTCCAATCAATAGGATGTATTTGATTGGTGTGATTACCACTTGGCATCTGAAACCATCCAGGTTCGCTGTGACGATATTTACTTATTATACCACTATTATTACGATTTTTTCTTCTTGGTACAAGTGGTTGAATTTGTTGTATAGCATCCGCGGGTTCTGCATAAAATGGACTACTCTGTTTAGATTCAGGAGTCATTGGGCTATTACTCTCAGACTTGGTAAACATCAAAGCTAATTTATTTTTAACCGGAGTTATGGCAGTAACGTTTGGACTATTTAAAGAATTAGCGCTACAAACTCTTGACAAAAGATCTGGACGTCTTAGTATTCCTCCAATATCTTCGGGTGAAGCTGAACCTCTTGGACTTTTTGAACACGATTCAGCAATTGGTTTAAAACTACTAAATTCAGGACTGGCTATCTCCATATAGCTCAATTTTTCTCGTGACCGTGATGATCGATCATTGCGCAACAGCATCACACGGTCTGTACCAGCAAAAGGGTCTTTAATTAAATTTTCAGTAGGTTGACATGGACTTAGAGTATGCTCACTACGGTCATGCGGTGACCAACTAGAATTAGATCTGTCAGTTGTATTCCAAATATCTTCATAGTCAGAAATTTTATCAGCTGGTGAACTACGGCAGTAAGATTCAAGTATATCTGACTCTTGATAGTGTTGAGAATTTTTCCTCGCTTCACGATCACGACGTCTGCGCGATTTTGACGTTGTGCTTGATGGAGTTGTAGGTGACAAGAGATTCGGCGTTTTTCTTCCATTAGAGACTAGTTTTGAAGAAGGTGATAATAATGTTGGGGTGCTAGGCGATAAGGTAGATCTACTTGTAAAATTAGATGAAAATGATTTGTTAGACGTTATACTTTGTGGGCTTAACATTGTTACACTTTTGTCTGATGAAGTTACTAATTGTTGAAATGAATCTGTCGTACCAATTTGATTAACATTTAATGAAATTACTGTAGTTGTAGTTGTAACAGTAACATTGCTATTTTGACATTGGCTTGCTCCTGGTTTAGCCCAACGTGGTGGCGGTGTAGGTGGTGTTTTAATACTATTTACTTGTATAGTACTGTGTATAGTACCACCTTGTTGACTATCAAATCCAACATTACGTGTATCTCCTGATTGACTGTTTGGTGAATTAGCATTTATAATATTATTTGAATTATTTTTAATAAAATTTTGTGACTCGTTGTTGCTTTTAGATTCAGTAGGTATAAGTACATTACTCTCGACATTATGGACGACCGGTGAACGACAGCGAACACTTTGAACAAGATTAGGTGACACTAATTTTTGACTGGGTTCTTCACATGGCAAGATAACAATATTTTCAGTTCGATCTTTTTTGTCATCAAGAGGCTCATTGAATCTCTTTAAGTTGAGAGTATTTGGCGGAGTTGGTCGTGGCAGTCTCGGCTGTTGTGATGTAACGAATGTACCAGTAGTTGCAATTGGAATAAGATTAAGTATTATACTTTTGTCTCTAGACGATATTAAATTGTTGTCTTCGTGTGTTATTGTCTCATTTCCGACATTAAAACTCCCCAAACTCGAGGCATTACTACTACTACTACCACCGCTTTCCGGTGGTTTTGGATTTGCCATAGGGTATCTCCAAAACTCCTGACCCAATAGGGCCAGTGACGACAGCTGCTGTCTATTTTTAGCCTCACGCATTGCTCGGGGTAACGTTAATTGGACAGGTAACTCGTCGCTGCTTGACAAAACAAAACAAATATTTTTATTTTTAAATAATATAGACAATTAAAAATTTTATTATTTCTTTTTATTAAACTGTCAATCAAAATTGATTGTTTTTTAAATACTCACCAACACTGAGAATAGTGAGCTATAAGAGAGGGAATATTATCAAATCGATTGTCACTAGTTTCTAAGCTCAGTTTACCCTTATTTGCTTGAATTAAATAATGTTCAATATACGGCCCTTTTCCTGCGGGTAACCTCACTGACAGTGCCATTGTATCGTTTTGACTTGACTGTCGTACCACAAAATTCTATAAATATATTATAAAATATTATTAATACACTTTGATGGATATTTTTTCTTTGCTGATTATTAATTAACAGTTTGATGAACTGATTATTATATATAAAAATGGTCGATAAAAAAAAAATTTGCTATTTATAAAATTTTAAAGAGGTCGTTAGTAAAGAAAATTATATATATAAAAAAAAAAGTTTATTTTTTTTTGTTAAGATATTTATAAATTAATTAATAATAATAATAATAATAATAATAATAATAATAAAGATGTCAGAAATTTCTGATATATGAAAACTTTTTTTTTACTAAGACAGCGAAAAGAAAATTAAATCTGTTAGATTTAAAAATAACGTTATTAAAACTTGGCGAAAATAACAAGTTAATGATTTAAATGGTAAAAACTTTCGAGTATTAGGTCAGATTTACAGTAATTCATTTAAAAAGTCGATGATTTTAAAGGAACTTCAATCACTGTTATTATTTTTGAATTTCCGTAATTAGTTTTTTACTCAAATTACTAAAATAATGACATCCTAAAGAAGCATGCTTTACTAATGAGTCACTTAAATAAAATTTTTTTAATATGTAATGCCAATCTATTTTTTTTTCTTACATTTTCTAATACGAAAAATAAATAAATATGAAGATAAAAAACTCTTTTACATTAAATACTAACCCCTTCTTCTTTGCCTTGCAATAGATGAAAGGCACCAGCTCTTTGTATCCCCGGAAGAAACCATATAGGATGCGAACGTATGAGTCGTTCTATAAGAGTAATATCACAAGCTACTTCACTCCCCGAATCTGAAGGTGATGCAGATGATTCTGCAGCCGAAGTACCATGAGCCGAGGATTCTCCTTCTGATGAAAGTGACTCCGAGCTCTAAAATAAATAAATATTTAAATCAATCAGATGAAAATATGATACATAATTTTTATCTAATAAATAACTGACCTGGACATGATGTAAGTGAGCGAGCTGGTGTTGCATGAGTGGGTTCGGGGGAGGTGTGTCCGGTGAACCATCAACTTCACTGACCGTTCCATGCTGCTGTAAATACGGTTCCAGGAAGACATCACTCCTAAAAAACAAAATTTTTTTTTATTGTTAAAAATGATTTAAAGTTTAACAACTTGAAAGATGACGGTAAATGCCGGTAGTCTACTGGTGTGTCTATTAGGGACATAAAAGGTGTGATAAAGAAAAACGAGATAACGATAACGAGAATGAGAGAGACAAATAGTATGGATGGCTTCCCTGTCTTTGTACGGGGGTTGCTATGGCAATTGGAGGTTCTCAACACGTGCTCGGTATTTTCTCATTTCCCTTACTGCTATACTACTGCTGCTGTTCCTATTCAACCACCTACAACCGGCTTTTTTATTCGCATTATTTTCAATGGGTTTTTCTACGAGCTTTAAATTTTAAAGCTTTCGCCAATTTCACCCGGAAATAAATAGATTTAATATGTACTTGAATGATCATACGTTTGGATTAACTTCACTCACATAAAATTAGTATTTAGTTATTGGAGCAAGAAGAACAGGAGTAGCGAAATCGAAGCCGAATAACGTCGCTTGAATTTCACGATGGGAGTCAGAGCGAGACAAGATTAAGTTACCATCTCATACACTCCAATTTACTAGACTACACGAGACATGAGTTTTAGACTCGATTATTTCATTATACCATCTCTAGTATACTTAACCAGTCGTCATAATATTTTAAACGTAAAAATTAAGTTAAAAAAACGTATAAAATACGTTAATCATTTATTTTATGTTACCTTCTGATAGATATTTCAGCGTATCGACCTCGTGTCGCTGAACTTTGTGCATTTCTCTCGTGCGTTGGGCTTGTGTAGAATGTCAAAACACCACCATTGATATTTGTCAAAAATGGTGGCAACATTTTATTCTTTTTTTATTTATTAATTAATTAATTAATTAATTGAATTTGCTTATTTTATTTCTTAAATATTGGTTTGTTTTATATCTTCACATTATAATGCGTTTTGTCATTTTTAATACTGGGTGCAGCGTTTAATGCTTGTTAAACATAATAAATATATTATCAGTAATTTATATATGGTCGCTTTGGTTTAATGCACAACTCAAGAGAATAACATTACGCAACGTTATCATATTTAAATAAGTATCGATGCGTGACAGTGAACTTAATAAAAATGTTTAAGTAATATCAATTTTTGTTTATGTCAATTAAGCAGTATGTATTTCTTATATTTATAGTCTATTTTATCATTTGATTTACAAGATGTATGTAAATCTGTAATATTCATTTAAGATATATTATTACACATATATAATAATGTATGGACAATTGCACAGACAATGACCAGTACAATGTTTTGTTATTATGCCTTAGCAACCGTCGAGGACAGCAAAATTAATCGCAGAATCTCAACGACTAGAATTCTTTAGTAAACCTTTGACACAATTTAATTTTTTAATTTTTTTTTTTTTTTCACTCAATATTATTTTTATTTATAACATTTACTGAGTTAATTAAAGTCTTCGGTAAACCCACTGACACACTTGTTCACTCTCTAATGCAAAGAAATTACTATCGTATCCGTTCTGTTCGATCCATTCTGCAGCAGGACAATTAAAAATAAGTTATTTCTTCTATAAATAATTATTGTCTCAAAATAATAAATTAATAATAAAAATATGTCATCAACAATTTTTATATTATAATAAATATTTGATTTCAATATAAAAAAATTAATTATTAACAAGAGCGAGGAAAAAAAAATAAATAAAGTTAGCTAGAGCACTAGGAAGAGAACGATTCTAGACACCGGTCGACGGCGCACTGACTAGCGTCCAAGGCGTCGGTGACGACGAGGGTGACGTAGGGGGCGTCGCGACGCTCTGTGCACTTTTACTTGAACCCACACACTCCCACAATCCAAGCTCTGTGATATCAACCTAACAGTGTAGTGCGTTGAGCAATCTACTCCAGTGTGAGTATATAAGTACATAGTGGTAAGTATAGTAAAGCAAAGCGGCATTTTTAATCTTTCATCTTTACTTTGCGTTTCGTCTGAAAAGCATCTACGATTCCAAGTCTCACAATCACGCGTCAAGGTCTGGGGTCAAAGTCTCCCGCAAATTCAACAGTTTTAATAGATGTTTATAGTATAATATGAATACATATATTCACATTTTTATTTTCTTCCGAAGCTAAAAAGTATAAGTAGACTATATTATCAAGTGGGTAGACATGTGGCTGCTTTTGACGTTTTGATTCACTGTCGTATACAACTGACAGTGCGCTACTTAAATACCCATATATATATATATATATATATATATATATATATATTTAATTACCACATGGATGAAAAATATATATCCAGCTTAATTGATAAAACATTTGCCTTGACATAAAATCAATATATATCTATTAAACAATAACTTAATATTTTTTATGGCTTTCTTCATCAGCTGGTTGTTTCCGTTGATCGATTAATATAATATAGTTTTCGGCTAGACATATAATTTATCAGGTCACTTTAATCACTTATCTGTTCTATTATTTTATTTGTTTGGATTTGAAAAAATTGATTTAGGAACGTAATAAGTAATAAGCTTTATGATTGAGGTCTTTTCATTAAATCTGTACCCAGAGGCAATTGATATGATTTGTAGCTGCTGGCTTGGTAAGCTTATAATCAAAGTACTGTGAAGTGCGATATAATCATAATAATAATTCCAAATAATAATAATAATAAAGTCACAGCATGTCGGCAAGTGTACCGTATCGCGCGATTGGTAGAAAAAATTACACCCGCGAGAGACAAGATGAGAAAATTAAAAAAAAAATAATGTTTTTAATATTATAATGGACGTGGCGAAAGTTTAAGACATTGTATATTTATATAGATGTAAAAGAATACTATAAAGTGAAATGATGTTTCACCAATGCTTCTTAATACTTGTATCGTTCTCATCAGCGATTCTGGCAAGGAAAATTCTTGTCCTTTCTATATTTAGAGCTCATATTTCGTTGGTTGGCATTCTACTTATACTTTAGCGAGGGCAAACTCGTACAGCACCGTGTACTATATAACGTTGATACATGTATATGAAAAAGGGGAACGCAGAATGAAAATGCTTCGCGAGCCTATTTGACAGTATAAATTTTTTTTATTCTCTTGTTATGTTCTTGCTTGTTTTCGTTCCCATTTTTACTCATCTGCGGCCCTATTTTTGTTTTTATTTACTTTTTCTTCAACAATATTTTATTATTTACTTGGATTTTTTTTTCCTCTTTACGATCATCCGTAGAAGAAGTAAAAGTCAACAGTTTCATAACTTTGATTTTTCACATGATCAGACGTCGACAGTAGTGTCGACAACAACAACCAAGAGGATATGAACCATACCAGCAACAGGGTTGAGAGTTTTAGTTTGACCCCTCCGAACCATTTTCAGAGGGAAACACCCCATGCACTAGTATAGCTGGTGGCTGGTGGCTGGTAGCTGGCAGCCATTGTCTGGCACCCACTTTTACCTCATCCTCTTTACTTGGTGATATTGTATAGTCTGTCAGCGGGTAAGCTTTTATCTTTTCGCAAACGTTGCCGTAATACTTTTCTTCATGCACCTACAAAGTTACACATACATAAATGTATACAGTACTTATATCTATATCTATATAAAGTACATATAATCCTTAAACAAAAATAAAAAAAATATATATTTTAAAGTAAGAAAGTAAGTGAGCAAGATGGATTGAAATGAATATGACAATCTTCTTGTGCACCTGCTCACTTAACCGAAAATAAAAAAAAAAGCTAGCTTCGAGGCAATGTAAGTAAAGCCAAGCGAATCAATTCAATTTTTCAGAGGATCATGACCCTTGAATTTTTATATATTTCATTTTACGCTTCCCCATTCTATTTATTATTACTAGTGTGATTTTATTTAATAAATTCAATTTTTTACTCAATAATTCACCGTGATATTTACTGTTGGCACGTGTCACTGAGGAGGTTGTATTGGGTTGTTCCTGTTTATTTATGCGTAATCGTTAACATGGTGTCCGCGTGACTTGAAACGACAGCTGGTCATACGGTTTGCTTAATAAAACATTTTTTATTCCTCGTACTCTCTCTTTTGTTTCGAATTAGTCGGTTTTAATTTTCTAAATTATGGATCGATGCACGTTAACTCGATCGTGCTCTGTACATAAATATTTAACGTACCTCTGATAATTGTCGGTCGGACTACACAATTCATTCAACATGCAGTCCAAATCATTGGCGAGTGAATTGAGTAACTGAAATAAAAAATTTATTTTAGCAAATATTTATATAGTATTTTATTAATATTTTACTTCTAGATCAAGTAATTAAATACTTACGAGTAAGTAGCTTGATGCATTACTGCTAGTTGATTCTCGCTTTTTCTGATTATGAGACACACAGTCCCTACTGAATGACATCATCCAGTTCGCATGTTAGTCACCGTTTCCTAACTACTATTTGTATTATAAGTGAAGTTGAACATCCCACTCTTCTCAGCAATCCGATTCAACAACTTCATTCCTGTAATCCCATAAATAAACTTTACTATAATGCCTTATTGTCTCAAGCTTTGACAATTTAGGTTTTATTTATTTATTACTTTCAAACTTTTATTAATTACTATTGTTATAAATATTGGGAGCAAAAGTTTTATTAGGTTAATACTTATGATAAATAATCTTCATAAAATATATACAAACTAATAAATTTATCTATGTGTGTATCCTAAATAAATTGAAGATGCGTAATATGCAATATAAAAAAAAAATTATTAGGTAACAATTTATAATAAATTATTTTTAATATTTATTGATTACATTGTTTTTATTTCTGCGGTTTTGATTTTTTAGAAAAATTCTTTTTCAATAGCGTTCGGGCTTGAACCCCGGTCCTTCAAGTCACATTCTTGCAACTTTTACTTATCGCTCTTATCAACCTACATAAATTCTTTTATATTATTTTTTTAATAACCGTTAAGATATATCATTTTTTTGCAATACTCAGGGACATAGTTATTTATAGAAGTATTTTTTTTATGCTACGTATTTTGATGTTCTACTGATTGTTTTTATTGATGTTCTTATTGAATTCTATAAAATTTTTTTATACATATATCAGTGAAGTAATCAAAAAATAATTGTTAAAAATAATAACAGATAGATAAAAAAGCAGTTATTAGAAGCAAACAAAACACTAAAAGGAAAAAAGAAAAAGGGAAAAATGACATTATATTATGTAATGTGACGGTTCCTATAAAAAACTGGAAAAATTACAGTTTCAGATTGTAATTTTTACAGATTTTGTAAGAATTACATTACAAAATGTAAATAAATATGACATTGAAAGTTGTCAAAATTAAAATTCAAAGTTTGAATGTAAAAAATTTTATTTCAAACCGCAATTTTTCTACTTTTAAAATTAAAGCCACACTTATCATTATTTATAATTTAATTTTTCTCTCTTTTTTTTTTTGTGTAACTTCTTGAACTAATATATAATAAATGATAAATACTAAATAATAAATAATAATAATAATAATAATAATAATAAACAAATAGAGCTGTACTTATATAATTAAGTTGACTTTTATTATTTTTAAAGAAATATACAAGATTTCAAAAAATGATAAATTTTTATAATTGATAATTTTTATTATTGAAGTTATGTAATAATAAAAATAATCTAATGACATTAAGTTGGATAAAAACAAATAAACAAAAATAACGATTGTAAAGAGAATAAAACAATAACGTAACATTTTATATCAAAAGTAATTATCAAGGAAACACTTCCTGTCATGTAAAAAATCATCTAAAAGACATGAAGTAATTATCATCAGCTGGTGAATAAGTTGATATAAATATAAGGCGTAAGTCGATTCGATTTAATTCATCATTTGTTTACTCAGAGTCAGTTTTTTGTCGTAATAAGTTAATATTGATAAAACAAAAATGAAATACTTGGCACTAGTTTTTGTAGGATTACTTTTCACGTTTTCCACCGGTATATCAGGAGAAGAGGATTGTCCGCTTAAAAAAGCTGTTCAAGCAAGTATCGAAGCATGCAAAGATAAACTTACAGATGGTAAGTGCATTTTAAAAAAATCGAACAATAAAATATCTAATTAGTTAATTGTTTTACAATTCTGCTAAGTACTAGTATTCTTTTTTTCGATACTATGATTATTTCTTACTTATTTAGATAGCTTAAATCTCTTGAAGGAGGATGAGGGTGCTGATAACGAGGAAATACGATGTTTCAAAGCTTGTATATTGGAAGACAGTGGAATAGTAAGGAAACAATGCATTAATTTTTATTATTTAATAAATTTTAATGTCTACGATTGATTAAATTTTTTGTACTTGATACAGATGGAAGATGGTAAAATACAGGTGGAGAAAGTTAAATCAGCACTCAATGAAGCTGTTGAAAAGGCCGAAGAAAACAAGGACAAGATTGAAGAAATGGCTAAAGCTATAATTGAAGCTACTGAAAAGTGTGCTGAAGAAGGTAAATAAAATTTTTTAATTAAAAGTATTTGCATAAAGAATCACTTAAAAAAAAAAATTTGTTTTCTGTTGTCTTCTTAATAAAGCTGGAAAAGCTGAAAATGATTGTGAAAAAGCACACCTGTTCGTCGCATGTCTTAAGGGATATGAAAATCAAGAATAAAATGGGAAAAAATAAATTATGGATATTGTGAATAAAAATAAAAAAAATTAAATCGATTGTTACCAGATTTTACGCACATATGTACTTAATTAAATATTCAAATTAAATATTATTTTTATTGCCACGTCAACAAATGCTTTATTTTTTATTTCAAATACTTATATATCTTCTAATAATATATCATATGATTTATCTAGAAGCTTCAAAGTGACAAATACTGGTATCTCTGTTACGAATTTTTCTATACCTAAATAATAGATTTCAATAATAAAAATCTCAACTTCCATTTATCTCCATCACAAAAATATATTTATATATTCTATCATATCTCTAATACCAGGTATGGATTTTTTTTTTTTTATTTTTTCAATCTTCTTACCAAGTTATACTTCCGTCAAAATAACTTTTTCATTATTTTCATTGCATGAATAAAGTAGTTAATTTTCTAAACTACGAATATTGGAGCTTAATAAATAATAATTATAATTATCAGTTATTGACTTAATACAACTACCTGTGAGCTTATTTATAAATTTTACCGATAAGAGAGATTATTAATATACAGGGTTATCTATATATAAAAGAGCAATGCACTCCTTTAGAGCAATGACAATGTATATATGTATGTACAGAGCATCTACCGTCGTAGTCTCAGCAGCAGCATCCGAATCGATTTTAAGCGCATGGGACACCATAGGCGTGGACCATCGGATGTTGTTGCCGCAAAGCTCTACTCTATATACATATATACACGTATAAATTCTCGCCTGAATCAAAACCTCAAGTTTAATTTATTCCAATTTATTCCTCATACAACACAATGGACGATACTTGTGATCCTAACAATGAGTTTACTCTTCACACTTGATACATTAGTAGTTGACTTGTTAGCAATTTAAACACAACAAACTCGTGTAAACTTTAAAACCATTGTCTCAATATATTATCCTATCTATCATAAGTATGCAATTTTTCTTTTATTTGCGTCTACAAATACAGCATAATACACACAATTATTATTGTAATACGTTTACTCTACTGTATACATTTGTAAAAACACGTACGTAGTAACAATATATTGAAAGAAAGAGGAAGGGAAATCCATGGTCAATCCAAGTGCTGACCAAATACGACCAATTGCGTGGGTTTTTAATACTTTTATTTTATTTTTCAATTTTTTTACTGCACCTACACGAGTTTTAAACGAAACCAAACGGGTTTTAAGAGTACATGTAAAGCCGATCCCACTTGATGAACCGAATGAGTATCGTATTGGTCCAGTATAAAAACAGCAAACTGTATGTTCGATATAACAACCGTTCACTTTCGCTAAATAATTAAATTAATTGGCGCATTCATCACAAGGACTTTTTTAAATAAGTTTTATTGTTATATGCTCCAATCAATCATGATGCATCAACCCATCATTAAGTCTTTTCTTTTTATATCAAACTTTACGTTTAAATTATCATAAATCTTACCGATCAATTTCATTTGATAAATATTTAGCGACATGCATTTTTCATTTTTTCATTTTTTTTTTTTTTTTTTTTTTTTTTTTTTTTTTGATATTATAATTTATTCAACTTCTTTTGAATAAAGCTTGATGCCGGATGCTCTATTTTTTTAGAGTATTTACTTTTTTATTCTTTCATTCTTCATCTTTCCATTCTACATAAGTTTCATTGTTATTATTCCTTCGACTGTGCTTTTATTCTTTCCTTCAATAATCTTTAATATTATTATTATTATTATTATTATTACTTTTTATTACTACTTTAAGTAATTTTAAATGCGTGCGCATATTTGCTCAATATGGCGTATTTAAAGTCTAAATACAAAAAGGTATCTTCTGCATATTTATAGGGCTATAATTTTATTTATAGAATTTAAAAAAATAAATTCTTGCTTGTATAGAATGCAGTAAGTTAAGACTATTTGGGTCTCATAGTACTTTTATTTGTAAATACCAAGAGATGTATACTTTTTGTATTAATATGAGATCTTAAGGTTAATGGAGTTAATGAAAAAGAATTGTCGCAATTGCATAAAGAATTCAGAAGATGTGTATACTTACGTGGTACATATACGTATGAATATACGACATGAGATCGTGACTCAGAGACTATATTATCTGACAAGATGCACACATGGGTACTAAAAATTTTTTTTTTTTAATATAACGCGTGAATCAACAGCTTCATGATCTTCAAAACTATAAATATCTTTTTTATTTATGAGTTTTATATTATTATTATTCTTAATTATTATTATTGTACCTGTTGTAAAAATAACAATTTATTTTTATATTATAAAACTATTTGTATGGAAATAAACTAAAGAAAAAAATAAAACTTACCCTTTTATTCTAGAAGTTGCGTTATAAAATCCAATGTAAAAAAACTTTGATTAGTATTTCTTGAGACACAAAGATAAGTGCACTTTATTGACATAAGTAGTAAAGATTATGATTAAATAATATGGAAATTATAACATTGATGGACTTGTACTTAAAAGTCAAATTCGTCACGGTTTTGATCCGTTACAATCGACAGGAAGTATAAATTTCCGGCTCGAAAAACAAAAATAAAGACAACTAACAAAAGACTGTAGGCACACTAAACACTTGATAGTAGTAGCTGTTCTTTATCACATAAAGAAAATAAGGTAAAACGTGAAAGAGTATAAAAAACATAAAGATTTATATGTAGAGAGACACACAGTAACTCATCACCTGTTGCTCCTTTCTCTCGTTTATAAGATTGACAAAGACAACATCAGCGAATGTATACACAAGACACAAGTAGAGATATTAAATGAAATGGAATGCGCGTGGAAGTACACGCGAAACCAGCGGCGCGGGGACTCTCAATACCGCCGCCATATTAAACGCCGCCTTGCGGAATAAAATTCAAGCTTTGAGCGGTTAATTTGAAATTTTATTACGTGTTTTGCTATTTTTATCATTATGTTATATTTTAAACCAATATCTTTTATTTATTAAGAGAAAACTCGATTTTTTTTTAATTATTTTATATCTCTAGAAAATGACATTAAAGTTAGCAGTCACTTAACAATTTTTTAATTTTATTTAACAAAAAAATTTGTCCCAAAAATCATTTTTAAAAAATTGCATTTTTTAATTTTTTTAATTTTTACATGTCAATTTTTTTTTATCATTTTTATTGCCATAATTTATTTGTTATAGAATTTTAAAAATTATTAAATATATGCTAAATTAATTTTCACCTCTAGAAAGAAAGAATGACAATTTTTGAGTCATGCTTAAATTTTTAACTTTCAGATGATATTAAAATTTTTTACTGTTAATTATTTTTTTTTGTGAAATGAATACATTGATAAATATTATTTTTATCTGTTGTAAATATTTAAAAAAATGCAAGCTCAAGCGTTATAAAAAGAAATGTTGACTTTTTGGTAGATTTTACTCATCAACAAGAAGTAAAAAATTGATAATCTTCAACTTAAATTCAAGAAAACATTAGCAAAAAAAATTTTTGCTGCTTGTTGGGAGATTATATTACTTTAATTATATGTATAAAAAGAAATTTAAGTTTCGAATAGATATTTATACAATAATAAAAAAAGTTTTGTTCTACAGAACTATAATGTTCTAGACTTGCATAACGTCTAATTGGTAGTATATTTTTCAGGTAGCATTTTAATGATTACGTAAATATCCTGATGAATATGCATTTATTAAAAAGTTCAGATGAAATTGCTTCAAATATTAATAGTTTAAATTAATTATTTTATATGTTTTAAATGATAAGCAAAATGTGGATTACAGAGCGCTTTAATATTTTATATCTGATAAAAACAATAGTAGTGAATAGAAATAAAGAATATCTTTTTCATTACTCTTGTAAGTAATTAATTAATTGCTCAATAATAAAGCTACTTAGTCGACTTAGACCAAATTTTCAGAAAATTAAATTGAAATCGGTAAATTTGTTTAAAAGATGTTGTTTATAATTTTTAAAGTAATTGTAATAATGTTATAATATTTAAAGGAGTTTTTATGGAACTTAAGACTTCAATCTGAAGAAATAATTAATTTTAAAAATGATCAAATAATCGTTTGTTTTTTATTTACAGGAAAACAATTTTTTTTAGCTTGATAAAAATTATCATTTTTAATAAAGTTGATTTGGAAACTACATTTAAATAATTGAGCGTTTTTTTTATCAGGAATTTCTGCAGATAGAGCCATAGAGGCATACAATTTTTATAAATAAAAATTTTGATAAAATTTACAATCTATAAGTGAATAAATTTAGTTACAGACATATAATTTATTCGCAAAGATAAAATAAGAGAAAAAAAATGAATGACAAATATTTGATCCTTCAATTACAATTTCAGTCACCGTATGATACTTTCGATTTCTCCATATTTAATGAGAATATTTTTATACTCGAAGGTCAGTGAGAAACCCTTTTTTTTATATCAATGACTTATGATAATGTAAGAAAATATAAAAAATAGATATTTTTAAACTATAAGACAAATATTATATAACAGACAATAATGCGTGCGAAGATGATTTATAACTAGTGTTTTAATAATGCCTAAACTTGACAGTTGCGGGTATATAACATAAATTTTATATCGTTTATGTTGTCACTAATGACAAGATGTTATTAAAAATACAGCTAATAGAGAAGCTGAAGTATAAAAGATGATGCAACTTTATTTCTTCTATAAGAACTATACCAATCGGATAAAGTACGACGTACAAGTGCGTGTATTTAATATTTACATTAAATTTAATATTAAATAACACAGAAAAATCCAAAATGCGAAATATTTTTATTTCGTTAATTGCGATACTTGTTATTATCGAGATTCATTTTTTTCAAGTTGATGCTGTAAGTATTTTAGTTAATAAATTTCATAAATTAAGTTCTAGATATCTTCTTTGAGTTAGTCAAATTTTTAAGTAGTTGAAATTTTTTCTGACATTAATATAGAGAATGACTATGACACAAATTAGAAATGCTATGAAACCTATGGGCAAAACATGTGTTGGAAAAACTGGTCTCAGCAAAGGTAATTAAACGATTATTAAAATTTTTGTGTTAGATTAACGCAGTTAAAATTTTTAGAGGTGCAAGCGGGGCAACATGAAGGACAATTTCCGGAAGACGAAGCGCTCATGAAGTACCACGAGTGTTTATTGAAATTGGCCAAAATTGTAAGAATTCATTTTTTTTTTTAATTAATTAATTTATTTATTTATTTCCTTTATTAAAACCCAACAGCCCATAGGGCCAATAACAGGGTTACTTAAATGATACATAGTTGAAGATAAGGACAGATTATTAACAATATTAAATAATATACTAAATGACTCAATATAAACCAAAGCTTTAATTCTTAGGTACTAATTATCTTAATTCCCTTATATTAATCAATTTAACAACATTTACGACTTATTTTTTTGACCAGAAGCTAGAGAAGAGTAAAAAAAGACAATTTATTTATTTTAATTCATTTATCAACAATTATTATTGCGCATTTAATATTTAATAAGTGAACTAGTATAATATTTATAATAAATTATTTCAATATTTAGATAATATACGGACTGATCTTTTTATAGGCTGATAAAAGCGGGAAAATTAATCTAGACACGATGCTCAAACAGATAGATATGATGATGCCGGAAGATGTAATAAGCAAAGCAAAAGCAGTCACTACTGAGTGTTTCAATGAAAGTAGTTACTTTTTTTTATTTTATACTTTATGTTTTGTGGAATAGTAAATAATAATTTAATTTTTGTTTTAGTTAAATCAGAAGAACCGGCTAGAGCGAGTTTTGAATTTGTTAGCTGCTACTTCTTGAAAGGTCCAGAGGTGATTGAATAAAAATACAATTTAAGTTCTTTATCATTGTTAAAAATTTCTATAGTAATTTTACAAAAATTAAAAAAGGGAATTTTTACGCACAACAATATATAGCAATATTAAAATTCAGTTTTGTAAATTTACAACTAGTATTACAAAATACTTTTTGTAATTTACTTAACATCTATCGGCAATTTGTTTAGCAATATTACAATACAAATGTTGTAATTTTATCAATCAAACTCAATTAAAAATGTTTTGCAATTTCAGTATCCCGAGAAAAAATATTTATACATAATTATATATAACTATAACTATACATATTAATTTTTTTTTTTTTGCAGATAACTTTCTTCCCATGAAAACAAACTGCGATTTCCAATAATTACAATAAAATATAAATAATTGTAAATTTAAAAATATTATTATATTTTGCAATTATAAATATATTATGTAGATTTATTTTATTGGTTGAATATATGTAAATATTCGTATCTCGATCTATTTTTAAGTTACATTTTTTAAAAATCGATATTATTCCTCTAAAACTACTTACATTTATGATGACTAATTGTTATTGCAATTCATCAAATAGCTTGTTTGTACAATAACATACTCATAAATTTTTTTTCAAAAAACTGATATAATAAAAAACAATTACGTACTCAATTGAGAGTTAACAAGGTAATTATTACACATGTAGAATTTAACTTGATAGTAATTATGAAAAAAACGCTTCCTTTTGCGTCCAAGGCATATCTGAGTTAAGAAGATATATAATTTATGCGTGACGTTAAACTGTTTTGATGTACTTCAAGTAAATTTGATGGGTAAATTTATAATTCGAATAAGATTAAGTTAGCGGAAAATGTTTAATTTACAAGATCCGTGAAAACAAAAAGTACTAATTACGCAGAACTATGAATATTACGTTTTGTAAATAAAAACAAAATTACTTTGCGTATTGTAGTACCTTGTATTTTGGTATTTTCGACACCTACATTATTGCATAACTATTTGAAGTTTTTTACGCAGTATCTGCTGGTTATAATTCTTTAAAATTACATAAATAGGTCTTTAATTCCGAGGAAGTCAGGTAAATGATTATACCGCGTAATAATTGATAATGTGCAATGTTAAAGACATATCAGAAAGATGCTAAAATGTATAAAAGATGATGGACAAATATTTAACTGCGATTCATTGTTCTGGACAGTGAACAACTAAGTGCATGTGCTGAATACTCCATTAAATCTTCAGACAATTTTAAGGACATACAAAATGAAAAATATTGTTTGTTTCTCACTATCTGTCGCTATTCTGGTGGTATTTAAAATCCAACATGCTGAGTCTGTAAGTAATGATAATTCAAAGTTCAATTTATCTATTCAAACTTCAATTCCATACAAAACGATTTTTTTATAATTTATAGAGAATGACCATGGCTCAAATCATAAATACCATGAAACCATTGGGTAAAACTTGTGCGGCAAAAACTGGACTCACCAAAGGTATTTATATTTGTATCTATTTATAATTACATTAATATTTTTAAAATTAAATCAAATTCTTGGTTCTCGAAGAAATGCAAGACGGTCAACATGAAGGAAATTTCCCCGATGATGAAACATTGCATTGCTACTTGGCGTGTCTTTTAAAGATGGCTAAAGTCGTAAGTATCTATTAAAAAATTAAGTAATTTTTTAAAAATAAAATTTCTCTGAATATATATTCATATAGGGTAAAAGACCCCATTACTGACACTTTCTTTGATTTTGGTACTTATTCAATTAATTAAATCATTAATTTCGATAATAAATATATTATTTCTAATCTTTAAGACTTTTTGATCAAAAAATTTTTTAATTTTTGTTCGAAGTATAATATTTTTTCATTGAAAGAAAAAGTGCCACTAATGGGGTCTTTTACCTTATGTATTATTTATTTTAGGCTGATAAAACAGGTAAATTGAACATTGACGCGATGATTAAACAAATCGATATGCTGATGCCGGAAGATTTAGTTGATAGCGCAAAGACAGCATGTAATGCATGCGCTGCTCTAGGTAAAGATCTTTAGTAATTTGATTATATTTTCACTAAGAATATTCAATATTTTTATTATTTACACACATGTATATTTATAGTTACAGGCACTGAAGGTTGTCGTCCTAGTTGGGAGTTTATGAAGTGTTGGTACGAAAAAGAACCAGAGGTAATTTTTTAATTAATCAATTTTTTTTTTTTTTTTTAATAAATTTAAATGAAAATTTATTAATTAATGTTTTTTTTTTTTTACAGTTGTACTTCTTTCCATAATACACAGTAATCGGCAGTTTAGTATAGGACAACCTGCAAACATTGAATAATACATTAATACTCTGTATTACGTAAAGAGAAAAAAAGTATGACATTACTTTTAGAGAACTGTAATCATAACTCAAACTTATGATTTTATAAATAATAATTGATTTTCAAGGAAAGCTTGCAAGATTTTTTTTATTGATAAATTTTTATTGTTGATGAGTTATTATAATTTTGTGATAATAAATAATAAATACATTTAGATTTGTATCAATAATGATTATAGAGGAAACGAATCCTTTGTATGAAAAAAATTATTTCAGATATAGTAATTGATACGAACCATTGGATTTTTTTCTATATAAATACAGATTATTCATTTATTCTGATCACTCGCGTAGAGAACACCTATCTCTAACTCTATATATACTTAAGTTTGAAATATTGTTTTAATAAACAAATATAAAAAAATGAAGTCCTGCATATTCTCTATCGTAGGAATTTTATTGGCGGTCATGGTAAGTGATTAAATAGAATGAATCAGTTATAAAAATAATTGTAAAAAAAAATTATTTTTCATAAAAAAAGTAATGAAAATTTCACTCAGTAATAAAAAATTAAGGTGTGATATTAAAATTTGCTTGAACATGCTAGATATTTTATGATAATAAAATTAGCCGACTTTCAACAATTTTTGATTTTTTTTTATTAATTATATTAGAACTAAAAAAATATTTTTAAATAATTGCACGCATAATTTTTTTAATCTTCTATATGAGAAATTTTTTCTTTTAATTTTTTTTCAATAAAAAAAATTCTAAAAATTTTTAGATATCGGCTAACTTAATTTTCATAATATTTTAGCTTTTAAATAATTTTTTAATTATGTCAACTTTTGAATCATAATTTAGGCGAAAACTCATAGTGATCCAAAAATGACAAGAGAGATTCGAGATACATTCAAAGGAATTATAAAGTCATGTTCAGATAGAATTACTCATGGTAAATACTTCAATGTTAAGTTATTTTTAAAGAAATATTGTATTTTTATTGTACTTTTTTTATTCAGAAAGTTTCGTTAAGATGATTGTGGACGATGATGGTCATGGCATGAACATAGAAGCTAAATGTTTCGCCGCCTGTGCTTTGTCTCACGTAGGAATAGTAAGTACTCAAAAAATTAATGTATTCGGTTTTTTCTAATTGTTTATTTCATGCATTAAAGTTTGTTTAAATTTATTCTAGATGAGAGACGGTAAAATGCATGTGGAGAAAATTGAAGAAAAATTAAACTCAATGATTGCTACTACTAAATCATGCGCTGAAGAAGGTAAAATATAATATAATTATAAATTTTTTTAACAAAAAGAGTTAAATAAAGAATTTAATCAATAATAAATATTTTCAATTTTTTACCACAGCTAACGAAAGCGCTAACGAGTGCGATGTCGCAGGAAAATTTGGGGAATGCATGAAGAAACGCGACATGTAAGAGGAAAAAAATTAATAAATACAATTTTGGAATATATTGGATACTGTTCAATAGTTTTGAAGACTACTTTATTTTACGGACTTGGAAACGCAAAAATCAACTTTTATTTTTATACTTTATTATTTGAATTATTTGTTCAGCAATCGTAAAAATTTTTTATATGATTTTTCACTATTATTTCTGCGTTATTAGTGTTGTAGCAATAAAATAAAAAATAATTATAAACTGCATTTTTTTTTGTTTTTTCTTCCCACACCGCTTTATAAGATTAACTGAAATTTAGGTAAGAGTTACATAACATTTAAATTTTATTACTATTTTTCTTGATGGATTAGTAATGAAATTATCCCTGATTAAAAAAAAAGTATTGAAAAGTATTAGTTTTCTAGTCAATCCAATACTTTTCAATACTTTTTCTTTATCTCAATACTTTTTTTTATTCAGAGATAGTAAAAGTTTATCGAAATAGAATAAAAATTGTGTCAAAAATAAATTATAAGCAAGTAATTTCTAGTGTAATTTGTAATTAAAATAAAAAGTGCCATTCAGCAGCCGAAATGAAAGTAAATTTCCTATTCAAATAAAATCACAACTCTATAATAATTCAAACACTCCAAAATCCAAAGTAGCAGCAATTTTCATGATAGGAATAGTGAAATAGGACCTAATTTTGGGTCTATACATACATTTCAATATCTTCCTCTATAATTATAAGAGATTCCTATCTATATAGCCACTCATCACGATATTTTGGGGACCATCAGACTTAGAAACTTGAAATTTGGTAGGAATATCACTTTTGCCATGTAGAGGTCAGCTAGTCCAGTTTTTAAACTATAGTCCCTATCGACTCCAAATTTGGTAGGAATCTTCTGTAAGAGATGTAAAAATAGTCTATGAACGAATTTTACGATAGATCACTCCATAGGGGGTTGTGGGGGTGGGTAGTAACAATGAAAATTTTTAATTTTCAAACTACAGCTCCTACAGACTCCAAATTTAGTAGGAATTTTCTATAATAAGTTGTATTTTTTATTTTATAAGTTACAATGGATATTAGCTAGAATAATCACATGGATAAAAGGTACTTGAGCGTAAACGATTTATTTGATTTTTATAGAATTTTTTATCAAGAGTTTCGTTCGGCCATTTTTGCTGGAATTTAAAAATTTCAAAATTTAGCCGAACAAAATTCCTGTTAAAAAATTCTATAAAAATCAAATAAATCCTTTACGCTCAAAATATGACAGGAAATGCCCAAACACAACTCCTGTTAAAAGCGGAACTCAAAATTCCAATTTTAAAAGGTCCATCAAGGAAGATACATTTTGGCACACCCTAATACATATATAAACTTTTGAACCACATTATTTTCTGAACCAACTCAACGACCAGCAAAATTTTTCAAAATTTCCGTCAAGAAACGAATGCAATAGTTAGATTCTTATGAAAATAACTAAAAATGTACAAATCAAATTTGCAATTTTTTTCTACATTATATTTTTAGTTTTTTTTTTTAACCACTGAAAGATATTAAGTTAATAAGCTATAAGTAATAATGTTCTGTGGAAATTTGTTTCAACGTATACCGGGAAAGTTTATTAAAACTCAACAATATTTATCAATTAGTAAAATACACTACCATTATCATTTTATTACGTTTGAGACATTTATATGTTGTCTTTCATTCTGTCCAACAAGTTCACTACGTCCAAAATACTTCATTATTATTGAAGAATTCATCATTGTTATGTATTACATAAAGATAAAAATATAAAGTTATTTTTAGAAGAACTATAACAATGACGCAATAATACACAATTTTATCAAAAACAATCAATTTTTAAGAGAAGTATATGTAAGAGCATTTTTGTTGATAAATATCCTTATTATTGACCAATTATTTTAATTATTGGATTCCAATAGATAATTAATAATCAAATTAGTATTTAAGGTTGTATCAATAGTAATGATCAAGGAAATGCTTCCTTTCGTGCAAAAAATTATTCGAGATAAAGTAAATTGGTACGAATAATTGATTTTGTTGGTTCGTATAAATACTGATCCATTGGTAACTCGAGTCATTCTAGTAGAAATCATATTTCTGGCTTTTTACTTGGATTTAAAGTATTGTTCTAATAAACAAACATTACAAGATGAAGACTATTACACTTTCTGTTGTAGTAATTTTGTTGGCGGTTTTCATGACGGTAAATAATGTATTAGATGTTTTTGTTACAAATAAATGCTTAATAAAATTCTAAATATTTTTTATTTTGTAGGTGAATGCTGACGATAATGCAGAAATGGCAGCAAAGCTTAAGAAGATATTTGAAGGAGTAGTAGCCGCGTGTAAAGACAAAATTACTCCTGGTAGGTACCTCTTTAGTATAAAAAAATTATTATAAAAAAGTCGAATTACAAAAATTCATTGTTACGTAAATTATAATTGAATTTAATAGACACACTATATTAAAATGGTTAGTAATTTTTTTTGAATGCAGAAAACTTTATTAAGATGATACAGAATCCTGCTGCCATGAGTTCGAACAGCGAACTTAATTGTTTTAAAGCTTGCGCTGCAACCCATTTAGAACTCGTAAGTATAAAAAAAAAAAAAGAACTACAATTTTGATCGCTATATGTTTCAATATGACTAAAATAATCATTTCCAAAACGAATGCAAGAGTAAAATTCCATTAAATAGACAAAAATTTTACAAGTTATTGCATTCAATAGTTATTTTGCACAGAAACAGTAAAAGCACAAATTTTTAAGAATTTTGAAAAATTCAAATTTTTGTAATCGTAAACTATTTAATTTAAAAAAAAAAATGAGTATATAAATTGAAGCTTATTTAATAAGCTTTCGGATAAAATTTACATAAATTTGATAGGACATCGCGTTTAATTAATATTGCACGGAAAAAACGGTAAAAGTAAAAATTTTTGCAATTTTCAAAAATTTTTTGAATTTCTGTCCTTCCTAAACTATTTGATTTCGAAAAAAATAATAAGCATATGGATCAATAATGAAATAGTTACATTTCTATGAAATCTACCAAAAAGTTTATTCGGCTTTTCTTAATATATATTTAATGCAAATGAGTTTTCTTCTATTTATTTCAGATGAAAGATGGTAAACTTCAAGTAGAGAAATTTGAAGAACATATAAATTCATTCTTAGGAGATGACAAGAAAGAAACGGCAAAATCAATGATTGATGCTACAAAATCATGCGTCGAGGAGGGTAAGATATGAGAAATATATTAATTAGTATTGTGAAAAAAAAAAAAAAACAGCGGAAGACTGAATAAATAATAAATGTTAACTTTTTTTTCATAGCTAACCAGAACGAAAACGAATGTGATGTAGCCGGTAAATTTGAGGAATGCATGAAGAAATTTAATATGCCTCAATTATAAAAAAAAAAAAATCAATATATGCAGTTTTATATACTGCTAAATAGATTTAATTTCGACTAATGATAATTTTATGGTCTTGAAAACTGAAGAATTAACTTTTAATTTTTTGTTATTATTTGAAATATTTGGTCAACAATACACTTAAATTTTCCAAGCTATTTTTACTATTGTTCTATTAATAACACTGTAATTGTATGATAAATAAAGTATAAGAATTAATATTTTTTCTTTATTTACCGCTTCATAAAATTAGATTGAATTTATACAATAGATATTACATATTAATTATATTCTATTATCTTGATGAAAAATATAAAATATTATAAACATTTTCACAGTGGTAATAAACGTAAAAAATTTTGTCAAAAGCAAATAATATTTACGACTTTTTTCTTAGGCAGATCCACGTTTTAGGTGCTTCAGGAATATTAATGTCATGTGCTCTTGATACCGACGAGCTTTCATCATAATATGGTAAATGCCAACCATTCGAGTCTTTTTGAGCTATTGGAAGATATTTGGGTGGACGAATTAGTAATAATGTTCTATGGAAATTCGTTCCAACATACATTGGAAAGATCTGCCTGCACTGTTGCCAGTGTCGGAAAGCTTGCTGAGCCTTTTCTTCTTGTATCAGAAATTTATGCTGACGCATCAAGTCTCTAGATACAAAATGAGTCTTCATGCCACTGGCAAGAGTTGCATAGAGTAAGAATGGATCATCTTGTGACCTAAAATAATTAAAAATAAAAACAAAAAGTCACCAATTAAATTTAGACTTTTCATTAACAGTAATTTATGTAGCTCATACTTACAAATCATGAGCAAAAAATATATAACAGTATTTTCGGACGAATTCCATGTCTCTTGGTGACCATTTAGTCATATGCTTACGCCCCAACACGAATACTTTTTTATTCTCTTTGAGAAATTCTGCGACAACTGCCGCTAACTGTAATATTATTTATTTATTTATTTTTTTTTTTTTTTCAATATCTATGAACTCATTTAAGTCTTAATTAATTATTTTAATTACCTCTTTGCCTAAATTAGATGATTTTTTGGTTCGATTAAGAGTGTAAGCAACATTAAGTCCATCAATACAAACATCATAGGGCTTTGTTGAATTTACAAATTCTTTAAATCTTCTTAATTCTCCAGGAGTAGTTTTATTGTAAACGTCGTCTCCTACTAAAGTATTAGACAAGACAGCGTGTGATAAATATTTAAATTCTTTTTCATTAAGGCTCAAAGGTTCTAATGTTTGTTTACAACCTCCGCAAAAACCACTATCAAAAAATAAAAGTTTATAATTATAAATTGTAAATTACAGAAAAGTTTTGAATATTTACTTTTTTTCGATCCTTATTTTCTCAGCAGTCCATTCTCCAGTACCAGTAAGAGTATTAACATAAAGCATAACTATATCTAAAGGCGGTATTATGTCATAGTTTTTCCACAGTTGAAATATTTTATTGACAACATATTCAAGTTCAGGTGTATTTTTCGACGCCCTCGTACAATAATTTAAAAAAGAATTATAGGCATAGTAGTTGGGATGTAATCGGGGATACATGCTTTCTAAATACTTCCAACCAATTGTAAAATCATTATGGTCAAAAGCCGCTGATATAATTGACGAATAAGAAGTACCTCGTGAACTTCCTGAATTTTCAACCATATCTAATAATTGTAAACATTCTTTCCATCTTTCTGTCAATGACAATCCGGAAATTAAATTTTCGGCAGTCTGTGGATCAACAACAGGATATTCTTTCATTAATTCATCATACAATTGATAAATTTCTTCAATTTCTTGAGGATCTAATGGCCTGTGAAGATCATAAAGTGCTTTAAAATATCTTCCTATTGTTCCGATATTTAATTTTTTCTTTTCAGTTCGCAGTAAGTATTGTACGTAACTTACAGCTAAATCTTGTTTATTAGCCACCCAACATCTATCTATAATTACACAATCAACATTGACATCATTGATGCTAAAATCACTCTTGCACAAATCTTCACGAATTAATAACCATTTATCATTATTGAATTCTTCATTCTCCACGAGCACTTTATTTAATATTAAGTTTTCATCTTTCTCAAGGTAGTGAATAGATACTCCTCTTTTAATTAATAATTTATCGGGTGTTAACAATAATCGACGCAAACTAATCCAACGTAATTTAGTAAGAGACATTCTGAAATAAAGCATAGTTAAAATTAACAATCTAATTACATTAGTAATATGATAGTAAAAACACTAGACATCTGATAGCTTTTAATATCAAATATAAAATAAATAAGTTAAAAAATTCATATGAAAATTAATTTAAATAAATTATGTCAAAAAAAAATTGACGTTTAGAAAATTAAAAAAATAAAAAATCCAATTTTTTAGAAATAATTTTTTGGAGCAAATTTATTTATTTATTAAAAAAAAATCAAAAAATTCTCAAGCCACTGCTAAGTTAAATGGTATAAAATTCATGTAAAATTTTTATTTAAATACTTTTAGCACTGGACAATTTTTTTATAGTTTGAAAAATGAGATGTCTGCTATTTTTAATGTCATTTTATTTATAATAAATATCATTGAAATTTTTCTTAATTAAATAATGAAATAACTTTACATGATTATTGCGTAGTTTAAGCCGGTATAAAATATTCTGACATTTATTAATATAGATTTAATTGATATAAATAGAAATTCTATTTTGTTTTAATGTTTAATTTGGTTAAAAACACACATGGCCTCTCTGAGCTTATTGATAAGTTTTTATAAACTATATATATATATATATATATATTGTATAGAGGCGCTAGTTTTAAATTTCTCATGATCTCTCAAATAACGTCGATAAAGAAATTTAGTATTAGAAATTTACGCCATCTTGTATTAACATATTGATACAAATACTTGTGAGTATTTTCTTTGTAATGATGACTTAATTTCCGGTAATCTGACGTGTACAAAAGAAAACATATGGTTTTATACACAACATACATACATTTATTGTGAACTGTAGGTTAGCTACGACTATTAGACGTTTAAGCATACATATATACGTGTACATATACATAAACAGAAAAAAACATAATAAATAATTTAAAAAGTGATAAAAAATATATTTGAAAATGTTGGATTTCTTTACAATATTTACTAAAAGTGGGCTAGTTCTTTGGTGCTCTCGGTACGGCTATCCTGATATATTTACTCCAGCTGTAAATGCACTTATAAGAAGTGTCATATTGCAGGTAAATATGTTTTTAATATTTTTATTTAATCAATAACATCTAAATAATCAAATTAAATTTTTATAATAAAATTAATTCCATTAATTGTTGATAAAAGATGTATAATTAGAATCATTATAAATTTTAATATTAATTAATTTATGTCAAGTCAGAATTGATAAGGAATTGTCTTGTCATATTGTAAAATAATTACATAATCATAATAATAATAATAACAACAACTTAATTATAATTTATAATTACTATTTTAGGAGCGTACCGGAGTTAATTCATATGAGCATGAGTCTCTACGATTGCAATACAAGTTGGATAATGAATTTGAATTGGTATTTGTGGTTGCTTATCAAAAGATATTACAGCTGTCATACGTTGATAAATTTTTGAACGATATTCATTTGGAATTTCGTGATAAATATAATGATTTTTTAATAAAATCCTTGTGGTTTTGGAACTATAAGTTTGATGATGAATATAAACACGTATTAGCAAGTGCTGAGAAATGGGGTAAACAACAAGCGGCAATACCCAAACAAATGCGTACATTTGAAGAAAGTTTTAAATCAAAGAAAACTGTTGCTAGTATGATTGAGAGAAAAGATGATAAAGATAATAATAAAAAACAACAAGGTAAAATTTTATTTTATGTATAATTTATTTTTAACATTTGATTATTAACTATGAGTGAATTAATTATTTAATTTTTACTGGTATTATTTCGTTTATTTATACTGTTTCTAATGACACTGGAGTTGACAGACATAAGAAATTTTTTTAGAACTTTATAACAATTAAATTATTATAAAAAAATTTTAATTAAAAAATTCCACATGTAAAAATTATTAAAAATTACAAGTGAAAATTTTTAGAATAATTTTTTTATTGTTATTGATTGGTTAAAAAAAAATTTTTTAAATTAACAGCTGACGGCTAACTTCAGTATTATTGTTTCTATTATTTTATGTATTATTATTATACCGTTGCTGTATTTTATGTATAATGTTATACTGTATATATATTTTTTTTTCTGTATCTTGAATGGCCGCAAGGAGCTTTAACTCCATGGCCAACAAACATTAAATAATAATAATAACTATAATAAATTTATTTTTTCAGCTAAAAAGAAAAAAACTAATGTAATTGATGAAGCTCCAGGTGAGAATTTTAATTTTTAATTTATTTGCAATAATAATTTTATTTTGCTAATGAAAATTTTTATTTCAGTTAAAATTAAGGATTCTTTCAAAGAAAACGATGTAAATTCGAATGTAAATAATGAAGACGATATGAATGATGATGTACTGGTGATGAATCGTTTAAAATTAGCTCAAAAATTCAATAACCAGAAGAAAAAGCCAGAGAAACAAAAAAGTCCGAAAGAAGAGAAAGTGGGAAAGAAACCACGGGTATGGGAATTAGGTGGTACCAATAAAGATTTACCAAATCTAGAGCGTACTAAAGATAAAATTACTGATACACCGATTAACGTACAAGCCAATACCGCTCTAATTGGTAAAATGGAAGGTCCAATTCCTAATTTAGAGGTTCCCAGTGATTCTGAAGATGAAATAAATGATAACATTTCGGCTACAGCTAATAAAAAAAAATCACAAGCCAGTAAATCATCTGGAGGAATGTTTTCAATGTTGAAAGGTTTAGTCGGTAATAAATCATTGACGCAAGAAAATTTAGATCCGGTTTTGGAAAAAATGAAAGATCATTTAATTATGAAAAATGTCGCTGCTGATATTTCAATGAGTCTTTGTAATTCTGTACGAGCTAAACTAGAAGGAAAAGTATTAGGAACATTTGAAAGTGTCGCTAGCACTGTTAAAAATACGTTGACTGACTCACTAGTACAAATATTGTCACCTAAACGTAGAGTTGATATACTCCGTGATGCTTATGAAGCAAAAAAGAATGGACGGCCTTATGTTATGTCTTTTTGTGGTGTTAATGGTGTTGGAAAATCAACAAATTTAGCTAAAATATGTTTTTGGTTAATTGAAAATAACTTCCGTGTATTAATAGCTGCATGTGATACATTCCGGTAAATAATATTTTATTATCTCACATTATTAAATTTTTAAAATATAATTAAATATTTTTTAATAAAATTACAGAGCTGGAGCTGTAGAACAATTACGTACGCATATGCGTCACTTGAATGCCTTACATCCGCCAGAAAAACATGGCAACGTTACAATGGTAGAATTATATGAAAAAGGATACGGTAAAGACGCTGCTGGAATAGCATCTGAGGCTATTCGTTATGCCAGAGATTGTAGAATAGACATTGTCTTGATTGATACTGCTGGTAGAATGCAAGATAATGAACCACTGATGCGTGCACTTGCTAAATTAATTAAGGTCAATCAACCAGACCTAGTGTTGTTTGTCGGTGAAGCGCTCGTTGGTAACGAAGCTGTTGATCAATTAGTTAAATTTAATCGTGCACTTGAGGATTACAGTAACTCAGAAAATCCACGTACTATTGACGGAATCGTTCTAACCAAATTTGATACTATTGATGACAAGGTTTGTTTTAAATATTTAAATACTTAAGGGGAAAGTCCATGTAAAGGCCTCAAAATTGTTCATTTTTTTTTAAATATTTTTAAAGGTGATGAAATAATTTTATTGTTTTTAAACTTTAACACAACTTTATTGAACCTTTCTAGAGTACAAAAATAATTTTTTTTTTTCCTTTTAAACCATTGATTTGAAACAAAAAAATTAAAGTATTTTCTTTTTAGAACATGTTAACGGAACGGATAAACCTTTAAAATTTTAAAAAAAGAATAAAATTCAACATTAAATAATCCTTTGAAAAAAAGTTAGAATTTGGGCCTATTTTTTTGACCTCAAAAAAGTATTTTATTAACGCAAAATATCTGAAATTTTAGGTTTATCCTTCCGGTAGTAATATAGAGAAAGGCCTCACCAAATTTCAATCGAATCGATCAATAATTTTTTGAGTTACAACACGAGCAGTTTTTAAAAATACAGTTTCCAAATAATCCAGTCGCTCCATTATAATAGCTATAACTTCGTCAATATTCGAGATTTTATATTTTCCTCTCCTCAGTACATGCTCAACATACTATATTTTCAGATTATTGAAAAAAAAAAAAAAAAAAAAAAAAAAAAAAAATTTGATTTTTTGAAAATTTTACATAGACTCACCTTAATACTTTAACAATTTTATAACTAATATTTATTTTTATTGTCACAGGTTGGTGCAGCTATTTCTATGACTTACATCACTGGCCAGCCCATTGTTTTTGTTGGCACAGGTCAAACTTACACCGATTTAAAAACATTAAACGCCAAGGCCGTGGTTCATGCTCTCATGAAATAATTTTTTTTACAAAATTTATGAAAAAAAAATCGAAAAAAAAAAAAAACAATTTATATACATAAATTGATTAGGCTTGAATTAACTAATTTGTATATTTATAAAAGATAAAGTTAATAGCATTGTTAATTAAAGTTATTTAAAAATTCTTCAAACTAATTTTTAGCGAAGATATGAATATAATGAAATTATATTTAATTATTGATTATATTATTTTATATATGGCTCATGGGAACTTGTTCTACGACTCTAGAATTATTTTCTTGTGCTTCATCTTCGAGTTCCCAAATAAATGCATCATTAAATTTATTGACTTCGGGTACTGTACCACAAATATCAAGACGTAAAATAACACCTGAAAAATCAATAAAATAATATATTTAAATGAATGTAATTTATATAGACGAAGAAATTAAATAGCTGCATTACCAGTAATTACGCCAGAAACAATAGCAGCTATAAATGTAATGATTAATGCGAGTAACTGGTAAGCAGCTTGATGACCAGCTGTCCTATCAAATCCAGCATCAATTCCTAATTCTTTTAATTCGATGAGTCTCTCACCTCCACTTGGAGCTCTCGCCGGGAATATCTATAGTTAATTTAATAAAAAATGTAAAATTATTGATTGTATTTTGACATTATTGACATTTAATAAAAATAAATAAATTTTTACCTGATAAAGTGAATCACTGTATTTATCTTCAGAAGCAATTGCAGCCATCAAAACTCCAAATATTCCCGCAACTACTCCCGGCATACCATGAAGATTATGGACACCACATGTATCGTGGATTCTTAATTTTTTTTGTATCAGTGGCTGTCGTAAAAATAAAAATATTTATAAATTTATTTAAAGATTACAATCTAAAGGTTTAACTATTAATGTGATTTATTTAAAAATTATATTACAGTGAGATATTTGTATCCAAAAACGCTTAGACTTCCCGCAAAACCACCCACAATTAATGCTAAAATGGGTTCACACATCATTCCTTTAAAAATAAAATTATTTGGGACTGTTTTTATTTTTTAAAAATATTTAAAATAAATAATTTCAAGCTTAACATCATATGATACTTTACCCGCAGCTGTTCCGATTGCAACTCCGCCCGCCAGTGTTGAATTTTGTACATGAACCATGTTAAATTTATGTTCATCCGAAACTAAAGCTGAAGTAGCAAATGCTACTACGCAGCTAGCTGTTATTGCAAGCAACGTATTTATGATAGCTCGCTGTTGATCGTCGCCCTGCAATAAAGCGCTATTAAAGGAAGGCCAAAAGAGCCACAGAAAAATTGTACCTGCATAAAAAAAAAAATAAAAAACTTCTTCATTTTCACAATTTCAAATTAAAATAAATTTAATTATTTATAAAATTTACCAATCATTGCAAATATGTCAGATTGATAATTTGATCCCTCTAGATGATGTTCCTTGGGTTTTTCTTTAACGCCAAAAGCGAAGCTGACAGCTAAACCAAAGTACGCACCAAATACATGAACAAACATACTTCCTCCAGCGTCAATTGCCTTAATTAAAATATAATTAGAATGAAGAGATTGTTTTTAACTTTTTCGAGTAAAATATTAAAAGAAATTAAAGAATGAAAAATAACCATAAAAATATGTTCTCCAATATATTTGTTGACAGAAAAAATTGCCAACTCGATAATTCCCATCACAATTAGCTGCATGTAAGTAGTTTTCCCTAGAACTGCCCCCATTGAAATCAGTGGAGCGGCAACAGCAACATCGGCATTTAGAAGTCTACAATGATTTTATAAATATGCCTTTATTTATCGTTTATTCTATTTTTTAAATTAATCAAGTATTTATGCACAGATTCCCAATTCTATCGAATTGGCATGCACCTCTTATCCATGTAATTATTCTAGCTAATATTCATTGTAACTTTCAATGTGTAATCATTATAACATTCCCGTGTCTTTCTTACAAAAATGAATAATAATTAATTTGAAAAAAAAAATTTGCAATGAGCATTGAAAGTTTCAGTTAAAGAAATTCGGCTGCCCAATTTCAAAACACAGTAATTAACATTTAAAAATTTTATTCAATTTTTATTTTATTAAAAAAAAGTTTGCCCGCCAAATTGATGAAAAATTTGATTTGTGAATAGAAAATACTTGAATATAAATATTTTTTAGAAAAAATACTTGAAATTAAGGTCTAAAAGTTATAAAAAATGCAACAATACTAGAAAAAAAATCAGGTATAAAAATTTTGCAGTTACTGCGTTTTATAATTGGGCAGCCGAATTGCAGGTCTCAATAAGTGAAGAAATCTGCCTAGTATATAAATATTACTAATGTAATTAAAAAATTTCTTTTAAATAAATGACAATCGAATAGAATAAATTTAGTTACAATAAAAATTCATTATTTCTAAGTCAAAAAAATATATCTTATGGTATAAGAATTATTCCGATCGGTTCAGTAGTTTTCGCAGTATAACCGGACAAAAAAACCGGCTCTCCATTTATTAGTATACGCATAAAAATTATTTGTTAGGACAACAAAAACAGAGATAACAAAAAAATATGCTGTGATATAACAAATGAATTTTTACTGCTCTGAAGTTAATTTTGTTGTCTTAACAAAATTGCTTTGTTATTATAATCAATTTTTTTGTTGCAATAACAAAATAGTTTTCTTATCAATAAAATTTGTGACTTGAACAAGCTATTCCGTTGCTTTAAAAAATCGATTTGTTACTTCAACAAAACTATATTTTTTTTAAATAATTGAAAGATTCGGTTACAGTAACAAAATAATTTTGTTATTTTGTTGAGTGAACATATGAATTACTTATTATATAACCTATGTGTTTGTTAACACATCATATTATTTTTTATCCCTATATCAACATGAAAATTTGTTGTCACAACTTATTTTTTGTTACTCTAACAAAAAATTTTTTTGCGTGATACAGATAGATGTATTTTTTAAAATATATTTTTTTACCCAGTTAAAGAAAGTGGTACTTTGCCATTCTTGTCAATGTTAGCGACTCCATCGAAAAGTATAGCGACTTGAACAAGAATCGCTCCAACGAGAAACGTTAATCCTACAGCACTGTATCCATAACGTTTGAGAAATGTCATCAAGAAGCCAAAACCAACCCATATCATCACGTGAACATCTTGGTACACTTGAAAAATAATAAAAAAAATCAAATTATTTATAAAAATTTTTTTATACTAACTTACTTTCTTTACTAAAAGTACATTTTATCATATAGTATATCAAAATATTTACAACTGCATTATTTTTTTTCAGTAAATATGAGACTCAATTGAACAGAATGGAGATGAATAAAAATAGTGGAATAACTCACTCGTATAATTGCGAGGTAACAGAACGTTATTTTCACTCGAATAACCCGAGAAGCTACGGGCGGCATTTTCGGGTGCATATTTAAATGTCGCTAAAAAACCGCATATTAAAAATCCTTGAAGAAAACAAAGAGCAATCCCAAGAACACATCCTGTCGTCATTGTTTTTATACTTATATTATTTTTTTAAAAAATTTAATAATGAAGAACAAAAGAATTGCAATAGTTGGTGAAGAAATTCAATAAAATGCATCAAACTATAAAATACTTTTAATGTACTTGAAGTTTCGTAAAAGACTAGAGAACTCAACTCACAAGTCGTTCATGACCTCAACCCAGGACGAGAAAATTAGCATTAGTTTTCATATCTCATGCGATAATCTCTATTTAAGACCCACAACTGTCACTGTGTTTAAATATGTGCAGTTTTAAACGTTGAAACGTGGTATATCATGTTACATTAACTTTTGTGTACAATTTTACAGTTATTTATGATTATCATGATCTTATTTATTTCTAAAAAAAAAAAAAAAAGAAAAAATAAACTGTGTTAAAACTTACTAGCATAAAGATGGACAGATGTGTCTTTTTGTAAAATATTGGACTTGGGCGTAGAGGTGGACACTCCGTTACCCTTGACCGATGATCTACTAGTTTGCGGCACCGCCTCGGGTCCGTAGCTTGTGAATAATCCCATAACCACCATCAGGATGATTTCAATGGCGATAAGACGCAACACCTGGTGTTTTTTTGACCACTCGTACATTGTCAACACCGATAGTTGAAATTGAAACTTTTAGATTGTAGATTATAACAATAATTACGTATGACAGAACTTCAACAGGAAAACCACACGATTTTATGAAAATTAATTTAGCTGATATTTAATAGTTTTAAAACTTAATGTAACAAATAAATTATAGGAAAAAAAATTAGAATAAAAAAATTGACATTTAGAAATTTTTAAAAAATAAAAAATGCAATTTTTTTAAAATAACTTTTTTTATAAATTTTTCTTGTTAACAAAAATTAAAAATTTTCAAGTGGCTGCTAACTTTAATATCTTCACGATTTTTTAATGTTACTTTTTATCGTTTAATTTAACAATAGAAAATAAAAATAGTAATTGGAATTTTTGTTATTAAAGTTTTAATTGAATGTGAACTTTTTAAATTATAGAGACTGTAACAATGGAAAAAAGCTACACGTCTGTCGAATAACTCTCAGAAAATCACCCGAGCGGATATACGCGATTCAGTTAATGCCGATACTTCCGATGCATGATCAAGCTCGTTGTCCCTCGCTAATGCACTGAGCTTGTCGCATGTCGTGTGTGCATAACTATTTATCTATCCACCATGTACTCTTCTTCTCTTATAATATATGTATACATATAAATATATTTGCATCTCGATCACTCGGAACATCAATTTATGTCCTTGTGACATTTAAATTTTATAAATAACAATCCATCAATCGGTTGGTCGGATATATCTTCCTTCATACGTATAAGCGTGGAAAGTCTAAGATTTTAAAATATATACATATATAAATAATGAACTCAACATTCTAGGTCATATTGATTATTAACTGATTTTATTTTCCTTTAAGTGGACCTAAGAACCTTATATTATGTGACACGCGACAGCCGATACTTCTAATACTTTTGTCCAATTTACGTATATATATATCGAATAAAATAGTTACTACTATTGAAGAAAACTTATATCGACATTTTGCTACTTTGACAAGACATTTATCAATTATTTACACTGAAACAATTGACATTGAGTTCTTAACTTCGATAGTTAATGCTTATCGATCTATTTTAAAAAAATGAATCAAGTTGCGAACAAATATGTTATGTTATTTTTTTTTTAAGTGTTTATATAATTTATTTTGTTACAATCGAGTTATAAAAACATTATATATTATATATATAAGTAAATACACTAAACAGCGAATTATTACGCATGATAAATTATCAATTAGGATTGTCTTATTAATCCTAGTAGTGGACATTGTACTTTATTGCAATTAATATTAATTAATAAATAATTATTATTAATCATCGTGAAATTATTATAAAATAATATCAATACATACATATATATGCGATTATGAAAAGTGAAACATAGTTTGTGAGTAGTGATTTCATTTAGTAATTATTAATATTATTATTATTGCTATTTAAGTTCACATAATCAATGAGCTTAACGAATAATATGGCACAAGCCAATTGAAAAAAATTTTTTTTTTTTTTTTTTAATTTGTTTAAAGTCGCATAAACTACTAAGGTCATGAGCGACTACGGTAGGGGGTACACTTTTGAAATTGGAACTCGTTTGTATTTCTTGGGCTGAGCAGAATAATACACTTAAATATTGAAAATATTCATTGGTGTACGCCGGA